ATCAAATTTTCATACAAAAATCACAGTAAATTGTTACCCCTTTCCTGTGGCTCCATATACAGTTATTCACTATTTTATATGTCAGTGTCCTCCTATGTCGAAATTGTTTTGTTAACAGCTTTATATTTATTAGTTAGGGTTTCATTTTTTGAATCTTACTTTCACCTTTACTCCTTTTGTCCTACAGGTTCTCCTAAGTCAAAAGTTTCTTAGCATGTTGAAATGTGAACAGTATATTCCTCTTTTCCATCACACCTGTGCTGTGATTGGAAGGATACATTTGAAAGACATTGGCACTATTATTTAGTAGATTCCTTTGATCCATGAATGTAGAAGTTAATGCATTTGCGTGTGTAATATCTTCCCTCAAACAGGACATATATTGAGAGTATGTATTCAGTGGTAAGGTATGCACTACTGAAAAGTACTGGCACAACATTATTGCTGCTTGTCCAGTTCTATGGAATGACCTTTGTTAATTTATTTTGGTTTTGCAGAGGAAGGATGATTTAATCAGCTAAAATTTGCTGGCTTTTGTTTTCATCCGCTTAATTCAGTCCACATGGCAAATCAGTCTGTGCTGTTAATATACTAGAGTCACTTTCAAAAGCCGTGGAACCTGCAACAGTTACTATTTACTGCTCTGCACTGAGACATCATATGGAGTTTGATTATAGGCAGAATGGTTATTAGAGGACAGATGTTGATTTTCTCTTCTGGCTTGTTATCTGATGTTGTTAACAAAAATAGACTGTTTGCAAGTTACAACACTATTCCTATTCTTTCTTTTTCAGTTACCTTGCTGGGTCTTCCTAATTTAGGCAAGAATTGAGTCTAGTTGCTGGATCTATTCCAAAATCTTTTTATCTTATTTTACTTTAAAAGGTGGGAAAATTCCCAGTCTTTAGTATTTTTTTCTTAAACGATGACAGGGAAAAGGTGTTTGTAATAAATTCTGATTTCTTTTCCTTTTACATCTTTTCCCTATAGATAAGCATACACAAATTAGAGCATTGGTTTTTACAGTTGTCTGCCTTGTAGCCTCAAGGCAAATAAATAATTACACCACCCAATTGGAGACACTGTAATTATATCTTTCTTCAAGGTTATCTCCTGTGAATCTCTTTTTCTACTTTCTTAATTTTTAACCTAAAAAATACTGTATTAATGAGAGTCTTACCGTTTTGGTTTTTTTTTTCTTAAAATGACTTGACAATATAAGGAATGAATTTTAAAAGTTTTATTTGTTGGAAAAGAATCTTCAAGAAAGTATTTGAATAAGGACCAATCTCCAGCCCTGATCCTAGAAGGCAGTCTACAAATACTGTAAAATGTAGGCTTTTCAAGAGATGTTCAAAGTCAGCCCAATTTCGCTTCCGTTCAGACTAACAGTGATAACTTCAGAAAGAGCAGAGTCAGGTCAGTAGTGAATACATATTTTCAAATCCTGCCATCAAAAGAACTTAGAATGCCTGCAGAAATACATGTGAGTTTGTTACCAGAGCTTAAATTCAGCAGCAGTTAACAGCAGTCTGTTTCTAGACATGAAAGCCTGCTTTCAGAAGAAGATCAAGAACCTGATGTTTCTTTACAAGTTTTCCTTGGCCTAACTGATGGCCCAAAGAAGTTGCTTATGCTTTTGGAGTTATGTAAATGGCCCTTATGTTACACTCTCCAATTCCTTTTACAGTGATACTGGAGAACAATACAGTGCTTAGTTTTTAAGCACATTTGTAGTTGATTTGTTTTCTTTGGGAATACAAATGTCTCTACAGTCTTAGTGGTAAAAGACAAAGGTGATCTTGTCAGAAGGAAGAAATAGCCATTTCTACTTGAAATATGTGGTCCTATGGCACTACCTGTGCTGTCATATTGGCAGTGATAATATCATGATAAAAGTGATTTATCAGTGAACACAGAAAGGGTGAGAATTAATGAATCTCTTATACTGAAATGCAGGCCATGGAAACATCTACTTGTGGCTATTAAATACTGGTCTAGTATTTTCAGGAATACTATAGTTCCAGATCAACTGAAAAAGAAGGTGAGTGAGCAGGGAGAAGAAGGACAGAAAAATTACAGCTTGTGAAAGATTGATGACACCACAGAATGTCACTCTTTGTATATTGACTCTGTGACTCAGGTTGTGGTGATTTGAATTCTATCCTATGAGACATTGTCATATTCTGAAGATGAGGATTCAATTAAACTAAATACACCTTGCTAGTGTATTTAATCAGATATATATTTTTTTTTAATGCATTCCTGGAAGAAACAAGTTGCTTTATAAAGCCTTCTTTGCATGTTCTTTGAATGTTCTCTAATTTCCAGTGTAAAAACTTGTATTTTTTCAACCAGCATTTCTCTGGAGAAGTGTACAGTTTTACCATAGAAAATATTTTTTTCTCAACCAGTTACAATAAGTGGCTTGCCCAGAGAGGTTGTGAAATCTTTTCCCATGGAGATACTCAGAACTCAACAGGACAAGCCCTTGAGCAAATGATTAAAATTGACCCTGCTTTAGGTAAAGAGTGAGCACAGATGACCTCTAGAGGGGACCTCAATTAATCAGTGGTTCTCTGATTATAATAAAGTCTCTTGTCACACATTATGCATGTTCTTCCTCAAGAAGTAAGTCTGAAATGGCTGATTTATGTGAATGTTGGTGGCCTGGCAATTATCACAAGGTGATAACTGATGATATTGGTGTCATGAGTCAAAGCTGAACACATGATCCATTTTTTGTTATATTTCATTTTCTGCTCCCTTTACTGCTGTGTTAGTTTTTATTTCTTTATCATCTAGACATCACTTTCTAGCAGATGGCTCATGTCAATAAACAGTTTTCTTATTTACATTTCCAAGCTGAGCAATGTTAACACTGATTTTTGTTTGCATATTCCTATAATGTGAAACTGTTTATTTCTCCAAACTTTTTAATGAGCCAAGTCTCTAAAGTCAATTGTAAAGGAACAGTATTCCTCTTAATGGAACATTAAGAAGCCAGAGGATACTAAGGGGTCTAAATACTAATATAACAAAGACAGTTTAGTAGATTCTATTCACTGAAGTATTTTTGTAACTAAGATAGACTTATTGATATTTTCTTTTAGATTTGCTTTGATTTGCAATTTTCTCCTTAGATTAGGTGAATGAACACTGCATTAAATTACTCTTCTGTATGGATTGTTCTTTTAGTTCCAATCTTGCTTATCTCAGTCTTTCCATATGCTTTCTTTTATAAACACGCAACATGAGGAAACTCAAGTGAACTGGATTTGCATATTCATAATTTAGCATCATCATCTCTTCTGAAAATAACTGAGCCTCACAAATGCATGTTTGTTAGATTTTCTGTGGACGAAATTGATAAAACGGTATTACAATATCCTGATTGAAAAAATAATCTATATCTTTAAAGATCTGTATTTATTTTTCTCATAAGTATTTGGAATCTTTTCATGTTTCTGTGTGAAAATATGTAACATATAAGAAATCAAATTTAGTTAAATATAGGTTTCACTTGTGAAATAGCTGTTACTGTGACTGTTATACTTTGTATGGCTTAAGTTACAATGTGCTGGAAAATGTATATGACATTCATCAGTAAATTTACAGACTGTTTTCAATCAATTTCCTCAATTTCTCAACTACTGTTAGAGTGTCAGGACCTTACTAGAAGATTCTTTGGTTTAGTTTGGTTTTCATCTGTGTTGCTTATGAAAAAAATTGCCAGTCCTCTGCTGACTTAACCTTAACCTCTGTGGGAGTAGTTTGCAGGAAATTTTTAGAGAAGCAATGCATAGTCTTGGTTGTGTGCTACCTACTTGCTGAAGTCTTAGACTTAAGAATCCCCAGTAGGCTGTAATAACTAAGAAAGAATGTGAGGAGCATTTAATATACTACAAAGTCTAAAAGACTAGGAAATAATTCCCTATACTTTAACTAGTCCTTAAACTAACAAATTTCCTGCCTGACTTTCTCAAATTTTCCTTCTCTCATACTCTGTACACCTTCACTTATTTCCTGGGTATTCCTTGAATTCAGCCTTAGTTGTCCCTGTTAGTGTGATCCATTTAGTTGTTGTAAGCTGCACAGAATGCAGCTTTATGACAATACCATTGATTTTCACTAGAATTTGTACAAATCCTCTTCGAATATTAATATGTGAATGTCTGTGTTCTCAATAAAAGCAGTTTCAGCCAATGCTGTTGTAGTTTTCCTGAAAAGCACTATTTCTCCTCCTGAGAGCAAGTAAACCTACATTTTTCCCCTTCTCTAAACTACATGTTCTCTGCTCATTGCTGGACAGCCATTAGGTAACTGTTCGAATGTGAATATGCTATGTAAAGCTCTCTTGAAAATACATACAACCCATAGGAAAGAAAACAGTAGCAGAGAAAAGAGTTAAAGATCTCCTTGCTGCAGTCATGACCCTAAACCGTCATTGACTCCTGTGCTGGGGGTGGCATCAGACATCCTTTTTCCTGCTGACTTTAGTTGTAACATTCAAGTTCTTGGAGCCAAGAGTGACAATGGAACCCATGACTCTATCTGTTGAATTTCATTACATGTCCATGTCATTAAATTTTTCTTAATTGCCAGATGTGTGTTCATTATATGACTCAAAAAGAGACACCTGTGTCATGATGAGCACAGAAATCAGGTCAATTATCAGAACCAGATCCAAAGTTGCCACTTTAGTTTCAGCTGAAGCTCAGGACCAACTTTTTTCCCACCCCACACTTGAGTAACCCATAACTCCACGTTAACCTCCCATCCATGCCCTCTTTTCCATATGAAGGAAATGCTTGTACAGGCTGGAAGGAAATCATGGCTCTCAGAAAACAAGAAGGAAAATAAGTTGACAGCATTTCAATAGAACAAGACATGCTTTGGGAAGAGTCAGGAAGTGGGAGGGCTGTCACAAGGCAAGAATAGATATTTCTTTCTTATCTGAAGAATTAAGCCCTGGTGGCTGTTTTCTTTTTCTTTTGCAGTCATCTCTAACAAACAGTGACATCATCTTTGTGAAGTTGCATGCCCCTTGGGAGGTCCTGGGCAAATACGCTGAACTAATGAATGTAAGAATGCCATTCAGGTAGGTGTAGTTGTATTTTGTCTTCACACTGTACTGTAAAGCTAAAGTAAAAAATAACAGCAGAATGCACATGGAAAGCTTGTCTGTATGATACCACACACTCTTAGAAAATATAAATGGAGTGTCATACATACCATATTCATTGTTCTTTCTTGTTAATGTCTGCCTGCGATTTCAGTAGAGTATTGGTTTGAAATTAAGGTGAGCTGTAGCAGTGCAGCTGTTTTCATGGGGTATTCTATCCTTAGGCCCTTTAACCCCTTCACTGCTGGAGCCCCCTGCATACTTGTGCGCTGCTGTTTTTTAAATGGACATTTCATTGAAATCAATGGGAGGTCAAGAAGATCCAGGTACGTAAGGCAGCACAGAAGGTGCATGTCTGTTGGACGTATCTGATATGTTCAGCACTGTAAAATTTCTGCTTGTATAATGCATAAGTTCAGAAATACAGATTATAAATACGTATCACTTCTAGTAGGAGCACAGTTCAGGCTGTAAGTGCTTTGCCTGTGGAGAAAATAAATTTGATTGAATGCCACTGACAACCAAATTAATTTCACATCATCATTCAGATTATTTTGGTCATTTTTAAATATTATTTGCATGTTGGGCTATGGAATTTTTTGTATAAAATATCAATTTTACTGTGCTGGCTATCAGAACTGTTAGAATAGCTTGAAGACTTCAACTCGTACTGACCAAAACCCATGAACTGAGAGGACTTGATTTTTCTTTTAATTAGCAGGGTTTGCAGTTGCTTAATTCCATTTATTTTAATGGAATTACTCCTGAGCAAGATAAAGATCAGACCCAGAATATGCAGTAGTGAATTGATGTTTTTTGCAGGATTTCTATTCCTATTTTCTTCTTGCTTAAGGACAAAAAATTGCCTCTAGTATGACACGAGCTCTGTAATGTTAAGAACATTCTAGGAAAAGTGGATATGAAGTAAGGACTAAATTGCAGGCTTATTCTACATGAATTGGGTTTTCTTTTGTTTTTTGTTTACTAGCAAATCTTCAACAGCTCTTTCTTGAGTTTTTGCTGCTACAGAGAAAAATGCATAGGCTATCACAAGTCATTACAGCAGATGGCATCATCAGTAACACTTACTTTTGACCCTTGTCTGCTCCTGCTGAATAGGGCAAGAGATACAGCACTACTTTGTGGAAGATTTGGCCAAAGGAGTCTGTGATCTCTCTAGTGAAGGTCACAGCTGTGGTGTAATAGGCACCTGTGAGGAGAACAAGAGCTGTGGAGTGGGACAGAAGGTGGACATCCCATACTGTATCTACACAGGATGGTTAGGGGCCGCTGCCCTCAGTGATGTGAACCCTGCAAGGCCCATAGGAAAGCAGATCATAGAATCATAGAATCATAGAATCATAGAATCACCAAGGTTGGAAAAGACCTACAAGATCATCCAGTCCAACTGTCCACCCACCACCAGCAGTTCTTTCTAAACCATGTCCCTCACCGCAATGTCTAAACATTCCTTGAATACCTCCAGGGTTGATGACTCCACCACCTCCCTGGGCAGCCCATTCCAGTATTCCAGTGCCTGACCACTCTTTCAGAAAAGTAGTATTTCCTAACGTGGCAAGATGACAAGATCAAGAGACTGTGGTCAGCATGCATCTGATTGTGCACCTTGTCTGCTCACTTGTTCCCCATGCACGCCCACACACAGCTTATTGCACTGACAATAAAAATCAGCAATGCCTATAAAAGGGGCAGAGGGAGTGACTATATCCTGGGGTGGGTGCTGAATACATACCCAATTACTTATGTAATCTATATTGTTTCAAGGGATGATGCTCCATCAGTAAACACAGGTCCACATTGGCATTGCATGTGTTACTGGCATATTGCAGCATCAGGCACCATTTCCCTGGCTTTTCTAAATGACTCCCCCTACATTTTATCAAATGCAGTTTTGGTAACTCACTGGTAGATTTGAGATACAGAGAGAATAATTTATCCATCTTTGTATTGGTCCTGCAAAATTCCTACAACTGTTTATGGACTTCTTGGAAATAGACACATCTTTCAGTCCCTGTCTTTCACACATGACAAGTAGCAGAAAAAGAGAAGACAGTGAGGAAACAATGACCTCCTTGCAATTCAAATGCCACTAGAGTCTTTGTGGCTTCCTGTGACAGTTCTGTAATCTCTCTTTTAGTCTCTTCCTCCACCTCTTACAGGCTTCTGTCTTCAATCTCCTTTCCTTCCTTGCTAGTTCATACTGTAACTGACGATGGGTTTTCTTCTCGACTGGCTTCATTTTTGCTGTTCTTCCAGGAGAAAAATCTATTACCTGCACCGCCGATACAAGTTCATGAATAGGTGAGTACAACTCTTTTGCTAGCTCAGTTTATGTTAATTTGGACCCAATCACTACAATAATGGTTAAGGTCAAGCTGGAAGTGAAAGCTTATTAGTAGTGTTTCTAGAAAGGTTGGAGGGTGCAATTACACGCTAGGACATCTGCAAAAACTGATACAGCATTTGCCGTGCAAAAGAGGCAATTCATTTTACCAATGTTGCCTTTTTTAATAATAAAGAGATATTTTTGGATTGATGGAGACTTTTAAGAAAGAACTAGTGTGTTACTGCAAACTCTTATCTATTTATTTTCATGTCGTTCATTTGGAAGTTTTGGGGGGATTAAAATACCACAGGTACTGCTTTTTCATTTCCATGCACCTGGCTTGCTTGTTACAGTAAATGATGTTATTTACTTATTATTTCCTCTGTGAAGATGCTTAGTACTTTGTTGGTAGATAGGAATGCAATGAACCATATCCTTCACTGGTGTGAAGCTACTGAGCTTGAGAAATGAGTACTTTTGAAGAACCTCTGAAGTCCTTTCACTTACTTATTTAATATCTTAAGGTTATATTTGATCTATTTTCTGCCTGACTTTATGAAACAAAAACTTCCAGTGTGCATTTTCTTTCTGATACCTCAGACAATTGAATGAAAATGTCTCCAAAGAGGCCCTAAAAATATACAAGTTTGGCAAAGACCAGCTCATATTTTGGCATTTAATGCTGCAGTGCTGTTGATGCAGTTTTCAAAAGGGTCTAGCATTTGATTGACTGTCTCACTCTGAGATCAGTGGAAAGACTCACATGAAATTCTGAGGGAGAAGAATTAGATTTGAAAATTACAGAATCACAGAATCATAGAATGCAGAATGGCCAGGGTTGGAAGGGACCTCAAGGATCATGAATCTCCAACCCCCCTGCCACACGCAGGGCCACCTACCTCCCCATTTAATGCTAGACCAGGCTGCCCAGGGTCCCATCCAACCTGGTCTTGAACACTTCGAGGGATGGGGCATCCATGACCACTCTGGGCAGCCTGTTCCAGCACCTCACCACTCTCTCTGTAAAGAATTTCTCCGTGACATCCTACCTAGATCTCCCTTCCCTCAGCTTAAAACCATTTCCCCTTGTCCTGCTGTCACTCACCCTTTCAAAGAGTTGACTCCCCTTCTGTTTGTACGCTCCCTTTAGATACTGGAAGGCTGCAGTGAGGTCACCCCTCAGCCTTCTTTTCTCCAGGCTGAACAAGCCCAGCTCCCTCAGCCTGTCTTTATAGGCTTCATGGTCAAAAATCTGCATATTGAAGGAAACAGCTGTATCACTCTGCAGATAATGTCACTAGATGAACATACATAGGAAAATGAATTATGTATTATCTCTTTGCTGCATGAGCATATTAAAAAGCCTTTTATATATTAAATCCCATCATACTGTGTTGGTGACTTGAGAGTACCAGCACTGATCTCAAATTATGGTATGTGCTTCTTTTACACTGGTAAACACCCAGTGGGCTCTTTGTGGAGTTAAGACATTTTACGCAGTTGGCATCAGCTAGTAAACAAACCCTGTTCTTCTGAAGTTGGTCAGTGTTCCCTCATTTGCAGTCACCACTTTTCAATGAGTACATATTGCCTGCTAACTTCAGATTTTATTGGGATTTTAGTTAAGACATGACTGCTTTCACTACAGCAGTAGATCAAAGGGAAGGATTAGGAGAAGATTCTCACATTTATATTTGGCATATGAAATTTCACTTTACATTCATTTTCTCATCAGTCAGCATGTGATTCACAGACAGAATCCGGAGTGCAATTTTTTCTGTGTTTTGGATTTTTTTTTTAGTTCCTGAATGATGACAGCATTTGGCTAAATTCACTTTTTATGGTCAGCTCTGTGACTAGCTGCTTGAGGCAGAAAAGCTGAATAGTCCCAGTGGGATAGGAAAGAAAACATATTCAGCTGTATTTCATTTATGTTATACTTAGATCTACAGCTTCAGTAAAAATATTTCCTTTACAAGTTCAGTTAAGATTAGAAGCCTTGGTCTTTTTTTTTTTTTTTTTTTTTTTTTTTTTTTTGTGCTAAAACAAATATTATATTGACATTGAGGTAAAACTAATATTAGAGAGGGCTTTTGTTACAGGGAAAGTCCAGAGAACTTGCAACTCATCAGTCTCACTTGAATTTTCTGTCTAACAGTTCTAATGGTCCCAAAATTTCAAATAATAAAACTGCCCTAAACAGTTATAGAGGAAAGGAAGGGAATCAGGTATGTATACAAGATCTAGAACTCAACCTGAGCTGTGGTTAAAAACTTGAACAGTATCTAGCACTACACTATCCATAAAGCTCTATCAAAGCTGAGCCAGAGATATAATCAATCTCAATTCTAAACAATTGTTTTGATTTTTCAAACTTCCTCTTTCCTTAGGGAAAAAAATATAAAAGATTCTATACCTACTCTGCTTTCTAGCAATAAAACTGTTTGAAATTATTTGAGAAATCAGTTTGTGTGTTAAGCACAATGTCCATCTTTGGAAACAGGACACTGGGTAGAGGCTAAGCCTGGACAGCAGAGGCAAGGCCAGGAGTGGAGTGGGATGTGTCTTTGAGTCACCACATGCATTGAGACAGTTAATTTTTGCCATGTGAGGCTAACAAGTGTATTTTTATTTAAGTATTTAGGAAAGAAATTTTTAACAGCTCTGCCACTTTCCTTTTTCATTGTGGTTAACTTTACAGTGCCTCTTCACTCCATGTACTGTCTTGCTCTTGTGTAGGCTGCTCTGTTTTCCAAACACTATGCCCCCTATTTAGGGAATGTGAAGTCCAGGTTATCCTTGAAAAAGCAATAAAATACATATAACACTTGTGTCTCTTTTCTTAAAAAAGAGGATAATGCTCAGTACAATGCCTGCTCTGTTGACTCATGGTGCTGTTGGGATGGCCTGGATGCATTTAAGCGTGGTCATTTTTCTTTTTGAAGGAGAAAACTATTTTTTTTTTTTAAAGGATGGCTCTGCTGTACTCTTAAGCTGTCAGTTGTGCAGAAAGTCACTGCAACCTTTCCAGACCTGCTTGCCAGCAGGAAAGGAGCAAGCTCACTAAGCATGCCAAGTAGTCTGAACCTTGCGAGTGGCAAATCAGTGAAATTCTGGGCATATGCTCAGTGAGAAGCCAACATGAATAATGCATTGTTCTTAATCTGTGAAAGCACTATGTTCATGCCTGCATGTGCTGTGATAAACCTGCAGCGCACATATCTCAAATGTGCACTTGCAGAATGAATGGGAAAGGGTTGCAGATTAGCAAGGGGATTAATAGCTTAGAGAATTCAAATTATTGTGGTCAACAAATAAGCATGGCCTGGGAAATTTAGAAAATCCTTCTGCCTGATTCCTCTTCCGTTTTCCACATCCAGGGTCACTAAGTCTACTGAACATACTGTAATACAAAGCTTGTAACCTTTACAGAGGAAAAAGCTGGAAGCCAAGATAGGGGGAATCCCCCAGGAGTAATCTTACTTTTCCCTTGTCATTCCTATCAGTCTCTTCACAGACTAGCTCAAGGCAGGGAATCTGGAAAGGACTAGAGACTTACAACAGGTCTGGCCCTTCACAGAATTGGGATCTGACAATGTCTTCCATGCACTCAGGCACAGACACTTGCAAACTAATTCTTCCTCCACTCTGAGCTTCTGGACTGGGGTGAACAATCAATGCCCATTAAGTTTCTGATAACTTTAGTATAAGTCTCATGCTGTGCTCTTACACGCATTGCCATGCTTCTGATCAGTTCTGATGACCTATTTACACCTCTGCTCCCATTTTATTCACAGATAGGAAATACAGAAATTGTACCAAAATGGATAGGGCTTGTGTGGTTACAATTTTAATTGAATGTCCATGTTTAAAAATAAGCATTAGCTTTCCTGTCCAAGATAAAACATATGAGGAGAAAAGGTTGAATATTCCAGGAAACATTACATGTATTTTGAATGGAAGTATGTGATCATTTCTGTAATAATTTCATGTTACTGTCCTACACACTTAGCTGCGTGGCTATAGATTTCCCTCCCTCAAATTGTGCAGAGCTCCCAGCATTTTCTGGAGTCACAGAGTTATTGGACTGGCTTATGTTAAAAGTTAAAAAAAAACAAACCACCTAGATTTCCAGCCTTTGAACTTCATCTACAACTGGTCTTAAACTTCAAAAGATATTGGTTTATGCTCCAAAGCAGGAAAGACTTGTCCTGTGACAGAAGTACGGGCATGCCCATAATTTGTCATCTGATTTTTGCAGGCAGAAATCACTGTTTAGAACTTGAAGGTGTGAGGGAGGGTAGGGTTCATTTTGCCAGACACATCTCCTCTTTGTTATGTGTTTTCATCATAACATTTTCATTATAATGTTTTAGTATGGATGTGAATTTGTTTTAGATTGTCTCCTCCACCCAGCTCTGATTGTTCCCTTTCCAGTAATTTCAGCGTGCATCTTTGCATGAGTACCCTTGTGATTAAATCCAGCTTAATCTTACTTGTTTTCAACTTCTATATTTAACAACCTGTGCAGCTGTCACCTATTAATCTGTACACTGAGTATTTTAGTTTTGGGTAGGTTATAGTATTGCAAGACACTACAGTTAAACCAAATGAACAAAGTAGTCTATTTTGTATGGCACCAATTGCAAGGTAAGAATCAGTACAGAGGGCAGGAAAAGGATGCAGCTTGCTGGGGTTTAACTTTCAAAGCTCTCCATCATAGTCTGTATGTTCTCATGTTTATATGTCCAAAGTCTAATATGTCAGTTAAGCCTGAAATTTAAATTAAGTAAATAGCTGATAAATAAAGGCTTAGAGAGCTGCCAAGAGCTTAATGGGCTTATAAAGATTTTTAGCAGCATGTAACATTGACATTGTTTTTCTGCTGAGACAAAATAAGACTCTCGTTCACTGAAAGCTGGTTATTAATAATCAAGTTCAGCGTGTATAATCTGGTCAAAAATGTCAGACAGTGCTTCTTTTGTAGCTGTAGATAGTAAGTGGCCTAGTTTGCCAGCATATGTACTTTGCACTGAAAAAATGTAATTAAAAAACCATATATTTCTCACTCTCTCAAATGCTCACACTTTTCATGTATTGCAGGATCGAGAAACAAATAAGCAGGTTTCGAGGATGGTTACCTAGAAAGCCAATGAAACTGGACAAGGAGACACTGCCAGATCTAGAAGAGAATGACTGCTATACTGCTCCATTCAGCCAACAAAGGATCCATCAGTGAGTACTTTATTACATCACAAAATCATAACTTAATTACAAGACTAAAACTTTTCCTTCTGGATTCACCTTTGAAAAAAATCAATTTATTGTGTGCCTTAAACATTAGTGCCTTCAGATTAGTTCTTTGTCACACAAAGGGGGAGATAGAGAGTCCTGAGAGAGCATAAAGTTTCTCTAATAATTAAATGTCCAAATCGAAGCTAAAAGAAATCAATAGAAAAGTTCCTTTTGATTCACTAGAATTTCAATTAAATCCCTAAAGTAGTCAACTGACTAATTCTCTCTTGAGTCAGAACTGCCTTTTTTGTGTATGTTAAAGATGTGCTTAAAACTTCTTATTCAGCAGTTCCGTTCTTAGTATAATCAATATTCTTCTAGCACTGATGGTCAAGATAAATGGATACTGCATTTCATTCCTGGTGATGTGTGTAAAAGGACAGTGTCATTTTGTTTGAATTTCTCTGTCTTTAACTTTTACAGAAACAAAACTGCTTGCATAATGCCAGTGTTCAGGTCAGTTACACTTGTCCAACCATACCAAAGGCATCAGTGTTGCAGCAATGGTACTAGAGAAATCATTTGACTAGTAGTTTTTATTCACTTGCAAAATGCAAAACAGAAGAAGGCTTAGCATTTCTTTCAGATTCCAAGATGATTTTTTTAGGGCTAACTTTGGGGAAAGAAGGTGTCATACACTTAGTTACTGTTTGTGACGCTGGGAGTGGACATCGGCTACTCGAGAGCAAAGTCTCAAAGAATTGGCAGCGCTGACCAGGGTACTGACAGAAAACTGAGGTGATACGGAATGAATTACCGGCAGATCAAAGAATAACAGTAAAAAAAAAAAAAAAAAAAAGTGTGATTTTATTTGAGGTGAGGACAGGTCGAGTAACTGCTCTTTGAATAAACACTTCATTCATATCCCTTACTTTGAGTGAAGAGTTTTTCATGGAGTGGATTTACTTACTGCAAAATGAGTTAATGAAATGAAAGTCATCCGCTGCAAGCAGTGTCTTTTCAAAAACAGCAGAAAAACAAAACTAGGTGCAAATCTCTGGGGAAATTTCAGTATAATTCTGCTCCTAGCACAAGCCGCCAGTCAGTGACCTCCACTAAATATTTGTGCCCTGAACAGATGTCAGATCCAGACTAAAGAGTCTTGTGATATTTGAACAAAAAGATGGGTCAGTTACTGTGCCCTGCAATGTGAAAAGCATATGCAAATTAGCTTAGTAATAGACCAGTGAAATAAATATTAAAAAAAAAAACAACTAAGAAATCGGGATGTCTTGACTGATATTTTTGTTAATGGTAAAATAGTCCCTTCCAACTGCAATTATTCTATGATTAACCATTAACAGCCTTTAAATTTTTGGCACGACTTCTTTTTTGTATTATTCTGTTTATTATTATTTTTTTCCTTTTCTCTCTCTCTCTCTCTCTCTTTTTTTTTTTTTTTTTTTTTTTTTTTTTTTTGGTGACAGGAAGAAAAGTTGGTGTATATGAACCACAGTATTTCATTCCTTATTCTGCATTGCTCATATTTGATTTGGTATACTAGCAAGCTTCTTAGTAAATACTGTTTTGAGTTCATTAGCATTCCTGTTGTTGTTTGGCACTTATATCATTGCAGATTTTAAAGCTCTAACTCCCCAGAAGTTCTGATACTTTCTATTTTGCTTTCTGTTTAGTCTCCAATTCCTTTAATGAGGGGACTGATATAGTGCTGGCTGAGCTGCCTTATTTCTCCAAAAAGCAGTTGGCTCTGGGAGGAACCTTGTACTCCTATTATGCTCCAGCCTTTTGACTGTATCTGTCTTATTCTCCTTCATAAGGACTTTGAAATATAGTGACTTATTCAATATTTGTGTTTTGGCTTAACCCAGCAGCAGCTAAACACCATGCAGTCATTCACTCACTCTCCCCAGTTGAGATGAGGGAGAGAATTGGAAGCAAAACAGAACTTATGAGTTCAGATAAAAACTATTAAATAAGACAGAAAAGGGAAACTGAAACAAAAATGCAATTATAACAATATGTATCTGTATATATATATACATTTCCACAGTGCAATTATTCTCCATCTGTTCACCAACACTGAGCAACATCACAACTGCCCAACGACTGATACTCCACGAGCAATGCAGCACAACATCTCACCACCTACTGACTATCTTTTAATTGCACTAAAAATAATTTTTCTAGCTATCGTACAAGTATTTCTAGAGAGCAAGCTATGTACTTCTGCCACTTGAACATGTCTAGAAATGCTGTGTTATCATTGATTGATGCTTATCCAAGACATTTTTAACTATTGCTTAATGATCACATAGTAGAATAGTCACAAACACGACTGTCTTGAAAATATAAATATTCATATACTGAGTTTGCAGGCAAGATCTCTCATGTATTCACAGTAAATTTGACCACTCTCTGTAGCTGGAGGTAGCAGAATTCTTCTTCCTATTGTGATTTTATGTGCTTTTAATTTTTTAAAGTATTGTTCCTTAAATGAGCTTGTTCATCTTTTATGTTTGTCTCGGTACTGCAATATGGGTCTTGAATTTCTTCCTTTCTTCACAGTCTCAGATATTTTTCACCTCAGTAAACACTGGTAGTTTACCTTTTTTTCGATCTAGTCAAGCTTTTATATTCAAGTCTCCTGTGTGATATGGATGATGCTTGAAACACGATCTAAGTACAGTCTTCACTTCTGATAGGCACTGTTAAAGGCATGGAACGACAGAAAACTGACAGCATTTAACATGTGGAGCCAGCAAAAAAAGAAGGGCAAAATTCATTGTATTTCCTAAGCAATAGGAAATCTCTTTTCGGAGGAAAGAAGTTCTGTCTGGCTCAGACAAGCATTTTGTTGGGATTTTGTAGAATAGAAAATGATAATTTTCAAGATAGTCTTCTGAGCAGTATCTCACTTCTGCAGCCACAGATTATGAAGGGCTTTATTTACACCAAACCATTTCTTCTGAAAATTATCAGTTGCAAGAATGCATAATTCACTATATCCAAAAAATGTTTTCCCTCAGACATGATGGTAATTAGTTATTTTTTTTACTATGTCTTAGTTATTTTATGTAGTGAGCTACTAGTTAGCTGGGAATAGTAACACTAGTAATTATCTGCAATTTCTTAGGTAGTGGTATACTAGCTAGGAACATGATCCTAATTGCTGCTTAGAGATTTCAGACTTCAGGAGCTATTTTCCCCTTCCAAAGGCAACAAACTCTCTGCTTAAATATTAATATACTATATAATTGAATAAAGCCCCTAAAATAATTGTTTATTATTTCAGTAAAAATTAGTTTAAAACTTTACACAATTTGGAGACTAGGACAGAACCTGGATTAATTAAAATCAATTAAAAAGTAAAATTAAAATATATACCAGAGATTCATGCAATTATTCTCATTTGTACTGATTCCCCACATACAAGAAAATACTGTCCTGTATTTTTGTCAGGTTTCCAAGATGTTTGTCTGTCAGAGTGGAGTTGCATTTTATATTTTCTTACCCTTAATAAATGCCATCCTCACCAAGATGATCTGCACCCCTGTCCCAATAGCTGCCTCATGCTGAGGTCATGGATGGATCAGAAAGCTGTCACCACTGGCAGTAAGGCACAGGAATGCATGAACACTTCCTTGGTTTGAACCAAGATGGTCATTCTTGTGTTTGTATGTAGGTCACTCCGAAGTTAACAATCCCTATTTACTTCCACAGAAATTACAACAGATACAAAGAGCACGATATCACTACTTGATAGAGCAAATTCTCAGCTACATGACACTATTTTTCAGCATAGTCACTACCATTAGTTATGTATTTTCACTAGTGATGAACAAGAGCCTGCATGCTGTGCTCATAAAAATCTGCACCACCTACGGTGACACACTGCTTCACAGCTACTATGATGGCATCATTGCTAGAAAAATGTTGCTGATGCAGTCCGTATTTTGTTGACCCAATTGGATGGAAATCAGAAGGCACTTAATCTGCACTATATAGTGGTGTGACAGGACAGTGTAGCCAACACTGGCAATGTGCTCCTCCGTCTTCAAATTTGACGGGCTTTGCATTATTGTGTTGCAAGAGAAAGTTTGTCTTCTTCTTTGGTCTGAAAGTTCAATCCTTTCTATTTATCTTACTTGCAGCCTTGTAAGTCACATAAAATGAAAACAGAAAGCAATCATCATATACTTATTTTCAAACAAATAATGTACAGGGGTTGTGTTAATATTCTCACTGGAATACTGCATGTTCATCTTGTTGCTGCTGTAACAGCTGTTTATTTCCTCTGATGTCAAGTGAGTAAAGACCTGCCATTGCCTCAGCCAACAACAGCAAATTAGCACCAGTGATTTACCTGGCAGTGCAGAAGGGTGGGCATTTTTTCTGTACAAGGGAAATATACTTCTCATATATTTATTCCTATGCTGAAACATCTTCTGTGCTTCGGTTTTCACTGATTCCAGAAAAAGGCATTTGCTTGGATCATACATTTTAGTATGTTGAGTGTCAGACACCAAGCATTTCAGTGTCAGGGGATCCCACGGAGCAAACATGCACATTGGTATGAGCACACATGCTCACTTTGTAGCTTTGTAACCAGGCCCTGGGTGGGCGTTCAACTTTCAGAATGCGCATCTCACTCATAGAACACAAAATAGCCCTTCCTTGTCTTTTACTGCTCCAAAATAAACAGAAAACTTAGAGAATTTCTTTTCAAAAGGGTATTGGACACAGATTCAAGAGCTAATTCTATCCCTACTGGGTTTGTACAACCTGTAAAATTGTCAAAGAGAATGCATGAACAGGAATCCATTGGCAGTTTGTTCTTTGTTGAATTTATAGTTATTTGAGGGCTTTCTCTAGATGACAGTCGGTTTTGTTATGCTTCATCCATTGAAAGTCAGTTTGAAATCTCCAGTTCAGAATCTAATTAAGAAAGCTAAAAATATAATTTCAAAACAATTAACCTTCAGTGATTTGTCACGTCTCTTACAGTGGGAATGTAAGAGCAGTATTTCCAGAATGACAGTTTTTAAAGGGACTTTAATTAAGGATCAGCTCTGGAATCCTTCCTGGCAGAAGTACTCTCATTATCTTCACTGGGATTTTATTTCTTTTTTTTATAGCTTTTTTTTTGTGTAAGGACAGCTCACACAAATAAGGCTCACAGAAATAGGCTAATGGGTATAACTCTTATGGAAAAAATCACTGGATTTATTATCTACCTATATATTACCTTCACAAGGAATAAAAATACCATTGTATTGCTTATTTTTTGCCTCACAAAAGAGATGACAAAGTGACTAAAACCTTCAACTGAACTTTCTCCTAAACAAAACCTGTACCTCACTGAACTTGAAAACCAGCTGCATCACTCTTATGAATATTCAACCTTTTTGCATAGTGCAATTCTAACAAGTGCAGCAGAAATAGAACAGCTAAGGAAACTGTTCCATCTGAAAGCAGCAAGGGTTAAAAAACTGCATGGAAAGTCTCTGCTTTGTGCATTTTATAGCTCAGTAACACCTGATGGATGTTTATCTGCACCTAATTTGGAAATATCTTCAGCTTTGACCTCCGTGAACTGAAATTTGAAGAGTAAGATTCTCCACAGAATGAAAAAGTCTTTTTATTTGAATTTGGATGCTGTAGATCATGAATGAGCCCCGATCATTAGTCTGTGAGTATGAATTTATCACTCCAAAAGGTGACAACTCGGAGCACAAAAAATTTGAAGGAAGAAAAGCCAAGGAAGTGCAGGTGAGGAGGGTGGTGGTACAAAAGCATAAATCTTGCACTGAAGTGCATGATTCTCAACTGACAGAGGCAGCCTCTCTGATTTTGGATGAAAATTGTAATCTCCACCAGCATTGTTGTAATTAATGTCATTTGGGATATTTTCATCCTTTTAGTTCCTCCCAGTTATTTCTGCCCATTTTTATTCCCTGCACCAGTCCCTTTGGCTGTGCTAACACAACTCTTTTGGGGGATGTTCTATAGAAAATTTCACAGAAATAATCAAGATGATCAAATGACCAAAGGCAAAACAATCCTTGTTCTTGGTTTGTTTTTTTTTTTCAAAAATTAAGCAAGGTGGTTGTTTTTGTTTTGTTCTGTTTTTTTTTTTTTAACCTTTACAACATAATCTCTGTATCCATGTCTGCATGAGTATGCTAGAGAATACATGTTCTTGACCTACTCCAGCTGTGAATTTTCCCTCTTCTCTCCCCTTCCTGTCCCTACATGCATGTTAATAGCACAAGGATGGGCAGGGCCAAACTCTGCAGCTCACATATGCCTTAGTTCTGGAACAGGCAGAGTTTTTCATGGTAGTATTCATAGTGAAGTGTTGACAGCTGCTTTTCAAGCACATCTGCTTGTTCTTTCTTGGCCAAGTGAGATCAACAGCTACAACAGTACAGTTGCTAAGTTTATAAATGAGTGCAAATCTCTACAGTGTTCTTTTAATCAAATAGTTCTTATTTCCTTTTAAGATTGAACAGTGTTTGATTTTAGTCTTTTTTTTTTTTCACTCATGAAAATAGAAGCAAATAAATGCAGAAAGGCTGTTAAGCTACTTGTCCAGAAAAGTGGTTGAAAGAACTGCTGATGGTTGCAGAATGTCCTAGTCATGATACCAAAAAAGCATTATATCACAAAGAGAACAGATAAATGCTACTGATTTTTACCATTACCTGAATCACTGTTTACATTCCCAATTGAATCCTTCAAGAGCTCATAGATAATGAAAATTACTGTGCTGGTTTGATTTCAAAAGTTACCTTCATTGTTCTTTAACAGTAAGTGCTACCTAGAAGGTGAGATCTTGGAAATTAAGGTCGGACATGAAGAGAAAATGAAACAGTGGAAAAAATGCTAGCAATTTATTTCTTTTTTAGTACTGTCTTAATTTCTCTCTGCTACTACTGGAACAACCTACTGCATAAATCTAGCTTTATCTGGATACAATGCTCTTTTATCTGCTTCAGAGATTAGGCTGTTTTTAATCTGATTTCCTTAACATTATGAATTATGTGATAACAGCATTTCCTTTTTTTTCTATCATCTCTTATTTTATGTGCTGGTTACTTTCAACTGCATTTAGTACAAGTCTGTTTGTCTCAAAGAGAATCAGTCTCTTATTTACTTTGTGAGTACCAGCTGACTGAAATGGGACTGGGGCTCAAATTTGTGCCTATGCCAAAAAGGCAGTCAGCATACACCAAGTATATATGCTGTTTGGTACCAGCCCAGTGGTAAATGATCACACACACTGCAGTCAGCTGATATGCAGAAATGACAGCAGGCACTCTGGGGCACATGTAGGATTTTGGGAGATGGGATAAAGCCAGAAGTGTACTGCTGGATAGATAGTAGACACAGAAATGACCTGTGAGTATCTGAGATGCAGTGGGAAAGGGTTGTTTCTAGAAAACCAAGTGTTATTAATTGTGCTGCTCTCAGAGGAATTTGTCTGTTATATCTTTACTTTTGGAATTTTTTGCTGCGTGCCTTTGAAACTGAACATTATGAACTTACAGGTTGTCTTATATTGAAAGTTCAGTAGTGATTTTTGGATAAAAAGAAAGGAACACGTGGAGTCCGTAAAGTGCAGAACTTGGACTCCTGGCTTTCCAAATGAATGTAGAGATGCAGAGCCATATAGCTTTTCCTATTTGCTCTAAAGAAGAGGGTTTTGGGAAAATTACCTGAGGGGAAAACGGAGCAGTAAATCCCATATAACACAGAAGAGAAGGTGATGTAGATACACGCCAAACTCTCTATTAAGATTTTTTCTTTTTTTTTTTTATCTAGCATATGCTCTGGCCTCTTTATGAAAGTTCTGATTTTACCTTTTTATTTATCAGTTTATTCAGTTCCCTGGAGCTCTTCACTGACACAGAAGAAAACAATCTTACATCCTATCCTAAGTTTTGTTTGTTTGTTTGTTTGTTTGTTTTTAAGATGAACCTTTCCATTCAATCAGTTACTAAGGCCCATATTTAATATTTAATTTCTTCAAATATATGCACAAGCATATTTCATCAGAAAAACGCCAACCACGTCTCTGGTTATTCAAGTGTCTAAATGACTTTCACAGTCTATTCTGAAGCCTTTACACAAGTCAACTGGGAAGGCTGGTGGCCCTGTCTGTAGCAGGGGGGTTGGAGATTCATGATCTTTGAGGTCCCATGCAACCTGGGCCATTCTGTGATTCTGTGAAGTTGAGCTGGTATTTCTAAACTGAAATTCTGGCATTAAATATTTCCAGTGATATGATGATGTGCTAAAATATCTTGTTTTCTTCAAATATGTATGTTGTGGCTAATAAATCTATATAAAATATACAGTGCTGGAAAATCTAACCAATACAATTAATTTTGTGGGTTTTTTGGTTTTTTTTTTTTTCAATTTCCCAGACCCTTCACAATTCTGTCTAAACTATTGAACTTGCATTCATGTGTAACTCCATGAGTAGCTTCTGCAAGCTGGTTTTAAGAGTCATTTTTTGCCACGTGGCTGCTTTCATCTGACTCTTAATGGTAAAGCATAATAAAGAAGCCAGAAATAGAAATGAAATCTCTACAGCTGCATTTACAAATCTTACTCTTTTGCAAATTTTTATGCAACTATTTTCTGGTTCTCAGTGAATCTATCTAAATGTAATGCTTATCATAATGACTGCTTATATATCATTGATCTTTCTCCAGACTTCTCCAAGCCATTCTTTGCTAGGGAATGAATACAGTTACTGAGATCATCTCATCTGGTGAATCATCTCAGTTAATCTGATGTCCTTTAATCTTCCTTACACTTGCTCAAATAGATTTTAAACATGCTACAGAAAACAGTGGAGCTTAATATTTGCTTTAAATATGCTACTACATACTCCTAAGACGGCCTTGTTTGTGTTTTTATATAGCTTCATCATACACAACAAAGACACTTTCTTCAATAACGCTACAAGAAGTAGAATTGTACACCATATCTTACAAAGAGTGAAATATGAAGAAGGGAAAAACAAAATTGGTAAGTACTTTTTAATGTGGATGATAAATCCTATCAGAAAAATAAGTATCAGTCTGGCTCTTTTGCTTTGTTTATAATTATTTTTAGAACAGTGCACATCTCACCCGTTGCTAGGTGGCAGGGGATTTTCCCAGAAAGAGCTGACCATTTCACTAGAATGCTGGGCTGCTTCCCCAGGCATTTATGTCCCCCCATGAGATTTATTACCTCAAAGAGGAAAGAACCTGACTCAAAGGAACCTTTTCTGCAGAAAACCTTTTACTCTTTCAAAGACATACATACTGGAAGGAAAGCAAAATTTGTGCTGCTGTCCATCCCAGCCTGTAGGGCATCTCCATGGATATCTGTTCCTCCAAAAGTGAGAAGTGAGATCCTCTAGCTCTGTAGCTACTTTAGGTCAAAAGGGAGGGATGAGGGAAGCCATGGCTTTGAGCAATGACAGTGAGAGAAAAAGAGAAAAGGAAGGGGAGAATTCATGTAGTGAATGTAGTGCACACACCCACAATGAAATCCCTGCCTGCCTCCCAAATTCCCTCACATATCTGCTTGAACCTACATGAACTAAGCCTTGCACAGATCAGTGGGCTGAATAGAGCCCAGCTCAGCTGTACGTTTTGCTTTTCTGCCAAAGACACTTCAGGAGAAAAGACATTCTGCCACACAGATACTAATGCTATCACTGAACATGTTATTTATGTTGAATTAGTAATTCTCATTGCTGTGTTCTCACTGTTATCATTTCCTGTGAATCAGAGATGGAATTGGGATTCTTTTCCTTTGCATCAATGGGGCTGAAATACCTCCAGGCTGTTAGTGCCAGGATTTAGTTTTACGTTGTGTTATAGTTGTTCAGTCCTATCTGAATGACTTTCCAAGTGAAAAGTTCCCACATCTCAGCAATCATTCATTATTTCTGTCCTAGTTCTCACTGAAGAGGGACAAAACCAAACTGAATGGGGTTTATGACTACAGAGCAATTGTTTTTTCAGGTTCAAGCATCTTCCCTGTTCTTCTACTACTTGACTCCATCATGATCCTGTTCTATCTGTTAATCCAAGAGGCTTTCATAAGACATAAATTGAACATATTTTACAGCATATAGGAATTAAGCATTTATGTTGTTTTACTGGCTTGCAGTTAAAAAAAGTGAAGAAGTGTTCCACTCCCAGAAAATGCAGCCCTTTATTTGCACAGCTTTCTTAGAACAAAGAATATGATACCAAACTTTTATCTTCCTGTGAGGTCCTCGATTTCACTGAAGTTGCACTAAAGATGGATTTGGCAAATGAGTCTTTAAACCTCAGGCATAATAAATGATAGATTTTGCTTGATATTTGAACAAATTTTCTTTGCTTGTGTTATATCCTAGGTCATCAAAACCTATAAAAGTTGAATTTTTCTACTTGATTCTTACTATCAATAGTCTTCAAGCTTCATTTAGCTGTGTATCCTGAAACTGTTCTTTGCTTTTCACTTAGCAGTTTTTCTGGTCCTACTGTTAAATAATTGGATACTTTTGGTTTTTAGGTCTGAATCGATTGCTCAGTAATGGCTCCTATGAAGCTGCATTTCCTCTTCATGAGGTATTCTCTCTTTTTCTTTTTTGAAGAAACACTTCCCGTGATATGAATCTTTAACTGTGCAAAAGTTCTCAATCTTACTAACATTATTATTCTCCTTTGGATTCCACAGCTGCCTCTGACATCTTTCCATTTAGTAATGCTTTAAAAAAAAAAATGCCTTTTTTATTGCAAGCATAAAGGAGTAGAGAGAGTTGTTCTAGATTTGTTCAGTAAAAAGTATTTGAATGTGATAAATCAGCTATGTTGGCAAAGGGGAAAAATAGTATGTGGTTTTGTCTTTGAGATTCTCCAGTTTTTAGCCTTTGACTTGAACACCAGTTATCATATTTCTTAAGAAGAATAATCTCAAGTCTTATCACATACAAAGGAAATCTTCCTTTTAAAATAATTTTTAGATTGTGACTCACAAGTATGGAGATTGCATAAAATTGTATTATGCATACCAGGAATGAGAGAGCTTTCTTATCTATTCTTTTGCTGTTGTTATTCATTAATATCCTGATTTGTATTTTAGGGAAGCTACAGAAGTAAGAATTCAATAAAAACCCATGGGGCAGAAAACCACAGACACCTGCTCTACGAGTGCTGGGCTTCCTGGGGAGTCTGGTATAAATACCAACCACTGGATCTAGTGAGGTAAGACGTTCATGCTTTTAATATGCTTCAGTCTAGGTGGTGTGAAAATAGATTATCTTTCTTCTCTCAAAACCACATAGTACTCAGTAAATTTGTGTGATTTTTAGAAACTGATCTTGAGACCAGGGGAATCCATTTCATTCAGGGTGCAACTACATTGAAAGAGGTATTTATAAAGAGGTTTGTAGGAGACTCTGAATGTGAAGGGAGTGTCCTTATAGTGGTTTCTGACACCGTAACTTCTCATGAAGGAGGTGCAGAATATTTAAGAGAGAAAAAAGAGAGTAGAGTCTAGGGAGACATGATTGCATGGATGCCCGCTGAGGGAGCTATTCTTCCTCAAAGCGTGGCTTTGATAAAAAGCCTCTCATTGATTAGCTCTTCTTATTTTTCTCCAAAAAACAACCACAGAAGTAGCTCCAGTTGAAGTTCAGTGATACTCAGGCAGTATAGAGATAAAGCTCACACGCACCATGTGCTGCTATGTTTGACAACACTAATGATGAGTGAAAGCTTGTTGTTTCTCCTCTATTACCTCCCTACCACTGCCGCATCACTACCGTCTGAGTTTATTTTCATCTTGGAAGTAGCCTGCAAAGATGAAACACTGAGAAAGCTGAGATGTGACTTCAAATTTTTACAGCTCTTTTAAGTCAGGTTTCCAAATAGGCTTGCACGCACTAATAGAGGATTACATAGCTTTTATGCACATACAGCATTTGCTGATCACAGTGGCGGAATTGTTGCTGGGCATTGGTGGGCTTTTTCTGCTTGAAAAGGCAAATGTGAAGCTACAGAAGCCTGTGAACAGTCTTAAAGTGTACTGGGATCACTGAAGATACTGTTATGCATGCAGTTATCTTCTCCTCTAATAAGTCCTGTAACTGATAGAAACGCTTGTTTTTTATTGATTCTCCAAATTACTTCTAGATAGAAATATTCACAAAGGATGCCCTGGAGTTAGAGGATGTTATTGTTTAAGGCAATATAAAACCCATCCATTGCACAAAACAGGAGATGTTCAGTTGAGAACAATTCAGAGAGAAATACAATAAAATAATTTTACTGAGTCATTTTTTTAAAAAATGCTTTAGAAAATAAAGTAATGTATTGGTACTTCATAATTTAATTCAGAGAGCTTCTTAATTCTTCTCTAATATACTGGCCTGGACAGAAATAGAGAAATTTTGTAAAAATATGGAAATTACTAATTTGCTGAGGAGTCAGCAGTTACAATGGAGGGTTTGTTGTTGATGTTATTGTTTTAATTTCCAGTTATACAATATCAGTGTCACAATATAAACAACTTATCCTTGTAATTTCTGTTTAAATAATTTGCCCACAGCGGTCAGGTCCATTGTTCTTCATCAACGTTTCTTGTTTGTGAAAGTGCTGCAAAGCAATATCAAGGTCTTAGTTAAACTTTCTTTGTGATCCTTAGGCAACTGGAGGACTTCTAAAGTATAAGAATAAACAATTGCACAGGACCTTGGAAGAAGCCTGCTAATTGAGTCTGGGTGTGATCTCTTACATTCTGTACAAACCTTTAGCTTTTCATCAGACAGTGCAAAGATTTTTCCACAACTATTTTGCAAGAGAAAATAAGCAAAGTAGCAGACTCCTTAGCTGAGGTCATGAGTAGCATGTGGTGGTTCAGAACAGGTGTCTATCCAAGGAAGAGAGTGGGAGAGAGAGTTACAAGACTACCTGAGTGTTCACAACAGCCTGTCTCCATAGCTTCAAGCTCAGCAGGGATGAAAGCTGCCGCTCAAACCCATCCCTGCCATTAGCTTCCTGGAGCACACCATTGGTGGCTATGAATGCACAAAAGGAGAGGTTATAGGAAAGGGGTGGAATGCCTTCTTCTTCTCACTTCATGAATGTTAGATCCCTCACATTTCCCTGGTTCCTGCCAAATCTTTTCTATCTACTGCTGATTGCAGGAGCTCACATTTCTAGTGAGCTGGAGATTTTGTTTGAAGAGCTGACTCCACCAGCAAATGTTCATTTCCCTTGGAAGTATCTCAGCAAGCATACATTAAACAAAAGCTTTTATTTTACCAGCTCTGCAGCAAGAGCAACTTCTTTGTTCTTTTTCCCAGAACAACAATTGTGTGGGCTGTGCTTGAAGGCAGTAGTATTGCCATCTGTACAAAAGGAGTGGATGGATGTTAATTCTTCCACAGACATCTGGCCAGATCTCACTGCTGCTAGCTGATGTTTCCCTTCAATATATGCTTTAGAAAAGCTAAGGAGTGAATTAGATGAAGATAACAAAATGATGCTCTTATTAACAGATATGGTGTTTCTAACTAAAAGTCAAGTTACCACAATGGTAAATGAAACCATCCATACACTGATGCTGTTTGTTTTTCCTTAGCTGTTATAAACAAACCTTATGTCTCTGGTGTTGTTAATCTGATTTCTTCCAGATTTCATTTAATCTCATCATCTAGCTGTTATTAGAGATACTAGTCACCAGAAATAAATGAGAAAAGGTCATTTGAGGGGAATTGCATGATTCTGCTTTCACTCTGCTTTGAAACACAGCAGTATGAAGGTACAGACTTGACACACAGAGACATAATTATAAAACACCAAATGTGGTACCATGATTTTAATTACAATCCTGTTGGAATTTTGCATCCATAGTTACTTAACAGGAATAACTTAAAATCCTTAGAATGAATAGCAATTGGAAAAAGGCAGGACTTCCTATACTCATATGCCTGGGGATTACATAAATCAATGGAAACTGTTACAGTAACTTCTAGGGGCTTTGGATCATCTCCTTCACACTTTTGTTTATAGATCTTTGCCTGACTTTGTCCATAAATGATTCCTGCTGCTGCTTGTGCATTTCATTTACAAGAAAGGGTGGGAGAAAGCTGTATTTATAAGCAATTGTTAAGATACCTAAATGAACCTGGAAGTGAACATAATGCCTTTGTTACAAGCTGACAACTTCCTTGAAATATTCTATTAAGCCTTCTTCCCCACCACATTGCTCTTGGCATAACAGAAAGAATTGCATGTCCAGAAAGTCTGTTAGATAGTTCTAGCTCCTTCACAACTTCTTTCAGTGGTTTAAAAAGTTCTGTACAGGATTTAAATCTAACCAGCAAATAGCATTAATGAAGATAGATATGTTCTTGGCTTAAGTACAAATTTAAATATATTCTGGCTCCATGACTTCTTTCTAGGCATCTTGAAAACAAAAAATCATAGAATTATAGAATCATAGAATAATAGAATGGCTTGGGTTGGGAAGGATCTCAAGGATCATCAAGTTCAACCCCCCTCCCCCAACCTGCCACAGGAAGATTGCCAACTGCTATAATATATAATGAAAGTCAATAAACATAACATTTTATGGGTTTGAAATTAGACTTTGTTACTTCAAAAATGTGCATTACCATTAAATACAGAGATTGGAACTTTGGCCAATTTGAAGTCAGTGGTATTGGAATGGAGTAAGGGGAGAAAGACTTAAACATTAAGGCAGATTGTGCTGGTGAGTTAATACATAAAACTGAGAAACTGAGATTTCTTACTTTTTTTTTTTAGTTCTAGTTGTATAGTTTATATAAGGATAGGAGAGATGGGTTATTGGGGATTTTTGGTTTCTCTCCTTTTGAGAATTTTATGTGCAGGAAATTTTCTGTGGGAGAACTACAAAAGGTGCACAGCTTTTTTTTCTATTATGACTGACTGCCTGAGAAATGTTATGGAAATGAGATACAAAAATTAACAAACATGCAAATGTCATCAAGTCTGGAAAATTGCAAAGAGGTCTACAATGAGTAGTGATAATAGCTAAAATTCAGGTATAAGTAATGCTCTCTGGAAAAAAATCTGACATCTTTACATATATAACTGAGTTTTAGGTAAAGTGCCAGCACGCAGGTAATAGAACTGACTTCACTGTGGACAGTTCTCTGAAATTTCTCTTCTGTAAACAGTAAACTGACAAGGAGCAAAGAGCTTGTTCATTTTCTGTGGTATGACCTTAGTGGCAAAGGAATCTCTGAGCCATCTATTTCTCCTGGGAATGGTGAGTGTCTAGTTGAACCCAGTTAGTGGTGGGAATAAATGTGGAAATGATCTGAATGAGGTACCTAAGCAGGTCTTCAAAGACCGTGTCGGTATCATGATTTGTTTCTACAGCTTGAGTGCTGTAGAAATATGCTAATAGAAATATGCTAACTACAGGGCCATAGGAAATGAATAGTAACTTTATCCTGATTCTACTTGCAGTAGTACAACCTGTTGGAAATCTGCTGTGAACCAAAGGGGGATAGTAGAAGACTAATGCTGTTCATCCATATTTAAGCCTACAGGTACCAAAGTAGTGTCAACATACAGCACTTATTTTTAAAACCAGGCTCAGACGTGGCCCCAGCTGCCTCTTCCTTCCATTGAAGATATTTGGGTCACTCACTGTTGTGCATGTGCACACAGTGAAACTTGTTTGGGTCTTCATCTTAGATCTAGCTGCTTGCTTGATCTCTCAATCATGAGAAAGAATCATATTTTGTGTTCCATCCTGTTAGATGGAAAGGCTCAACAGGAAAGAAAAAAAGTTTATCAGAAACATTTTTCAAAATGTCGTGTGGAATGGGGAAGCATTCATTCTTGGATACAGGGAATCATTCAAAAAGATAAATCTTAATTAATATAAAGTTTAATTCTCTACTTTGCATTTTGTACATGGAGAAAAACAGGACCATAAGTATTCAATTGAAGTAAGCTCAAAATGTGCTTTCTATTTCAGTGGAGCAATCTTAGCTTGACATCCTGTGCATCAACCAAATAATTAGGCCAAAGAGTTCACTAACACTAGTAAGTCAAGGTTCAAAATGCACTGTGTCTTTTCACAGCCAGACCTGCTGCCCTTGTCAGAACTGAGTGTGCTATTGTTAGCTTACCACCTCTTTAACCTGCAAATTTGAGTCTGTCAAATGACAGAAGAATAGAAACATGACAATATTTGGCTTCTCACAGAGTGCTGATAAACTCAAATGATAATAAATAGTAGATTAGTTCTGTGCCCATCAACCAGTGACACATGAGCTCAGCTCACGACTTCACCAGGAATAGAGAACTCCACTATTTTCTGGTCGCTCTGCCCAAGACAACTCCTGACCTCCTCATCGCCCATCTATGTTTGTGAACAGCAGGTCTAGTGGAGCCTCCCCCAGTAGACTCTCTTACTATCTGAATCAAGAAGTTATCATCTTCCACACACTCACGTCCTAGTGCATCTTCTGCCCTGCATTGTATTTCCAGTATATACCAGGGAAGTTGAAGTCCCCCATGAGAGAAAGGGCTGTCAATTGCACAACTTCTGCTAGCTGCTCATAGAACACCAGGTCTGTCTCTTCATCTTGGCTAGGCAGCCTATAACAGGTCCCCACTAGGATATCTGCCTTGTTGACTCACCCCCTGATCCTTACCCATAGAGTTTCAACCTTATCATTCCCATCCCAGTTTGAAAACTGATGTTTTTTTTATTGCTGACCCACTGTTTCTTTCTCTTCCTCATTGCTTCCAGCCCTGGAGCACATCATACATCTCTTCCTGACTGTGAAAGTCTGACAAGAAACTATTTTATGGTAGCATAAAGGTGCCAGCAAAGTTGGTTCACTACACTCTTTGTTTCTGGACAGATCAGAAGTTTCATCATTAGTATAAATCTGGGTTTTCATCAGCAGCTGTTTTTAAATTCACTTGACATGCACATTTAAGCTGGCTTCAAAGTCTCTGAAGTGCAAGAAAATCATCTTGCCTCATTCTTTAAAACTATTCTTGCAAAGAATCTCTTAAAATTTTCATTGTAATTGTGATAATTGCATATTGATTGGTAAGTATTCCAATCTGATCATCAGCCTACTGTGCACAATACCCAAATAAAGAATAATGCACACAGATTGCTCCTGTGCTGATAAGTCCAGCAGGTTTTTTGTTTGCTTGATGTATGCATTGATATATAAGCAAAAGTGTGAGTGCATTTGGAAATATGAAAAATGCTAATGAATATATAGCAAAAAAGAAGTTCCTCACCACTTTGCAGTTAGTATTTAAACAATACAGCTACTATATTAGGACTGATTCAGATATTTTTTTTTCAGACCTCAGTCACAATTTTCTCTCCACTCCAACAGAATCATGAGATTATTTTTCCAGGAACTGAGGCAATAAAAGAAAGAAAGAAGTGAAAATAAACTTGATTGGAGAATAACCTTTCACTGACTGATTTCTTAGAAGTAATTTGGGCTTGTGTCATTTTTCTGTTATATCAATTTTAGTGGTGAAAATTATTTCAGTGCAGTTACTTGGGAAGTACAATACACAGCTAAAGCAAAGAAAGCCACCAATTTCCCAGACATAAAGAACAAGCTTTTAAAAAGAACTCAGTATTTCTTCTCCGAGTTCTCTGCTAATCTTATTATGAACACTGGTTTGTGAATTTTCAGATTCATTTGTGAAATGCGCAGGTTTTTCAGTGTGGGTTGTTTGTCTTAATTGAAGACTTTTTCTTTAGGAAATTCTGGCCCTGCTCTTTAATCTGTTCCTCAGATATGATAGAAATATTTATTTTCTGTTAACAGGCATGATTAAGCAGATTTATTCTAATTAGCAGGAAACTTCTCTGTGTTGTATTTTAAAACAGACGATACTTTGGTGAGAAAATCGGGCTGTACTTTGCCTGGTTAGGCTGGTATACGGGGATGCTCTTCCCAGCTGCCTTCATTGGATTGTTTGTCTTTTTGTATGGAGTCACTACTTTGAACCACTGCCAAGTCAGGTAATGTGGACACTTTTATAAGGGAAATTATAGCTGTGGGATTTTATGATTAATCTAAGAGCTCTTTATAAGTTTTACTAATTATTTCATTTTGGATGGTTGGCTAAATACACAGGAAAATACTCCTCGGTTCTCATAAAATACTCAGTATTGAACTTCCTTTGTATTGTGTTCCTGAATTGGGATGGGAGATAACGTTTCTTGCCCAGCTACAGTTCCTGATGGTGCTGGCCACTCAGCTTGAAGTAGGAAAAATAGGGCTTATGCTCCTTCATTATTGTCATAACAAGCCAATAGAAGAGTGGGAATTTTTCTCACTCTTCCAGGACTTTTCCAAAGCCCCACCTCAGGGAAGCATTTCTCAAATGAAGAACCACCTCACTCTTATGCTGAGTTCCACATCCCTGTATTCTTGCACACTGAAGACAATCCTTGAGAGAAGTCACAAGAATTAGCCAAACTTACCTACACTCATTCTTACCCTTCTCCAACTGAAGGCCACTTCTGTCTCAAGGAGAACCTGGAAATGGTAAAGAACTATTGCTAGGTTGGCCTTGAGGAACTGTTCATTGCACATAGGGACTACAAATGCTGAAGTCTTTAACAGTCAACAAACCATAATTACACACACAGTTAAGTACATCTTGGCTTCAGTTATAGAAAAAAGCAGTGTTTTTCAATAAGTAACTAGCAAAACATGTCAATCCATTTTATGGCTGATTGCTGTGCATCAAACTACTAACTTTTATCTATTTTATTTTTCAGTAAAGAAGTCTGCCAAGCTACAGATATCATAATGTGTCCTATATGTGATAAATACTGTCCTTTCATGAGGCTGTCAGACAGCTGCGTTTATGCCAAGGTACCCTTTAAACTATGCAAATAAAAATGCTTCCCTTGTAACAGAATTCCTTTCAGCTTTTGCAATTGTCTTTAGCGAGCTTGGATAGATAAAATCTTCAAAAGGACAGATCAAATTCAGCCAATGTTAACATCTATTGTATTTTACAAGGACTTGCTTTGGACTTTAAAACACCTGAATGCCATTTGTACTTACAGATTCAGCAGTACCAGAGGTCACACCCTACATGCATGTGCTACAGTGTCCTTGGCATCAGGTTTTATCTTATGATCCATCCTTTGTACATGGCTCCATAAAATGAATGCTTTGGGTCTGAAATTAGGCACAAAGTTACTGTTGGTAGGGGTCATTTGCAGCCCAGGCTGGAGACTAGTGAGTCAATGTGGAGTACTTTGAAAGGTGCATGTCACATATCAAGGGAAGAGTTTCAGTCCTCAGGATTGTCAGTCCAGCTGCACACATGACAGTGCTAATTATATTAGGGGAAAAGAGAAAATAAGAAAGTGAGAGATGCTGACACAACTGCAACACTGTTATGAAGGGAATGGAAAGCAAAAAGTACAAAAATGCAAAATTAAATCTGTATTATCGTGAATTGATTGGACTGTTGATATCCCCATCAGGTAACACACCTTTTTGACAATGGAGCTACTGTCTTTTTTGCTGTTTTCATGGCAGTGTGGGGTAAGTTTTTGTTTTGATATGAATGATTGCAGAATGTTTTTCTTAAAGCTTGTGATGAAACATAGGTCATTATAATTTCCAGCACGCTTTTTTCAGACACTGAGAAGAACAATATAGGCTTGATTCTTTTCTGTTTCTGCAAAAGGAAAATGTTGAAATCAGTACTGTATTTTTTTTTTTTTATGGGATATTATTTTATTGTAAAAAAAAAAAAGCAATATGCGATGTCTATGTAGGTAGCTGTATTCTGGTTTTATGTGTGGGGGGTTTTTTTTATCAGTCGGAACTGAGGCCTATTCTCTGTTAATTCATATGGATTCTCTTAGGTTAGGGAAGCCCAGTTTACTGTTTGCCCTAATATGAATTAGTATATTGTTCTTTTATGCAGAAAGGCAGCAAAAAATAGATACATGTGAGCTGGTTGTAGTTAAAGCAAAATCCTGATGAAATAAATGTAGGATATATTTGAATGAATAATTGATCCAAGAGTGGTCCAATTTTTGCTATAGAGGCTGAATTTTGCCCATAGGACAACTCCATTTCTGGCTCAACTACCTTTTCTACTCTGGTCTTACAAGCAAAGTTGAAGACAAGATGAAACAGTCATTTCTGGCAAAACATAAAGTCTTTCAAACCTGTCCTGCGTATGCCAATGTTCTTTGCCTTCAGATAGTGCCTTTAAATAGTGGCTTAATGAGGTTCCTCAAAAATGGCTTCCATCTCATAACTCCAGATGATTGAGCTATCCTGACTTAGTTGTTGTTTTCTACTTCTTACATCTCAAACTGCTTGGGAAAAGTATCCAAGTAATTCTTATATTCTGCATTTTAATCTGTGGTTCTCTTCACTGAACTGGAAAAGCAATCCAGAAGACAGTGTCAGAGCCATAAGGAGAACATAGATTAGCTTAGTTGACTGTCTTGATTCCTGCCTCCAAAGCTATGTTTTTATCTTAACTGACTTACTAAATTAGGTCATATTCTAATGAAGCCTACTCATGACATTTCATTTTAATAGTGATAGTATTAAAGTACCATAAGTTATATTAAGGGAAAACCCCACAGATAGGGAAATGAGCATATGCTGAAACAGCTACATTTGGCATGATGAAAAATTTGAAGAGCAGAAGATTCCATTTTAAAGCATGAAAATGTCATTAACTTCAGTAATCACAGAATCACATACTTGTGGGTTGGAAGGGACCTCTGGGGAGATATACCACTGTTTCTAATTGTTGGTGAGCATGTCTTTGGACTGAAGTTTTTTGCACCACTGTTTTTGTTCTTCCTTAGCATCCATACATCTTCAGCACCACAGGGAGGAAAGTAAAAAATACAATGAAAGCTATCCTCTATTTTTGGCTAGTGGAGAAGAGGCTATAGGACAGTGGCTTCCCCACTTCTGTTGGCTTCTGTTGGCTTACATTGTGCTTGTGAGCTTGCCACCAAGACGGATATAGAGGCAGGAACAGGAGAAGGATGTGAGTATAGGGTGATGGTCTGGGGAATGAGCCAATGCTATGGCTCTACCAAAACTGTAGTTTCAAATTAATGCTTCACTGAGACAAGAGTGAGATAGTGGAGATATTCTCAATACATTAGGGTTAAAGCAGCATTAGAACAAGAAAAGCCACACTTCTCAGTGACTCTCTGCTCATGATTTATGCCATTTATGAGATGGCTCACCTTGTCTCTTAAAAGGATTTTCAGTCTGCAGTAGGCCTACTGACAGCTATAGGCATTACCATCATTTCAGTAAATCATAGGGGAGAATAGACAATGATAGCACCTTCATTGTGGAAATGTTTTTTTCTGTCAGCATGAAACAACTGGCAAGTGGGTAAAAAAATGGATGTGAAAAGTTTAGCTTTCCAGATGATCCAGTTTGGCAGATAGTAACATAAAAAATAATGATGACAGTGTTTTTTTAAAGAAAAAAAAAAAAAGAGAGAGAGAATGAAAGCTAAAAGGCAACTAGGACTATATACCTAATTATTCTGGGTTTAGGCATTGCCTTATTATTTAAAGAACCTTGTTCACTGTCTTTAGATCCATTAGGAAGCTTGTATTCTGAGGGAGAAGTCTCAGACATTTGTTTTGGGTTATGGGAAGCCTCATGATCAAGTAAAGATTGAGGTGGTATTAATGGTGGTTTCTTTCTTTTACTCTGAGGACAACTTCAGTTGATGGAGAAAGTGGGCTTCTTACTTGCTTTTTAAATAGAAACAAAATGCTTCTCCAAATGATAAGGAAACTGCTGTGGCCAGGCTAGGGAGATAAATCATCACCACAAATATCAATGTGGGCTGCTTGATTAGTGGAGGAACGATGATCATGGCTGTAGTACTCTGGAACACAGGTACCCATCTTTCATAATGCTTCATTGTGGGGTAAGTGGGTCCAGTCAAAGTAAGGCTGGGATATTCAAGTGAACGAGGCAATACTGGAAGAGAAATACACTTTTCTTCAAAAAATATTTTGACTCATCACTTCACTTATTGTATTTCTGCCTTTTTTAAGCAATGTTCTATATAAGAAGTGAAAGTAAATCGTATTGTAGGGAATAACATGATACCTTTGAAGGTTACCCAACAGACTTAAGGTAACTCATTTTTAAACGGATGGAGCAAAAGACAAAAGATTCCACTGAAGGATTTTGCTGGTAGTTTTTTTGAGCTTTTGTGTATTGGAACTTCTGTTGAAAGAAATGATCCAAAATGATCAAAGCTATAAATCTCTGCTGTTTATAGGAAACAATAAGTCCCTTTAAACACTAATGCTTTCTTTTTCCTGGTAGACAGGTTATCATTTATACTCAGAGTTTCATCTCAGAAATTTGAAAATAATTTTTCCTTTTGAAAATCACTGGTCTTGATAAAGTTTTCCAAATGTTCAAAACTTTCAGAAAGACATGATCAATAGCATTTTTTTTGTTTCTGTGCTAGAAGGAAACATCTACACTTTGCCCTTTATGTGTGCCTGCAGATATGTCTAGCTTGACAAAAGTGTAGATCCAGTTTCTAGAAAATACTCATTCTCTATTTTAATCAGTTGAACTGGGTTCTTACCAAAGACAGAATATGTAAGAAAAATGTTCATACCAAGTAAGTATCACTGATAGTCAGAAAGAATTCCCAGAATCACAGAATCATAGAATCTTTTGAGTTGGACACATTCCAACAGGTTCATGTCTCTCCTGTGCTGAGGACTCCACATTTGGATGCAGTACTCCAGATGACATATTACCAGCGCAGAGCAGAGGGGCAGGATCACCTCCCACTCCCTGCTGATCACACTCCTTTTGATGCAGCCCAGGGTACGGGTGGCTTTCTGGGCTGTGACGGCACACTGCTGGCTCACGTCAAGCTGCCATCCACTAGTACCCTCAAGTCCTTTTCAGCAGAGCTATGTTCAATCCTTTCCACCTCCAGCTTGTACTGTTAGGGGCAGTTGCCACGACCCAGGTGCAGGCCTTGCACTTGGATTTACTGAACCTCATGAGGTTCTCCTGAGCCCAGCACTTGAGCTTGTCTAGATCTCTCTGAATGGCATCCTGTCCCTTGGGCATGTCAACTGTGCCACACAGCTTGGTGTCATCCACAAACTGCTGAAACTGTACTCAATCCCACTGTCAGTGTCTTCAGTGAAGATGTTAGAATCCCTATTCTGATCACTGAGGGACACCATATGTCACTGGTCTCCATCCAGACACTGACCACCACTATCTGTGTATGATCTCACAACCAGTCCCCTGTCCACTGAACAGTCTACCCATCAAATCCATATCTTTCTGATTTGAAGAGAGTATCTAGATATATCAGATGGCTTTCAGCATGCTATTGACAAGCTGGATAGAAACATAAATTTTACTTTTCTAGTTGGAGTACTGGGGAAAGCTAGTGCCAAGATATCACTCTCTGGATATTGCCTGGAGTTCAACAGCAGAATCCAACTAGAGTCCAGTATTCATTATTCTAATGTTTTGCTCAAGACTCAGTGGACAGATGTTAATATTCCTGTCTTTTTCCTTGGATGCTGAGGTTTTGAATTATGAGGCTGAGCTCTGAAGCAGGGCAAAAATAATAAAAAAAAAAGCTGCCAAAAGAGCTGGGAGTTAAAGCCAGCAAGAAGTTCAAAATTCCAAGCAGAATTTTTGGAGAATTCTTAGCATCTAGTTTAAACATCCCAATTGCAAAATAGGAGAACATTGAATACAACTGTTTCACATTATGCTGTCAAAGTCAGGAAAGAATGCAAAGTATGATAATAAGGTATCAGTGATTACTTGAGAAGAAACAGAAATTTCAAAATGCAGTGCTTTTTCAAAGACATCAGTAGTACTGTGAATCAAAGATGATTATTTATATCACATTTTAAACTATCTAGCAAGGGAAAACTGCCTGGCCTGTATAGAAGGAAGTTTGGCACAGTAAAAGTTAAAACAGAACTGTGCAGATCATCCTCTTAAAGATTTGAAAACAGATTTTGAAAGATCAGGAACTGCACATACTAAGTCTGACAGCTTCTAGCTATTCAAAGTATAGTATGTAAAGATTCCTCACTACTGGTGAGCGAAAAACAAGAAAGAAAATAAGTATAATTTGTCATAGACATATCTGAGAGCTTCATGCCTGTGGACTCGTACACCCACTTGTGTCCTGTTTCCAGCTGCTCTTGAAATGGTAGTGCTCAATCAGACTTATTTCTCCCAGAACTCCAAAAAGAACAGCCTACTTGTTTAGCCTGTACAAAATAAATCAATATGAGTTGATAGGAGAGAAGGAGCTCCACCAGAAGACAAGTCAAAGAATGAGCTAATGTGGTGGTTCAGCAGCAGTGCCAGAGCCTCATTAGCACTTGGTAGTTTTGTTGATGCCAAGCAATCACACAGTGATTATTACAAAAGGTCACAGACATATTAGCCTCAGGAGACTAAAATGACTTAATGATAGTAAATCATAGTAGCCAGTTATCTGCCATAATGCAACTCCAGCTTTGAGAAAAAAGATGTCATTATGCATGAAAATGTCTTCAAACTGCACAACAACCTCCTTAAACACACTATTGATATCTTACCATATCTTCACACAGTGTTCATTTTCTAAGCATATATTTAGCTTCACTGGTTAATACATTAAACTGTAATCATTCTTACTGGCTAAAAAAAATCACTTTCACTAAATTTATGCCAGTGCTTACTATCATTACTATGATAGCATGTCATTACCAACATACTGCAGTAGGGCAGATGGTCCATTAAGGAGACCCTTGTAGGACTATGTGTGGAACACATTGCCATGTTGCTGTGACACTATAATGGTGGGTACTGTCCTTGTTCATTGGCAAACAGGTTTATGTTCTCCATGGTTATCAGCCTGATGCTTTTCAGTGAGCAGTAAAAGCAAGAGCCAAACCTCATAGCTGAAGAAGAAGCCTTTCCGTTGATGTCAGTTAGCTTTAGGCAGTTTCTACATTCTTTTATCAAACTTTTTTTCAGTATTAATCTCTAGAATATGAATGTATGATTGCATGGCTAAGAGCTTCCTTGGTTGTTCTTTCCCCTTACAAAAAGAAAGCACAGTCATGTACAAGCATATTACAGTACCTTGAACTCTGTTATAAAAGTCTGTTTGGCACACAGTGCTTCACTGTCATCTGTTAATGCCACACCATGCATACACAGTCATATAGGGTAAAAGATGTGATTCCTCACAAGTAGTCCACAGATTTGCATGTTCCCCTGAATGTGATTCCTCTGGATTCTGATCCCTGTGTATTTTAAATGATCTTCCAAAAAGGAAAGTTACTACTTTATCTTGTAGTAGCCCCAGTAAACATTTAGCTTCATCAGAAGTTCTGCCGTGTTTTGTAATGATGACTCACAGGAACAATTTGATTCTTTGAGAGCCCTCACTTAGTTGATTAGAAATTAAACTTCTTTGTCTATAACTAAAAGAAATCTCTAAAGCCTCAATCATACTTGACACAAAAAAAGAGTAATTCTTAGAAAGCAATGCACCTTGAAAGCAGTTTTGATCACTGGCCTGATTTCCTGTTCAAAGGAACGTTTTTTATGCAGAGAAATGATGTAATAGTTTCATTCAACAGTTATGTGATAGTACTTTCCACTATCCTGACTTAAAAACAATTTTGTGGGTTTTTTTCTGTTTGTTCCAGCTACTGTTTTTCTGGAGTTTTGGAAACGAAGGCGAGCAGTAATTGCTTATGACTGGGACTTGATAGACTGGGAAGAAGAAGAGGTTTGTATTAAAAAAATTATTCCCTGATCTATAATACAGAAAGATTTTGTAAAACGTGTAAGCACAGTTTTCTTTTGGATTTACTTAAATACATTTTTCAAAGCTTCATAAACTAGGAAATTAGCATTTTTTCCTTAGATTTTTCCTCTGGAATGTGAAGAAACTTTCTCAAGGGGGGCTGTTCTCTTCTTGCACCTTTCAAAATCCAAATGGAGGGAGATGAATCAGCTCAAAAGACTAAATTCATTCTCTGTTGGTAGAAGAAATCTCATTAGTTAGGAAACTAAACAGTGAAAAACAGCCTTAAACTTTTCTTGTAATGGTTACCAAGAAGGAACACCGTGCTCTTAGAACTGAATTGACATCTACAGGGAACAAGTGGATTTTATGATGCAGGAGAAAAGCAAGTTTCAGTGGGTATGGTAGGAAAAATGCTCCTGAAGTGTGATTTGAATGTACAGGTGTCCACAGAATCTGTACTCCTTCCTTTCCAGAATCCCCTTCCAGGGATTGTAAGACACTAAAAATAAGCCAAGAGCTTAAATAACACATCTGGAAATTGGTTTCTTTACATCAACAGGGCTATTGCTGTTTGTTCATATAGCTGCTGAGTCCTGGTGATACTTCAGGACTACTTTCATATATTTAGAGAATACTCTGGTATAGATTTACCTCTCCTGAGATTAGCAGCCTACTCTTGCTGGTACTGATGAGTCACAAAGAGAGCACACTGAGACAGTTCTGCCTGAGCTTCAGATATTCAATCAGGACTGAACTGCAGTGATCTTGTCCCTCATGCCTGGCTGCAAAAAAGCCACTGCTGGTGCTGCTGGCAGGTAGGACAGAAGACAGATATACCAAACTACAGTTTGCAAGTCGGGATCCCAGCTCATCCCCGGAGGTGTTCAAGGCCAATTTGGATGGAGACCTGGGCAGCCTGGTCTAGTATTAGATATGGAGGTTGGTGGCCCTGCATGGGGCAGGGGAGTTGAAGCTTGATGATCCTTGAGGTCTCTTCCAATCCAAGCCTTCTCCTGACTGAACAATCCCAGGTCCCTCAGCCCCTATCAGTGAGATGTCAGTGAAAACTGTCTCTATAAGGTGAAAATTTTACTTCTAAACATGCTGTTTTCTAAGAGCTAGTTAGATTCCCCTTCTACATTCTGTTTAGTTATCACTAGACGAAATCAGCCAACTTCTTTTATTAGCTGTTTCATAGAAATCAATTAAACTGTTCTAATTACCATTTTAAGTCACAAGCTTCTATTAATGAAGATTGTTATTTTTATTAACATTCACTGCCATATCTAGCTTTCTCTTGTTTTAATTTTCATTGTCAAATTGAAAAATAAGGGCTTGCTGCTGAGGGAAATTTGCCAATTCCTACAACATTAGATAGAAATTAAAAAGATTTATAGGGCTTCCTATGGTGTTGCCATCCTATTTCTGTTCTAAAAGACAAAGAAACAAAGTAATGAAGATGACAGGAAGGAGAAGTCAAACTGCTCAGATACGTGACCTTGTGAATTCCTGTCCAGGATAGCTTTTCACCCAAGGAGGGCATGCCACCACTACAGGCATGTCTGGATCCCCAGCCTGGGGGCACAGGCACAATGTGCTGTGATTCTTTCAGCACTGCACCTTTGAATTTCCTTTCCTTGTAAATTAGGTGCAAGGTGGGAGACACGCTGGGTCTTGGCTTGAGCGTGCAACAAGAAACCAACTGCACAGTGTGCCTGGGACTCTGAGCTGAGATATGCCTTCTGTCAGTATTTGCAGTGGACTTTTTTTTCCTTCAGTGCCACTTTCTGTATATCATTAATCTCAGCCAGATACAGGACTGTTGATGAGTGTCATTAAACAGGTACGAAGGTTCCTACCAGAGTTTCAGTTTTGTGTGGAGATCTATCTATAAAAATAGCATTTGCATGATATGAATTGACAGTAGATTGTAGAAGATACCTAGGTTCATGGAGAGGTGTATACAATAAGACTTCCTTATAGAGCAGATTGTAAAACTTAATCAAACACTGGCTTAGAGAGGCCTGCAGAGAAGAAAGGGTTTCTTGCATATGGCTCATTAAATCAGATGGAGAGCCCCTGCACAGTCTACAGAATGCAATTGTCAAGTGCCCTTCTTCCATGCCATCACATTCTGTCCTTTTAGATGTCTGTGGGTACACAGGAATACTACTTGTATTGTTTCTCTTGGTAGATTCTGGTCTTCTCATTGGCCTTCTGCCCTGATATGGCAGGAACAGTGTGAGCAGGAAAGAATAAGTGTACCCTCCCTCCACAGAAAAGTGCTTAACTTCTGCATATATCCCAAATAAGTTTTGCTATGCCAAGGTTCAGAAGCTTATTTCCTGTATGCCTCGTTGCATGCTCCCTAATATAGTTACGCAAGCAAATTTTGCTTCTGTGAGTTTAATCATAGCATTAGAGCGAGAAAAGATATATTAGCTTGTCTGGCTCAACTACTAGCTAATGCAGGGCTGGTTCCCCCAAGCATAGTTACGCAGACATTGCAGCTCAGCATACGTGACTATCATCTTCATTTAAATAACAGGTTATCCTCTTGCTGTTTGAATTCGGAAATCACATGGCTTGTGAAAATGCCAGAATTTGAGACTGAGACATGGTTGGTTTGGGGTTTTTTTTTGAGGAATTTTATAAAAGGAGTGTATGACTTTGAGATATCGTGTTTTTATTTACATTTTAAAGGCTTGTATGATCAGGTAACATTCATCTATGTTTCGATGTAGCCATTCGAAGTCCATTCATTTCTATTAGAATGAGTAACCTATAGCTATAATCACTGGCTTTCAGAAAGGCAAAGTTCAATTAAGGGCCACTGAAGTGTTGGGAGTGAAGGAAATTGGTGATCTGGGCTCCTACCTGTCACAATGAAAAGCACAGTAGAAGTGTGGCAGAAAACCTACAAAGGGAGTCAGTAGCTGCCCCTGTTCTCCCTCACAGCCAGCTGTACAACGACCCAGCATGTATCAGAACACTGTAAAACTCCATCCAGTGTGTATGGTCTGCCAGCAGCTGTGAGTCCATCCTAGCAGCCTGGTGCTCTCCCTTGTTTATGGCAGCATCCCTGATGCCAGACATGGGAAAGATGGCAGGGCAGTGGGGTGTCTGTACTGCAAATAGGAACCATGAGGACTTCTCTGAACTGAGGATAAATCCTGCTCTGTCCCCTATAAGTCCCTAATAATGTCCCCCTAATTAATATCTGTAAGCAGTTGTAAGTAAGTCTCAGACCAAGAAATCCCCAGGTTTTGTTTCAGAAGAGAGTTATTACACCAAAGCAGGACTCAAACTGCTCTGCTATTAATACTGGCCAAGTTAGGAAGGATTTGAGCAATACTGAAATGCATGGCTTCACATAATGAGAATCCTGTGCTTGTAATGGGGAGGTAACCACCCAGCAAGCAGAAATTGAATTTGGAAAAATTAGGTGTTGTTTTTTTTTCCCCTGCATTGTTGTAAAATTCTGGTATCAGTAGGATAATACCAGGCTGGAAAAACCCATGATACCAACCTTGAAATAACATGGCTTGCAGCCATATAGTTTGGAAAAGCATTATTTTGACAAGTAGCCAATTGGGGAGTTTACTAAATGTTTCCAATATGGTTTTGTGGGTGTAGTGATGTATTTGAGTCCTCATGACAGGTACCTGATGTCCCAACTCAGCTTTTTTAGTAGCTGTGCCAGCTGCTGAATTCAAAGACGTAATTCTCAGTAACAGCAATATGAAAAATGATTGGAAGTTTCCTAGAGAACCTTTCCTAGCCATGCTGTACACGAACACTTTCTGTCTGTTTTTTAGGAAGAGATACGTCCGCAGTTTGAAGCCAAGTACTCCAAGAAAGAACGAATGAACCCCATATCCGGAAAGCCAGAGCCTTATCAAGCATTTGCAGATAAATGCAGCAGACTCATTGTTTCTGCATCTGGAATATTTTTTATGGTTTGAAAACTTTTATTTATTTACCAGTTAAAAAAAAAAATACAAAATAACATAATATCTGCTGAGAGAGTGTGGAGATACTGGATATGACTGCTTGAAAGTTAATAAGCTTTAGCATGTTTACTGCAGGCTGAAAATCTATGCACAACAAATGTCCTGAGTTTCTGTAAAGTCCACACTAATTTACTCTTCACCGAGCCTCACAGTTAGTTAAAGCTTTCCTCCAAGGTCCAGATTAAGGAGTAATATTAAGGCTATATGCATAGATCTATATGTAACTATACAATTGCTGGAACAGTGATATCACATTTAGGCATCAACTTCAGCTGACTGAATTTCACCATCCTCCCCATGTAGACACTGCAGAGTGATGGAGAGGTGCCATGGAGGAGGTGGAGCCTGTTACTTGCTATCATTCATGTAACAGCTGTAGCAGTAGGATTGTCTTGAAAATACACTTATGATTAACTTGGACCCAAGCTAAATTTACTAGGGTTTTTCTACATGGCTAGAAAATGCCAAATGAATATAACTTGAGGAACTATGGAGAGCCAGGTAGGTGGTGCAGCCCAGAAGCTGTTGCTGAATGTGCCACAGTGCCTAGCTCTGAATTTTGTGTTCCACAAGTCTTCTCTATAACAGTCCTGGAATCAAGACAAGGGTTATTTTCAATAAAGGCACTTTTAATGTTGACATAGCATGAGCTTCCAATGAGCAAGAAAAATGCTTTTTTTTCCCCCTTTTAGGTAAAAATATCCCTTTAAAAGTTTAGCTTTAAGCACAGGGGATATATTTATCAAAATTGTTAGAACGTTTCTCAAAATCTCAGAGCTTTGATGCACAGTACAGTTATAAATGCAGCTTGAACCAGATTAATGGTTCCCTGTTACCAAAGGAGAGGAAAACAACTTCTCACCACTGTGCAGGGAGTCCTGAGGCAATCCTCTAGCTCACTAACTGCACAATGTTTCTATTGGCTACCAGTGTGGAAGCAGTGGATCAAATAAACTAACCCTTCACATTCACACACAGCCAACTTTGCTTTCTCTTCTGTACAGAGATTCGGTCAAATAATGTGACTAATAAAATGCAAAAACAGCTTGGTTAGTCTTCAGTATTTTCAGGGTCATTTTGCCTATTCAGTTAGCTTAGATGCTCTAGTTTTGACAGGTGTAAGTTGTTTATGCACAACCTCGGAATGCACGGAGCTTCTTCTGAAGAAACTCTTATCTAACAAGAGAGCTAACAGTACTGTGCCATCATTTGTGTGAGATGAGTCACACATGTAATTCCCAACCCTTTGTCCTTCAGGTGATTTGCTAAACTGTGACGTGAATTGGTCATGATGGAAAACAGTTGTCACTTAGTTCTCAGTTGTTGCATATGGAACATCAAGTGATTTCGCAGCCTGGCTCAGCTGCACAGCTTTCACACTGGAACTGTCACTTTGCTGAAAGTCTCATCAGAGATAATTACCAGGGCAATTGAAGTTCTTACTTTCCTCAGATAGACTCTTTCCAAAACTGTAGTGAGAAACAGGGGATCTTGCTGGGATTGTTTCTGAATAAGTGCTTACAACTGGAGATATATTTTTCCTGTAAGTGTGAATTGCACCAAAGCACAAATTCAATCCCAAATATGACATCATTATATTGGTACATTTGGTGGAGACTAATAATTGCACATTGTGAAACATGCATGTGAGGAAAATTCCCATTTCCCAGAGCTGAAAATACTGTTTTCCACACTAATGCTAATGAAAAGATACAATATCAAGAAAATGCTTAAAACTAAGAATATATTTTAATATGATTTTAGAGGTATTTATATTATGAAAAATTAAAAGGAATTCACAATAGGAGGAACATTCATTGAAGCCTTCCTCTAGAACCAACATTAACATATTTTTCAAGTCTTTCTCTTAATTTTTTCAGTTTTCAGAGTTGCAGAAAGAAGTTAGTTCTTACTCTATAAAAAGTTTTCAGGTTCTTCCCTCTGTTGTTTTTGTTCTCCTCTAGATCTGTGTGGTGATTGCTGCTGTTTTTGGCATTGTTATTTACCGTGTTGTGACTGTCAGCACTTTTGCTGCCTTCAAGTGGGCTTTAATCAGGAATAACTCTCAGGTTGCAACTACAGGGACTGCAGTGTGCATCAACTTTTGCATCATCATGTTACTGAATGTGGTGAGTAAAGCTAACGTATCCAAAGTGAGCCACCAGGCTGGTTGATATCTCAGTCTGAAGAGTACAGTCAAATACTTTCAAATCCTGACTTCAGTGGGAATGGAGGTTACACAGTGCATTGCTAAGCTGGGCTGACCTTTTTGTTGATGGATGTCATTCACCACTTATGTTAATACAAACATTATGTAAAACATAATTGATTATTCTAAAAAATATCTTAGGGACACTTGTCCATGCTCATATTTTATCATTTGCCCTCATTTTTTTTTAATGCTTGCAGATCTCAATCTCTTTAATTAATATTCTTATTTGTAATAACTATTTCAATGTTCCTTTTTATATACAGTAGCCAAGCTTATTTCTTATTTAAACTAGTTTCTGTCATTTCAGCTTCAGTTTTCATGCTAGTTTACTAGGGAGGATAGGCATGTACAGATAGAATGCCTATAAGTAGAAGGGCTGAAAACTACACAAGACTCAAGCAGACACAACTTGTTCCAAGAGTTTATGACCTTTGATAGGGTACAGCAGAGCTGTAGTATGGGTGCACTGGGATCTTGGTGCTGGCTGAGGTTGTCTTACTGTGGACACACGAAGCGGTTTGGAACTGGGCTTGGGACAGAGAAGAAAGTGATATTTCCAGGTGGCAACAGCCCCAGTAAGAGAATTTAGCATAGATTAAATGGGAGAAGACTTTCAGCATTCCATCAAGATGCAGATACTTCTGAATATTGCTGCAGTAGCAATGTGCCTTATATTAGTTGCTCTTAGCAAGAGATATATGGACTTTTCCTCTCAGGTTAAGTGTTCTTTGTAAGCTGCCATTATAAGAATACATTTTAAGGAAAAGAATCAGCCTACAAATCTGCAGGTTCTGGAGGCAGGGCAGAATTCCTCTGTGCACTCAGTAGCATGACTTTTCTGACAAAAGCATGCTAGGCTTTGCTCCATAAAATAATACTGATTTTGTTGTGGACAGTTTATAGGGGTATTATTTCAGGCCTGCACATTCCTGAGTACTGGCTTGGAAACTGTTTTCTTGCCTGTGCAATACCCAAGTACTTTCATCATCAAAAAATTAATTTTAACAACCCCTGTTTTATAAAGCAGGAGGTTTTGGGAAGCTTTGCTGCAGGACTTCACTTCTCCCTTGGTACTGGCAAGGATTGGTGATTAGGACTATATTTTCCCTAGGGTGGGACAACAGGTTGAGAAAGAAGTGGTGGAAGCTGTTATTCTCTTTGAATTTGTACTGAGGACTCTCTTCTTCTATGCTATTTTTGATTTATTGTTTGTTGTCTGCAGCTTTTGGGGGTTTTCTTTAATCTACCTAGAGCACACAATAAGCATAGAAGAAATAAAATGAAAACTGTATACCTCTGTGTCAGTACAACATCCATTTCTAAGCTCTCAATATCAGCCATTGTATATGCAGTGAAGCAGCAACAAAGCAATAATGCACAAACAAAATATTTGGTTCTCAAAGAGTTCTACAGCTTAGAGAAATTATTAAAATAATGGAAGATGTCTTGAAGGTGCCTTTTGAGAAACTTTGTTTTATTTCCGAAAGTAAATAAATAGAGCACTACAAAGATGCATTGCTTAAGCCTTATGCTCATTACCATGCAATAAGCACCGCAGCCTTAGAACTGGATATGGGCTCATGGAAAGAAAAGATCCCCAGAATATGAAATTGCATTAGCTGCATTAGTAAGAGGAATTATGAACATAAACCTTTCACTTCCCATGATGGATGAACGTAGTTTACTGAAGTGCAGCAGTAGGATTTCTTTGGGGAGGGGGGAAAGGGGAGAACCTCTTTTTTCATATCAGCAGTTGGGTAGTTGACTCATATACAAACTGTGACTCAAGAAAAGCAGTAGGAAAGAAAGCTAAGACAGAGTAATGAAACCAAAATGGACCAAGATCTATATAGCAGTAGGGAACTCACTGCCATAGAGCCTGGAAAACAGCCAGTGATTCTAATGCAACTTGACAACCTCTCTAAACATCAGGGGAAAGGTCTGGACCACGGGTAACTTCTAGGCTGGAAGCTGTGGGAGCCAGATAAATGCACTGATGTATCCATTGTGACAGAATGGTCTAACCTTCAAGTGTAATGGCTCCCAGTCAGCCATGCTGCCTGACCTGGGAACAATCACTGGATTTACCTAGGTTAATAAAAACTCTTAATTCCAATGATTCTGTCCATAAGAAAGATGAACAAACATAATCCTAAATGGTGCTCCGTGGGACTAGTAGTGATAAACTGCAGTAGTAGATTATCTGGTCCTGAAGTTGGTAATGGAATCCCTAACAATCTTACAGTTCCACGAGGAACAGTAACAGCACAGAATTTTGATATTCACATCTGCAGAGCAATGTACATTTATAAAACAGTGTAGTCCCTGCTGGGATCAGGATATAAACTACCCAGGCATTTAGCACTTCCACAGTTGCCCTTAGGAGATGATTTTAAACCCAGAAGAAACCTTCTTTCTTATTACTTGAATCAAAACTATTTACACCAAAGGTACTAAAAAGCAGTTCACAGCAAGAAGTGGTTGTTAGCGCGGATGAGATAATTCAGGATAACTTCAGGTCTTAAGCAGCCTGATCTGTAAATTGTACATAACTCAATTTAAGTAACATTTTACAAGGATAACTGCAAATGTAATGAAATATTGCTTATACATACTCTAGGAATAAGTACTTGACCCTGAAGTATGAGGATTTTGGTATCGTTGTAGGCATCAGTGAGAGTTAAGGACATTTAACATTTTGCAGGAGGGCCCTATCCTCATTTAAAGCAAATTGAACTGATTGTATTAATTTACACCGATACTAATGGTGGTAATGTATTTTATGGGTTCAAAAAATCTTTGCAAATATCAACTGTGGAAACCCTCCAATTTAGTTTTTGTAAGCTTTATTAAATTAGCAGTCTCACAGAGAGCTGGAGACCCTGCTACCTGCTAACATCAGTAAGTGCCACTTAGGATTTAGAACAGCATCACTGAGATCAGCCAAGAAATGCCTCTGACTTGATATTAGGAAGAAGATCCTTAATGTGAGGGTGGTGAGACACTGGAACAGGTTGTCCAGAGAGGTTGTGGATGCTCCCACCCTGGAAGCATTCAAGGCCAGCTGGATGGAGCTTTTAGCAACTTGGTCTATTGGGGAGTGTCCCTGCCTATAGCATGGGGGTTGGAACTAGATGATCTTAAAGGTGCCTTCCAAACCAAACCTTCTATGAGGACTACTAATGACTTTCTCTGAAGAACCCTCTCTCCCCAGTAACGTTCATTCATCTCAGCACCAAAGAAACACATAAATAATAAAAAATATCCCAGAAAATGAAAGCGGGGTGTTTTTATTTGTGTGATAAATGTTCCACAAATAACTAAAACAAAAACACTATTGCTCTGCTTTGTGGTTTTGAAATAATTGTTAGACTCTTTTTCACTGTGTATGTAAAATAGGAACACTGACAGCACTTTTTCTGTATGTATTGTAGATGAAAAGAGCTGAATATAAGCTTGCAATTATTACTTTTTCTTGACTGATTATATAATTATGGTATTATCGTTTTATAGTTTTATTACAGTCATTATCAGAATGTGATACAGGAATCAATCTGAATGTCAGATCTAACAGGTACAAGCAATTACCTAAAAAACAGTACTATATTTTTGAGCTGGCCACATGTTTAAGAGACTGTTTTTTCTCTGTTTCAGCTGTATGAAAAGGTTGCTCTTTTCCTGACAAATTTAGGTAAGTGATGTTAAATACAAAATTGAATGATATTGTGCTGATTTTTTTGTCCGAATGCTGTGACAGCACTCCAACTGTCTGTATGGGAACTCTTGATTAATTTTAAATCTATTAGGAATTAATTATTTTTTAAAGTTTATAATAAAGAAGTATTATAAACTAAGCTGTAGTGCAATTGAATTAGCAACAGTGAGAATCACTCACCTGCAGTCCTTAGTTCTTGTTCCAGCCCCTTACCTTGTAAAAAGTTGAAGTGTTACCACAAGGACGAAAGTGTAACTGAAGTTTTCAGAGACTGAGCACTCAAAACTTTTACAAGAATCACTTTTAGAAGTCACAGTTGTTGCTTGAAAATAAGTTGCTTAATGACTCTCAGACACGTCCCTTCAGGAGGGGCAGTAACTCGGAGGGAAAAGAACTAGATGTCTCATCAACTTTTACCAACACTGGAACTCTAGTGGTGTTCTAAGTTTAACTAACTTTTCAGATCAGCCTTAAAGACACTAGAGTAAGGACAATGTGTTTCTTTGGTTTCACAGTCTGCATATACTAGGGTAGCAATGGACTGTCACTGAGTCTTTGAAGATCCTGATCGCTCTGGAAGATAGCAGTTGTTAGTGGCAGTTGGCAATGGCTCCTTGGGTCAAGAAATCTGAAATGGAATGATTGCCTCGTTAAATCAACCAATAATTGCATCTGTATGAGAAGTTTTTTGGCATTATTTTGAATTTGGGGATTATCTGTGTACATTGATGATGTTCAGGAGGACAGATTTCCACAGATTTCCTCAGAGGAAACAGTTGATTTTAGCTAGTGTTGAGGCTTTTTAACACCTAGACAGTCATCTATGATATGTTCAAAATGTGTCTAAGGTAGAATTTTATTCTGTTGTTTCTTATTTTTATGTCTTAAATTCAAAATATTGCTGCCATCCTCTTTCTGTGGAAAAGGCCTGTAACCTACAAGTTACAGTTGAGAAAAATGACTTTCAAGTATGTAATTTGCATGGGCTATTTCCTTTTATTCCCTGTGATATCCTGTGGACAGTAAGATATAATGTAGAGAGCTTGAAGCTTAATTACTTTCCGCCAGATTATCATGGAGGCAGGTCTGCTTCTTGTAGCCTCTGCAGACTGCACTTATGTGAGGACTCAGTGGGTCACACTGTTCTGACAGCCTCTATTGTGTTATTTACTCTGGTGGCATAAATTTCATTTGAATGATCTTTATCAGTGTAATAAGCTCAGAGTGGAATTGGAAGGACAGTCAGGATGTTCTTCTTCAGCCATTACATCACCTTTTCTGACCTCAAATCCATGTTGCTCCAGAGTTTTGCCATTCTCTTTGAAAGTCATATGAGCAAAGCTTCAGCTGCAGCAGCCCTTTTAAAGTCAACACATGCTGGCATCAAAAATCTCTGATGTTTCATTTCCTTCTGCTTAGCTGCATATGTATGTAGTAGCATGCACAGACTTGGTGTTCTTGACAGGCATTTCCAAATCATTAGAGCAGTTGTTGATATATAGTCTATTCCACAGTTTTGTTCAGGTGTCTGAAATTTCCTCATGGGTAGAATGTCTCCAACTGAACAGAATCTAGTTTATCTTTTTTGTGCTTGTAATTTAATAGGGATTCCTTTGGAAGTACACATACAGATATTACCATTATGATACACGTTACAACCATTACTACCTCTGCTTTTCCTCTGATTACTCCTGTTCAGAGCAACAGATTAATAAACAAGCTCATGCCAACTGGAAAGCAGTTGCAGGCCATGGTACTAGTGTATTGGCAGAGTAGTTGTTTGGTTAACTCATGTCTTGATTACTCTTTAGATGGAGATTAAGGGCCAAGCTGAAGAGAAGACATGTGGTCTACCTCTTTCCTGTTTGTCTCACCCATCCATTGTGAAGTCTTTTTTTCTCATTGTTCTGTGAGGAGCACCCTGGGACAAGGAAGGTGGCTTTGCTGATGCCTGTACAGAGCCCTTAGGTGCCCACAGCATGATGACCACAACCCTGAAACAGAACCACAAGGAAGATTTACTTATTTACTTCATTTCAGTGTGACATCTCTAGGAAGAAGGCACTTACACAGCTTGTAGCTGTGTCTTTATGGTAGATTGCAGAGCAGGAAATGAGAGAACAGGATGAGCCTGTAAGAATACACACATTATCTTGCAGTTTCCTGGGAATATACATATCCAGATATCAGAACAGATTTCAGAGTCGTTACAAGCTAGCTTGCTGCACACTTCTTTTGGATACAATTTCTACTGTCAGTTTGTACAAGAAAATCAGCAGGCTAATTTACAAATACATTGCCAGCTCAGATAGGTTTCTACATCCTTTGTGCCAAGCAGAATTGTTAATCTGATTAAACCTCTCAAACTCTGCTCTCTTTCTTCACAGAGCAGCCTCGTACAGAATCTGAGTGGGAGAACAGCTTCACATTGAAAATGTTTCTTTTTCAGTTTGTCAACCTGAACAGCTCTACCTTTTATATAGCATTCTTCCTTGGAAGGTAGGATTGATACCTGCATCCTCATAGTCACAAAATGAAGTGGAGAGGAGTAATAAAATTGTCTTGAAACAAAATGGTACTGTATTGTCACACATCTTAAAATGCAAATTTCATAATAGCAAGGTAGGAAACATTACAGTTTTATTTTCCTTTCCAAAGCCCTGAAACAGATGTGGTTTTAATTTCCTAGCATCATATTACCTTAACACTAACTCCTAATAATTTCACTACTGGAAACTGATGCCATCCCCAGTAATATGTGCCCAAGCCACTTTGCTCTGTCTTCATGTGGGTAATTTGTACAGTTAAGTAAATAATTTAACACTGAGCTTTTTTCTTTCTGAGTACTGAATACTTTGCTGCTTTGTTTTCATGAGATTTGTACCATTACCAGAGAATCAGATCTTTTTTCTGCATAAAATGTAAAATATATGTATATATTTGTATGCCTCTTCCTTCAAGCCCCCTTTAAGCAAAAGAAAAGCCTTTTGGTAGGGACTGATAAACTATCAGTGTGGACTATTTGCATGTGGGTTGTTGGGAATGATTCTGGGCAACGCATCATGAGAGAACTGTAAGAAAATAATATTTTCCAAGTGAAAAATAATATTTTCACTGGTTTCACAGAAAGGCAAATACCACAATTTGGGTAAGAAAATGAGCTGGCATTTGAAAGCCATTTTCCAAATAGACATAAACTGTTTTACTTAGATTTTCTCTTTGTTTTGTATATGCTAAGCAGCAAACAGCACAATACTTCACATAAAACTGGAAGTAAAAATATTTTTAGCCCTTCATGTAAATTATTCCAGGAATGTCCAGATCTTTTTCTCATGCAAAGTCCTTTGTAGTCAATCATGCTAAAGTGACATTAGATTAAAACAACAGTATAAGCTTTCTTCCACTGCTGTAAATAGACTGCTCATGCAACATTCTAATGTATATTCATGTGTTAAAGATTTACAGGACACCCTGGAGCCTACCTAAGGCTGATAAACCGGTGGAGACTGGAAGAGGTGGGTGCTTGCTAATTCTCGTGCTCCCGAAACAAGATACACACAGCTTTATCTGCTGCCCACAGTTGCAGTGAATGCAAGCAGAGGCAGATGTAAAACTCTATGCAGGTATCTTTGAGTGTGGTGTTGGATTTTCTGTTGTTCTCGAACTCCGCAATACCAACATTCCACCACCTGCTACAAAAACATCTATATATCAACACTCATACTGTTTACAATGCTAGTAGTTTCAGTCTGAGCACATTTGGAGGTCTGTATCAAACAGTTTCTACTTTATTTGTATTTTCGTGTTGGAAATGTTTCATCCTTAAAATGGGTCAGTTTGATATGAATCTTACAACCCTTTATTCTGAAATTTTTCTTACTTTACAGATGAGTGATGAAAAACCATTTTGCAAATGCATGACAATTGGCAAGCAAAAAATGCAAGTCTTTTCACTGCCAACATGAATTTACAAATACTTCCAGATATCTGAGTATTTTAGTTAATGTAAATCATCCAAACAGTAGCAAAAAATGAATAATTGGCCATCGTAATTTTGAAGCAGTGAATTCTGTACATTAAAAGTGGTAAATGGACAGACAGACTGAACATTCCTTCAAAGTCTGAGAGAGACCAAGCTGACCTAACAGCTTGCTGCTGCAAAAAGAGGTCAGTTCTAAACTTGCTTTGAGCCTTCCCCAGAAGCTTGCTCCTTCCTCTTCTGCACTGACTCTGGTGTTTTTCCAACCCTATGTCAGTTCCCTATATCAGCAAGAACCTCTTTCTTTTTCCGGGTGAAATCTTTTTTTTTCTGTTAAGTTACTGGGCTGAATCAGCTCACAGGATAATCAGAACATGGGGGACACTTGCAGAAGCAGAAAGGGAAGGAAGGAAGAATCAAGTTTGGGGGTGAGGTGCAGCAGTGACATGTTATGGGTTGGGTCAGTTGCTGGTGGAATCTACTATTACCTTATTATTTTGCCTGTCTCAGAGTAAAAAAAAAAAAAAAAAAAGTTTATTAAGAATTGTTTAATAAAGAAATCTTAACTATATCAACCATATCCGTACAAGGTCATATTAGGAAAAGGCTTTAGAATATAATGCCGAGATATCCCTCCAATTGCCCTCTCTTCACCTATTGGATGAAGACAAGTACATGACATTGGATAGCATGATATACCCTGGTCAGATCTTCCTATGTACACCCAAACCACAGCATACATAGTATTTTGGTGGTGTTATGGATGTAACATCACTGCTACTTCACTTTCCTTTCTTAGGCTGTATTTTCTTGTGTCACTTATTCCTAAAAATAGAAGGATGATAATTTAATAATGATGCTAGTGAAGTTAATTAATAAAAAAAAAAAAATTGATCTGCTACCCTGTTAATCTAAAGAGAAGTTGAATGAGGTCAACAGAAACCTCAGAAGGAGCCCTGGCTCTGAGGACTATAATGCAGAGTATGTGTAAGAAATTCATACCACATTTTGTTAGATGTCATAACCAATGCCATTTTTTTCTCTTTAAAACCTAAAGAGAAATAGTTCCAGTCCTGTGGCAGCAATCTGCTTCACTTATCCATAATACCCAGGACTTACTACAGCTTACACTCCACTGTTTGGATCTGCAAAGTTTTTGGCACTTTTCTATTTCTTCCAATACTAAAACTAAAAATAGTGGCATCACCTAAATTGTTACTAGCTGAGCGTCTCTCCTCAGAGCTACAGCACTTCTTCCTCAAGGCCTGGAGCCACAACTAAAGCAAGTAAGCACTCCACAAAAGATGTTGAGAACTGCTAGTTGGTTTGTAGACCTTCAAGAAGAGAATAGCTTTGAGGAGTTCACTCACTTATACATTAAGTACTTAATAAACAGTATTAGGACTATCCTCTAGGCATAAAGTCTTTGCATGTACAGCCAGGAGGAATTTTCTCTTCATTTTTTGACTTGAGCATAGAGTCCCCCTAAAAACTACTGTAATCAGTGGAGAAATTTGTTAGCTTTTGTCTCTATCTTACCCACTGCTGTACAACTTACTAGCAGTACTAGTGTGAAAACGATATTTGTTTCAGCTGATTCTGACTCCTGTAGAAAATTAGATGACAGACTTAAAGGGCTCATGGTACGATATAGTTTCATATGCTCCCATGAGTCTATATTTTAAAAATAATCATAAAGAAAACAGCACTTCATTTCCCTTAAGTAAATTATTAAATATTAGTTTATGCTCTTTAAGAAATAATTTAAACTGAGCATTACTTCTATTTAACCTTATGTTTCTTTTTTTTCTGTAGTGCCACCCTAGTGGATGCCTTATTGATCTCTGTATGCAAATGGGTATCATAATGGTGCTAAAGCAGACTTGGAATAATTTCATGGAACTGGGCTACCCGTAAGTAAACTTAGTGCTTATGTTTTTGTAGATCACAGAAGAATACCAACTTTACTGTTTCCTTATGAACTGTTACATAAAAGCAAGGTAGATTTGCCATATGAATAAGAAAATATCCCTTCGGGTAGGGAGCTCTTAAGTTAGATTTCCAGACAGCTGGTGCTCTGGGTTTTTGATATTGAACATAGTTTGCTAAATTGATAGTGCAGTATCGATACTAACAAACAAATATGTGGGAAGTACTACATTATATTGTATTCCATTTTTTAAAACTCTGTAAAAACAACTGTATGCCTTGCACAGGTAATATTATATGTACCATTTTTTATCTGTGTCAGGAAGTTCTAAATTGGATTTCTCCTTGCTGAGTGATAAAAGGTGTCTGAAAGGGTGGGTCTGAGCTGGAAAAAAAATGCACTCTGGGCATATTCACTTCAGAGCCAGAAAAATGTACTGACTGGTATATAGATATGTCCCCTGGTGATCTGGGCACTGTGGAATTGTGCCCTAGCTAAAAAGGCTAATGATTATTCATTTCCTATCGGTTAGTTTCTCATTGATTAGTATTTAATTAGTATGATTAATAGAGACTTGAGTTGATGCTAGAGACAGTGTGGCAGGTCATCAAGGGAAATTAGCAAGTGTGAAAACATAAGAGAGGGCTGACATTGTCAGAAAGTTTGCCCTTGTCAAGTTCTGCAGCTTGGAGGGATTTGCTTCACCGCAGGATCCACAGAAGAGCTAACACAGAGGTTGGTCCCTGAGCTGCAGAATGTGTTGCAGCAGCGATTTCAGGCAGCCTCAGAGCTGATCACATCCAGCCGTAATGAGAATGGGGTGAATGATTTAAATGCATAGTGTAATGGGCAATCAAGGTACTCAACATTCACTATTCATCCATCTTCGCCAGTCGGCGCCTAGCGCTGCTGGTCAGGATTTTGTAGCTGAGGTCGGAAGGGGGGAGCAGCAGCAGTAGCAGCACTGATCCTTTTTTCTACTCCCTTCCTCTTTTGTCAGTTTTCATTAGATCTTCCTCCTACTTATTAATAGGGATACTGAAACCTAATAATGAGCATTGAAGAGGATTACAGAAGTTGACAGAAGTAAATAGGAGGAGATTGTTTAAGAACAAGTGCTATAATAGGAATAAACTGCTGTAAGTCAGCCCCTTCTCTTTAGAGTCACAGCGCAGATCATTGTTGCAGTAATGTTGAGAAGCTTAAACTTATTCTGGTGGGAGAAATAGGTGTTTACAGCTTTCACATCTCCTCTCTAGCGCTAAAATGCTGCAGCCAAGCATATTTTGTTTCCATTTTGTTTCCATTTTGTATGAAAGAATGCAATCATTTCTGCAAAGAACATGATTTGGAGGCAACTCTGTAGTGCAGAACTTCCCTACTCCCTCCTTCACATACAGGAAGAGATCAAGCAGCATTAGAAGCTGTTTAACAGTTTCTTGTTCAGAGCTTAACTATCTCCATGCAACGCTGCATTTTGCCTTATAAAAAGGCTTGAAGTGATTTTATGTCGACAAAAAGAGGTAATAAAAAGATGTCAAAATCTCCTTTTCATTTTAATAACATGTAGACCTGAATAACAGCCCATCAATCCTTATCTGTTTTTGTACCTATTCCACTATCATCAGCCACATATATTACCAATGCTATCTTTTCCCACGCATTGGAAAATATTTTCAAGGTATGCTGTGCACATTTAGCCTCTTCCAGTTTAGTTATGAATAGCCAACAACAGTCTTTACTTTGTTTCTTTCATTTATTTGAAAATGTAGGCTAATTCAAAATTGGTGGACCAGAAGAAAACTACGGCAAGAGTATGGCACACAGAGAAAAACAAGCTTCCCACAGTGGGAAAAGGACTACAATCTGCAGCCTATGAATGCTTATGGACTGTTTGATGAATACCTAGAAATGAGTATGGCACTGAAATTATTTCTCTCTCTTCAGTAGATGTTAATGTAGTTGCTTTTTTTTGTTGATGTGAGTTGGCGTGCTCTTTTAGCAATTGCTGTATGAACCTAAAGAGGCTACAAAATGGTTCTCATTCTCACAAGTCAGGTGAGGCATGGGAGTGAATTTCTGAGAGCAAAACCAAGTCAACGTAGCTAACTACAGTGCTTTTGGTTTGATAACCCCATGTTTATGAAACACTTCTGATTCTGGCTTTGTATGGGGAAGGTTGCTTTCTACATTGCAACCCTTCACCTGTTTATGTTTCTGAAATTCTTTGCTGATTTGTGCTCAAGGAAGTTCCCTTGAGTTTTTATTTAAAACTATGTGGAACAGCTTGTTTGTCTAAAATTACCCTCATTTACTGCCTGTCAGTGGCATTGCAGAGGAGGATAACTGTTGTAACAAATGTCAAAGAACAAAAACTTGTGCCCTGTGTGACTGAACTGTGTACATCTTGAATGTTTGGGGTTTTTTTGTTTGTTTGTTTTTTCTCTTTTCTCTCTCACACTTCTTTTCAAAGTAATGCAAAATTTAGGAATCTGAAGACTTAGCTCTAGAAACTTACATAAAGTCTCAGACAGCAGCCCACCAATACTTTATGCTGTAATCTTTGCAAGTATTCAGATGTCCTAATTGATGCTGCAGTAAAAATGTCAATTTCTTAAAAAAAAAAAAAAAAAAAAAAAAAAAAGGCTTGTCTATCTTCAAATTTCTTTTGCCAGCTAAAAATTCTAGATGTTGCACTTCATCTCAGGGATGAATGCATGCATTTCTTCTGATCATTCTCACCCTGAACTTTCGGCAAGGAAGTTTTGTACAAAAGTCACTAGACTATTGTATGGTACAGCATAGTAAGAGATGTTTATATGTGAGATACTTCACCCTCTTAGCCTTTAGAATTAGAGCTCAAAAGATACACTGTGACCTTTCGCTTTCTTTCCTAGTTCTTCAGTTTGGATTCACAACCATTTTTGTGGCAGCTTTTCCATTGGCACCACTTCTGGCCTTACTTAACAATATTATTGAAATTAGGCTTGATGCATACAAATTTGTCACCCAATGGAGAAGACCTTTAGCATCAAGAGCCAAAGATATAGGTGAGTGCTTTGTTACATGTGTGTGTTATTTTTAGGACAAAATATTGACCACCTCAAGTAAGAGTGGGTGAAGGAATTTTCAGTCATCCTCTGCATTAGCAACACACAATCTGACAATGCACAAAAAGCCTCAAACATCTGATGCCAGTCTGTTTATGCAATTAAAAGTCTATGCTGGGGAAAAAAAAATGTTTTAAGGATTTTCTGAGTGACTTAACAGCCAAGGTGTCCAGATGTCCTGAAGTTGGACTCAGTGATGCTTGTGGGTCCTTCCAGCTCAGGATATTCTATGATTCTATGTTTTAATGAAGTGACCAGTGTCCTCTATGGGTTTTTCTTGCAGCATACACACTGTGAACACTGCTGCTCAGTTTGAATATAATAACCAGAGAGAGCTGCAGAAACATCAAAATGAAATTAAAGCAGCCACTATTCATTAAGAGTCCTCTGTGTTTTCTATCTGCTTGGCCAAAAACAACATCCCCTATGACTCAGTGGCTGTGTCCCTGGTGCATGAGATAGGATGGGTCTAGGTTCCAAGAAACAATTTACTGTTAATGAGGAAAGACTGCATTGCTAAACATAGGGTTCACATAACTTTGAGGTTACTTGGCCACACACTGCTGCAAGAGTTTTCTGAACTGATTATAAAACACCTCCATCCTTGTACTGTGCCAAAGCAAAACACCCTTAAGGAGGATGCTACAAAACAAACTTATTTGTCCAGTGCTGAATTCCTGGTGCCTTGGAAAGGTAAACAGGACACCTTGCTGCCTGTCTGCACTGCAAAAAAGCATAGGCCTCAACATGAAATAGCAGAATCCCAGACTTTCTGCCCTTAGAATGCTCTCCATGTACCTGAGTAAAGCCTTGTGTGTGAACAGTGTGAACCTGTGAGGAGACAGTTATATAATTTCAATAATAAAAGAATTGGAAAACAGTGTTGTTTTTTTTTTTTGTATTCAGGCAGATTCAGGTATGATTTCTCAAAATGAATTGCAGTTGGTCTCTATTCAGTAAAGTTTTTAGGGATAGTGTGATATCTCATTAAAATCAACAATTATGTCTAACCTGCCTTATATGTATTTCTCAGTGATGATCCTCATCATCAGAATTGCTGTGTGTCTGTACCACAGGATCTTTCAGGCAGTTAAAACTGGGCCCAGAAGTCCAGGTGATGTGTAGGGGCCATGTGCCATTGTATAGCATTAGCATGGCAGGAAGATTTTGATGTAGAGAGATACATACTGACCAGCCATACACAAGGCTCATACCAGACCTCTGTGGCATGCAGATCATGGATTAAATATACCCATAGCTGCCCTGGCTGGCTCTCCTCAAAGAGCCACAATAGGCAAGGAGGCTCACCACATTTCTTAAAACTGACATGACCGTGGTATTTGATGGAGCCAAAGTTTCATGAGCATTTCTGCTGGCTTCACTAAGATGAAGCCATCCACTGGGAACATAAAGCCACCCAGTGAGAACATAAATCTGGTCTACTGAGGTCTTGCTGCTCAATAAGAAAATTATTTTTAGTCAGTGTCTCTGATAGAAACTATATAATTTTTGAGTGGTGGGACAATTGCTTCAAAGTATGCAGTATTTGAAATCTTTTGGTCCTTGATTTTTTCTGGAGATAACGCATTTTCCTTATCATACAGGAATATGGTATGGGATTCTGGAAGGCATTGGAATTCTTTCTGTTATCACAAATGCATTTGTTATTGCCGTGACATCAGATTTCATCCCTCGACTTGTTTATGCTTACAAATATGGACCTTGTGCAGGACAAGGAGAAGCTGGGCAAAAGTAAGCTTTTCTTTAGGAGGAAAGTTGTGCATGAAAATCACATTGCTTGAATAGATACAGCAGTTCTGTCTGCATATGTACCAATTCCACTAACCCAAATTTATCGCTTGTGCTTAGGCAACAGACTTCAGCCACAGATAGAGCAGGTTGCTGACTGACTGTAATCTATGAGGCTAACTCAAGAAAAACATGGCAGAAATTTGGCTTGTGTAACAGTATGCTTCACAAACCGCATTTCCTGGTGTACATGGGTATAGACCTCTTTTTATTCTGAAGCTATGCACATATTTATCAGTTAAAGATTTAATCAGAATTTTATATTTATTCATTAAGCTGCATTTCCTGTATTCAGCATGCATTGTTCCAAAAAGCAGCGTCTCACAGGAGGAAGCAATTCCCAACTGATAAATCAAGGCATCCTTACAGAGCAAAGTAATTTGTTTTTCATCTAAAACTAGAATCCTTTGGTTACATCTTTCGGGAGACATTTGTGAACTGAAACCCCGCTGCCTAAGTGGATTTTCTTGCAGTGTTGGTAAACACTGAGATTACATTAAGTATGAGTCTAGCTGCTACACCAAACTTGTAAAATCTCGGCTGTTGGACTGGGGGAAGGTCGCTGAATCCAGCTGAACACAAATGGACACAGTCTGCAAATGATCTCCTGGCAGCTCCATTAGTAAGAGCCTGAAGTTCAGAGAAACATAAGCTTAACCGGAGAGAGAATTACAAGGCTTATGTTCTGCTGTCGGACATATGGCAGATTGATTTTTCTTCCTTGCTATAGCAAGTGGATTCTTCTGTTGGTGCTTTTTTTGCTATCTTGTGTTTGCCAATACTGTCTAATCCTACTGATGGAAGAAGGGCAGCTGATGGGGGCAGTTCCTGATTAGCAATGCTGCTAACTTGCTGTTCTACTACTAGATTGGCATTTTAACAGGTGCCTGCAGGACTGTTCCATTTATTTTCACGAGGAGTTAAAATCTTTTTGCTGGTAAGGTGTTTGGTCTGCTGCCAGTGTTTGCTGAGCCTACGCCTCTGCTTGTGCTGTGATGAAGATCCATAGGACACCGAGGCACTGTCAGCAGTTTTCCTTGCGACTGATTTTCTTAGAGCCAATATGCATGGGAAAAAAAATGCTCTTAGAAATTTGATTTCTGTAATCAAATATGACTCACTGGTTTTAAAACTAGTTCCGAACAGGGGAAGTACCTTGGCTCACTGAAGATGCACTTCTTACAAACCTCTTGTACAGCATTTTCATAACTTTGCTGCTTTTCTGGATGAATTTCTCAGATGAAATCATTCGATATTAATCCTGTGGAGCAGCCAAATTGGATAAAAACTATATATGTCATAATTCTGGATACTGCTATTCGTAACTGCTGTTAGAAAAGATGGAAGCTATTAAAAATCCACAGGAATATTTAATTTTCTCAAATTAAATTAAGGCGTGAAGAATACCTGCTACTGACTACCTTACATGAGAGAGATTCTCTTTTTCTTTCCCAAAACATCTGTAGGTATTAAATCCATATAACACACCAGCAATACTAGAAAAATATTGAGATTGCGTTAAGTTCCAAATCTAATCAACATGAAGATCTTGAATCAAAACATGGTTCTTAAATGTAATTTCTCAAATATTTTAAAATCCTTAGTTAAAAAATAATCAGCTCTTACTGTGAAGAAAACCATATAATGCTTTCTGAACCTCTGGCAAAACAACTTGAAATAATTACAGATTTAAGCTTTCTGGTTTGGTAATGCTGAAATTTAATTATAATAGTCCAACAGATGAAGCCAAAGAGGGTTTTTAAAGATGTAAGTAAATCACAAAGACTGTTGGCTTCCTGCAGCAGTTCTTGGCAGGACAAAATTGATTTTCAAATATTCTTTTAAAAGCAATTTTCACACCTCAGTTGTCTGACCTCGAGTTCCTCATTTCAGATTCTTGTCTAAATAACAGTAGAATTGTTCTTGAAATCAGAGCAGTATTATAACAGATTTAGTTCAGTGAAGGTGAGAGTTGCTTTCCCTTGTCGCCTCAGACATCCCTGTGGGTCAGAACTGCCTGGCAAAACCGTACCAGTCAGGGCATTTAGAAGCTATCCTTATGGTAGCTAAATTTGTTCATCGATAACAGCTTTTTGAAAGAATTAACTATGCAAAAATTATACTCATCTTTTAGGTCCTTATTCTTAAAGACAGTACACGGTATACCATGCAGAACAGTTTTGTGGGTGGCTAAATTTATACTTGACCTCTTGATGCACTACAAAATATGTTTAAATATCTTTCTCTTAAGCTCAGTTCAGCATTATGTTAGGAGAATGAAGATAGGTTGGTTCAGTCCTTCCTTCTTCCTGACTGAAAATCTGGCAGCCTCATGTAATTCTGTCAATGGTCTCTTGGTTTTAGCTTTGAAACACTGAAAACAGATGGCCCTGATGGTGATGTGGTTGGTTACTGCAGGTTTTGCTAGCTGAAGTCTTTTCTTCTCAGTTAGTTAGAGAATGAATGCTTTCTTGGTGTGCCAATACCTACCCATGTTTGAGTGAAAAGCACAATGCATGTTCCCTATCCTCAACATGATTAATACCAAATTTGAGCTTTCTTGTGACTCCCACAGCCCTTTACTGTGCAATGTACATTCTGTTCCTCAGTGTTCTCCAAACTCTGCCTAACCCTCCCAACACTCAACCAATCTGCGATCTTCTAATACCAAATTTATCCAATTAACTGAACATTTTGTAAAAAAAAAAAAAAAAAAAAAAAAGTCTTATTGCCCATAGCTGTTTTAGGTGTATTGCCTTTCCATTTTAATTTAATGTTCCTTTGTGTTTGTAACATGACAGTGACAGTGGGAGTATTCTAATTATCTCCCTGGTGCCACTCACTATTTTCCCTACCTATCTACTTTTCAGAGGTAACTAGTCCCAGTCCTCACCATTTCTTCTCCCATAAAAATCTAACATTATTCACTGATCTATGTCAGTACTTCTTTTATACTGCCTCTGTATCCCTTCAAAACGTTACTAAGCATCGCAGTTAAACTGCAAATTTCATGAAACCCAGAGAACTTCCTTCTGGGTAGAGCAGTTAATAGAAGAATCTAGCTGTGTCCTGACTAAAGGAATTTTTCCCCTCTAGGTGTATGGTTGGCTATGTTAATGCCAGTTTATCAGTATTTCTGGTGTCGGACTTTGAAAACCGTTCAGAGCCTACATCAAATGGAAGTGAATTCTCTGGTTCACCATTGAAATATTGCAGGTAAGTATCTGATCAAAACACTTCTTTGCTTTAAAGCACTTCAAGGGAGAAACATCCTGGAAAATTTGGGGTTGGAACTAGTTTTCAAAACTTGAAAAACATTAATGGAAAAAAAAAGGTGCTACTTGAGAACACACTTGTGGTAGTTCTTGGTTGTTATCTGCATGATTACTTCCTTAGATACAAGAGAAGCTGGCAGGTGCTCCAACTACAGAATTTGTATGGTGATATGGCTTGAATCACATGCAGTCATCGTGGAGGAATATGGTATCAAAGGGTCAATGATGAGTGACTGATTATGTCATTGAGATGAAATCTTAATCAGATTTTCTCATCACCCTTACACAAGGAAGTCAGTTTAGGTGTGCATAGAAGTGACCGCATTCAGTTATTTCACAAGTCTGTCTGACATAAACAGAGCCTGTCCTCAGCTACCTTTATGAAACTAACAGCTGAATAGTTAACATGTTTATGTCATTGCTTGCAGGTGTAACTATTAGTAATCATCATATGCTTCTGCTTTGAATCAGAATAAAATGAGCAGTTAATCATCTTTGTATCTTTGTCATTAGCCAGCAGATTGGGAATGGCAGTCTGACACTAGGCTTGATGAGAGACTTGCAAGTGATTAATTGTAATGATACAGAGAATCAAAATCTTAAATAGAGTGCCAGGGAAGAACATCAAATGACACATACTGTTGCCATTTGTCTGTGGCAATACTAGTTTACCAGCATGAGTCCTGGTGGCTATAGATACAGGTACCCCAGTATTTTTCACTGTAGAAAAATATAATTTAATGTCATTAGTCTTTCAAGAAAAAAGATATTCTGGAATATAGCAAAAGTCACCGATACCTTGTGATATTGTGGCATTTTTATTAGCAATAACCAGTTCTGGTATAGCATTGTAAGTTGATTACTGTTTTTATTTACATAACTGATATTGAAGTCATGTTCTCTGTTGAAACTTATTTTACAGAAAAAGCATCCCAATGTTGACTCCATAGATAAAGTTTTCTGGAGAGCAGAGCTGCTTTTATAATACTTCATTCCATGTAGTTTGCCATGGTACCTTTTAATAATGTTTATGGATTCTGACCAGTTTCTTCCCCCCCTTTAATTCCTTTCTTCCCTAGAATCATGTATAATGTTGCTGCTACTTAAAGCTGGTGGTAGAAACCCCATCAATAAATGCATTGAGTTGTCACCTCAATATTCCACTCCATTCTATTAAAATTGGTGCCATAAATCTCTAGAAGTTAAATCTCTTCTTGGAGGTACACTGAACTATTATGTATATTTACCCTTGAAAGAAAGTGAGCCTCTTACTTTCTTTGGCTGAGTTTATCAGCTACATAACACATCAGGATTCTGCTAAAACATCCGTCACTTTAATTGCAGCGTAAACCACCTATTGATAGTGAGGTAAGGAAATACTGCATCCTGCTGTAGTGTAGGCACTTTTCCAAGAAGGCAGTGTGTCTGAACAAAAGCCAGTGGCCATACTCAGTTAACTTCTGCTCATCTAGAACGTAGACGAGGGTTGTCAGGCTGACAAAACTGGAGATATTAATGATTTTAAAACAAGCTGTGGTAGAGAAGAAGGCACCCCTCCAGTAGCATCCTACCCCACTCTGCATTCTGAGAAGGTGCCTACAGGGCACCTAAAGAAGCCACAAGTGCTAGTGCTGAGCACCCGACATGCTCTGTATTTGCAGAAAACGCATTGATCGAGAGCAGATGGGTTTGGGTTTTGTCTTCCTCATGGGCAGAAGAGTAGGAGCTTACTAACTGCAGTACTCCACTTGTCTTTCAGGTACAGGGACTACCGAGACCCTCCTCACTCCCCAGTGCCCTATGGCTACACGCTGCAGTTCTGGCATGTCCTAGCAGCACGGCTGGCTTTCATTATTGTATTTGAGGTCAGTGACCATTCCAGCGGAAAAGTCTATATAGCAAAAACACCAAAACAAAACCAATTTCCTCTTGAAGCTTATTCATTGAGCTGTTCCATGATGCCAGCTGACAAGCTTTTCGTGTTAGTTTCTGCTATTTGTATTGTGCTTTATATTCTCCCATTTCCTGAATGGTAACAGGTATTTATATTTTAACAAACAGGAGTTTGTTACTGCAATTTAAAAGCTGTAACAGTGACAGGAAAAGAGGGGAAAGAAATGCTGTTTTTACTTACTTTCTAAGTTTTGATATTAGCACTCTGTTTAGGCTGAAAGCTGTATGCAAACTAGTTAGTGAGTAAGGGGAGAGGGAACATGATTAGAAAGGATGAAATCTGAACAACTGAAAAATGGAGATAGCTTAAGTTGCACATTATTTACACATTTTGCTTTTTTTTCTCTATTTTAAATACCATTCATCTCCATTAGCATCACAAAGCTGGTGATGCTAAAAGAGGCTCAGTATCTTTGTCAAAGTTCATAATATTAGTGCTTACTGTCAGTATCTCAGAAATCTTTAAAACAAACCAGAGAAAACTCAGCTTCATCTGACTGCTATTCTTATGCTGATTTTGAAAAACAGAGAGAAGAGGGTAGACAAGTAAGCTGTGATGCAGCTCATAAGGTCTGAATTTCATTAAGCCAGAAACCAGGTGTTCAGCATCTCTATAGCATGAGCAGTTCCAATGCCTTTTACACTGAGAAGAAGCTAAACAGGGAATAAACAATAAAAATGACCACTCTTTCCTCAGTCCACTTCTCTGAAATCATAGCAACAGGGCCTCCAGATACGGAAGCTGTAATCACCACAAATTATTGGCATACTGTTCAGGAGCACAAACTACATTTCTGACTCATGTTACTCTGGAAATTCATTCTGTACTGAGCTCTCAAAGCACCTCTTTACATCACTGAACATTCAAGCTTTCGAGTTAGAAGAAAAGTGAAGGGGAAACATTGTCTAGATGATTTCTTGCCTAGGGCTGTCTTGTCAGCAGAAGTTCAAGTTCTGCAGAGAATTCCGCAATTGTAGTTTTCAGCCCTTCCCAGATGAAGGGCAATATGGCATCACAGGCTGACATCTCTTCTTGCCTCATACTACTCTAACTAATGGAAGTTCAGTCTGGCTCCTCCGTGATTTCTGCCACATTCAGGAAAACATCAGGGGAAAGAAAGATCTGATAGCAACATAGTGGGCTTCATAGAATCATAGAATCATAGAATCACTCAGGTTGGAAAAGACTTAAAGATCATCAAGTCCAACCATGACCTAACCATACTACCCTAACTCTAATCACCCTCCACTAAATCATGTCCCTGAGCACCACATCCAAACGGTTTTTAAACACATCCAGGGATGGTGACTCAACCACTTCCCTGGGGAGCCTATTCCAGTGCTTAACAACCCTTTATGTAAAGAAGTATTTCCTGATATCCAACCTAAACCTTCCCTGGCGCAACTTGAAGCCACTTCCCCTCGTCCTGTCACCTGTCACCAGTGAGAAGAAACCAACCCCACTCTTGCTGTAAGGACCTTTCAGGTATTGGAAGAGAGCAATAAGGTCTCCCCTCAGCCTCCTTTTCCCCAGACTGAACATCCCCAGTTCCTTCTCCCTCCTCATTAGGGCATATTCTCCAAGCCCTTCACAAGCCTTGTTGCCCTTCTTTGGACCTGCTCCAGCACCTTAATGTCCTTTCTGTACTGAGGTGCCCAAAAAGTACTTGAGGGGAGGCCTCACCGGTGCATCTTGTCTTTGCTCCCTGAGCTTTCAGTGCTGAAAGCCAGGGAATCCCTCTCCAAAAATGAACTACAAGAACAGCTCTGGCAGGTCAGCCTAAGGAGGTTTAATACCAAAGAGAGCCTGACTTTTAGACACTGGACACTTGGTATATATGTCTTTGGAGATCTTCAAAAAGCCACATGGACATGGTCCTGGGCATCCTGCTCTGGGTGTTTCTACATGAGCCAGAGGGTGGGACCAAACAGACCCAGAAGTCTCTTCCTGCCTCAGCTGTTATGTGTAAAGGCAGCATGGAATAAGGACAAAAGTAACTACAGTGAAACTTATAAGTCTTGCAGAAGTCTCAGTGCCCAGCTAAATACACAGTCTGTTGTGGAACAGCTTTTCAGATCTGGCTGATGCTTTCATAAGAGAACTGACTTTGCTTTGCCCCAACCAAAGCTATAAGTTGGCTCACCAGTGCCTCTCTCAGCAAAGACCAGTCTGTTTATTTGCACTGCAAAATGCTTCCTTAATTATCTAAATGAAATTATAAAAGTAACCTCAGCAGAAACTATACCTGTTTTTCACTACGGAAAATACTACCAGATATATTATTGTTGCCAGAGCAGTTACAGTAAAAGGTCTCTCTAGGAGATTCAAGGCAGTTTTTTTCACAAATCAAGTAACCTTCCACCTCAGCTCAGACACCCTTTTGGCAATGAGGAAGTGGATGCAGTGATGTTTGGCTATGTTGGCCAAACAAAACAAAAGTACTTCCTATCAGTGTAAAAGAAAGTATTTGTCTGGGTTAAACTGAGAGTTCAGTGGCAGTGCTGTGTGCAAAAGCTGAAGAAGCTTTTTAGTTTTTTGTTGTTGTTTCTTTCTTTCTTTTTTTTTTTTTTTTTTTTAGATTAGGCAGACACACAGTAATTATGGTTATTGCAGGTTGTTTTTCTATTTTCTCATAAGGGAAGAATACATGGGAAAATGTTATATATTTTTCAGTGGGTTTAAAAGGAAAGATTCTGATTGGAGAAGTACCTTTACTTTAGAATTGGAGAAGTAACTTTACTTTAGAATCTGTGTTTTTGCTGAGATGAGGGATTTTTATTTCTGAGGATCTCCTCTCAGGTGTAGTGTATAAATCTCCTTGCACCATCTTCAGTCAAATGAAAGAAGACAATTGAGCAGTCCTCTCCCATCACAGTCAGCTTTGCTGGGGCTTGTCTAAAACATGAATGACAAAGGAGCACCTTATGCTTAGTAAATGACAAGATGGTGTTGGAATAAAATGCAGATTAGAAAAAAAAATGTTTTGTTTTGCATAGGTGAGTTAGTTTCCAATACTGATGCAAGAAATTTCCAGCGACAGGAAAATATGATACTACTTGATCTTCCTCCTATGGAGCAATCCACTATTAACAGTCCCTGCCCAGACAACCGTACTGCAAAGCATGACCTCAGGGGTTTGAACACACAGGTCATACAACACTCCCAAGGCTTTGTTTGGACCCAGCTACTCTTGACCTTTGCTGAAATCCACAGTCCACTGCCCTTTAGTTTTTTGTTGGGGAAATCTTCACAATTTGGTTTCTTCAGATTTAGTAATACTTTAGTAATTTAGTAATAATTCAGTTCTAACACAGCATCTTTAGAAGGAAAGGGATTTCAGAAGGTATGGAAATAACTTATTTTCTTCCAGTTGTTTTCATTCTTCAACCATTTCTTCTTTTTGCAGCACCTTGTCTTTTGCATAAAGCACCTGATTTCCTACTTAATCCCAGATCTTCCAAAGGATCTGAGAGATCGAATGAGGAGAGAAAAATACCTGATTCAGGAAATGATGTATGAAGCGGAATTAGAACGTCTGCAGAAAGAAAGGAAGGAAAGAAAGAAGAATGGAAAATCTTATCACAATGAATGGCCATGATGGGGTGAGGAAGAAACTGCTTAAAAGAAGATAAGAATTCTTTTTATTAAAAAAAAAAATCCTGGTTTTCTGCAGTAGAGAGCACAGTGAAAGAGGAACAGTCAGTGTTGTGTGCACTCAGCACATGTGTACCCATATTTAAAATGGTGAATACTGTGCTAAGTCTTTTCAAATTTGGGGTCTTACAAGGCTTAGTCTTCTCCAGAGCTGATATTGGCAAGAGCAGCACAGACCAATGCGTAAGTCTCCACACTATTTCCAGGCATGGCTTAAATTCAAGGCCGTGAACTTCAGAGCAGCTATATATCTTACAGTGCTTTACAGAACCTAGTGATCTCATGGCTCCTCATCATGGCTGAGCAGCTACTTCATAACCAGTGACTGCTCATTAGCAACATGACAGTACATGTCCACATGTATAGTCAGCACATGCAGAACGTGCGTGGCAACGATGCCCTCTCCCATGGTGGGATAAGTGGTGGAAGTTAGCATCTACCATGAGTTAAGTTAACATATGGGGATTGCTTCCATAACTTGAACAATACCTTAGTATCTGTGAGGAGATTTTTGAACATGAGTCCAATCAAATGCTTTAACAGTGCTGAAAAAATTACACATGCAGAAGTTTTGGCGGATAGGCAAGAACCTAAATGTGCCCAGAGGTGTCTTAACTGTAGGGTCATTAATTTGGACACATTATTGTGAAAGATTAGTAACATTTTAAAGATCTGAACAGTGCCTTTTCAGCTATTGGTCTGTCTGGTCTCTGAAGTAAACAAATCAAGCTAGGACACCTCATCCAAAATTGCTTGTATGCTTGTATTGCAAGGCCACATCAAGGCCTCATCAAGAATGAGAATATATGATATACATAACAGAAGACTGTCTGTGTCTTAAGTAAATCAACAATAACAAAGCAAAAACAAACAAACAAACAATGGATGAACAAATTCAACAGAGCAAGAGAACACGATCATCCATAATCTCTGATCTTATAACTTCTCTTTTATTCCTTCTGTTGTCTGCACTGGGAGAAAACAACTAGGCTGTAGTATGAAATAGCTTGAAATCCTTTGTGCACAGCAGTTCTACATAGGCTGTAGAATTAGATTTGGCCAAAATGGGCCACTGACTATATCCTTTTGCAAATTGCTTAGCATTAAGAAATTAGAAAGTTTGCAGTTCATTAGTCCAGAATAGTAGAGTTGTAACTCTGATGACTGCAGAATTGCTGGACAGAGCAACATGAATCAAAATGCTGAGCGTTGTGAAAGCTCCACTGCCTCTTGCCTCAAAGTGATAATACTGCAATTCTTGCAGAACGTGCAGTAGCATAATCAACCACAACATGAAGAAGGAAGTTCAAAAGCTCAGACTTTAAGTAGACTGCAAGGAACCAGATGTCTTGGTAAAGATACAGCTACATGCAAAATACTGAAGCTCATCAATTCACTTAGCACTTTTCCAAGTATCTGTAGCTTCAAAAACAGCATGCTTTTCTCAGAGCTATTAATGAATAATGACCTTGTTAGTTTAAAGGCATTTGACAGTGAGGAAAATTCAGCACACTGTTTCTACAAGTTCTTCTAGAAACCATTCAATAGAAGCAGTATTGGACAAATCACACAGTACAAGATCCTTTATATGGATTCCTCCAACTCCAGTAAACATCAGGACTACCTTTACCAAGACCACATATTGCCAAATTAGATCTGTTAACTTTGTTCCGCTGCAAGGTAGAACTGTGCTATTTCTATGAGGAGGAAAGTTTTGATAAAAAGCAGTATGGTTTGGTGGAAGAAAATGTTTGCATCCTGATCTTGGTAGCCACTGCCAGCCTACATTTTGCTTCCTTTCTTTAAGGAATTCCTCTAGTACTAATCCATCTTCCTGCACAGAGAGGATAAATGGCTTCCACTATCAGGTGCTCGTGACCCAAGCCTGGAGTTCCTATGAGGCAATAGGAGTTTCAGGATGAATCTGTTCTCTATTGACTTGCTTCCAAAAGGAATGAGGAACACAACTAATGGTTCTGGGATGTATTCCTGCCTAATAAGCAAGTGAACTTGTTTGTTCATCTTTGCTTCATCTCGCAGCTGCTGTGGACACAGCCTATGTGGGCAGTGAAGAAATGGGAATGTTCTGTCTCAGTAAATAGGAGGAGATAGGCAACAACGTCATTCATTCTTTTGTACACACATGTCAAATGGGCTAGTATTTACCATTCACCACTTATGGGTCTGTATTACACTTGCAATCTGGATACTCTCAGGCAGGATCACTGTGGAAAATAACACTCAGACCAAATTCACATGAGCAACTGGATTAGGCTGCATGCCCTCTGTTTTACATCTCTAACAAAAACTCACAAATGGCTAGTTTAGAAATTGTTTGCTAGGTAGTAAAATAAGTTGTGAGTCATACGTAATATCAGTCTCACCCATATGAGTTGTGAATCTTTACAAAATCCTGCAGTTCCCAGAACTGAATTGATATTGAGTAGAATTTAAGCTGACTTCCATCCTGGAGGAATCACAACAATATAGTGTGTCAAAACTAATACAGTGCAGCAAAAACACAATACAAAATAATTGCATTTGGTACAAGTTTTCAATGTAGGTACACTGCAATGAATTTTCATGACACTTCATAGCTAGAAGTTATGTCCTGTTCTGTCCAAACTGAGCATATGAGCTGCTGTTTACCAGGCTTGTGCTGAGTGTGATGCCAAAAGGGACTCTGACCTCCGTGGCAGATCCTGAGTACATTTCTGTCACTTAATGTTGACCAGTCAATGCACTGACATTTCAGTCCTGCTGTTCTGCAGAATAGATTTCCCTTTAGTCCTTTAAAGCTTTATAGCAGAACACTCAGGAAAGACAACCCCCTTTTTATTTGCTCCATTATTTAGGAAAATGTATCACATACAATAGACTAACAGTAATACATAGAATTTAAAACAGTCTGTAGATAGAAAATTTATGCCATTCCATTCTTTCTGATCTGATGATGGATGGGTTTTGTTTAAAACTCCAGGTGACGGCCCTTTATGTTTTTATTTATTCCAGCTCCACAAGAGCACTACCTTCAAAGGAAAGAGAAAAAATGCAACCTCAGTGCATGCCACAGACATTTGCCATAGCAAGCAGGACAACACACATCAAAGGATTTACAGTGAAATCATCTTGCAATCAGCATAGGATTGATCTCTATAGACCACTCTTGACAGCAAGCATGTACTTCATGAGCAGTTACACACCAGTTTTTAAAACCAAGGAAAAAATTGTATACTGGGACTGTTTTTCAGCCTGTTTGCTACAATTTTTGCATTCTGTCCCACATTGGTTTTACAAACCTTAGAATAATAAATGTAAATGAGCACCCTGGATACTTTGACAAAAGTAAAAGCCTAGGTATAGAGCACCATCTGTGTTCAAGCCACCAAATACTACAACTGAAACCCTGTTTACAAATCTGTTCTTTATTTTAAATCTTTCTGAGGGGAGTTATGTTATTTACCATATATATAATATATATATAAAGTATACATAGAGATTGTTTATTTGTAAATAGAAAAAAATCTAACAGAGAAGAATGTCAAGTTTTCACACTTACGTAAAAAATCATCAACATAAAGCCATGTTTAATGCTTGTCTAATGTGACGCAATAAACTTTAAAATAAATGACGCATATGAAATATCTGCTGTTTGAAATCCACGCATTATTTTCTATTTGTCTTATTTGTTCAGAAAGCAAACAGACCAGCTGAGTGGAAGTAAGTGTAAACGCAGACCAAAAGGGGCCAGGATCCACTACCACCTTCTGTCTGTGAATCTACGTCATCAAATATTGCTCCTGTTGCCTTCTCAGTTCATTTTTTAATGTTTCCACTTGTTTCTCCTCTCAGTCCTCCCAGATGCTGCATGTAACTTGGGCAGCATGGAGTGCTCCCATTCCCATGGAATTAACTGGCACTGGCTATCCTTCATTTCTTTGTTGGGTGAGCTTTCAACTGAAGAATCATGGTGCAGGACTCTGATGAGACACTGAGAATTATCTTGTTTTTACACAGGCAAAGCCCTGGCTCCATGTCCAGCTAGACAAGGACAGTATATAGTCTCAGAGAAAACATTATTCAAAATTAATTGTTTTAATTAATGATGCCAATTAAAACAACAGGCATATAGAAAAAGAAAAAAAGTAAAGCAGAAGAGTCACTTTTTAGTTCTGTTCTGCAGCAATCATGGAAGGTTAGATAATGAGAAAAAGGACAGTTGCCAGGGTCATCTGCAGAAAGAATGCTACCTCTAAACCTCCTACAACAAGGTATTTTCCCCAGTAAAAACTCATCTCAATGTGACTATGGGCCAACAGATACCATCTGGCCCAAGCTTTCACTTCATACCAAAATTAGAGTAAAATGACTGATCAGCACTCAAAGAGTGACTTCAAGTGAAGGCTTACGTGTTTTCCCATGTGAATTCAAAGTACTGAGAATAAACACCATGACCCTACGTTATTTCTTAACTGTGACTGCTGGAGAGATTAGTCTTCACTCCATGAACAAAACAGATAGAAGTCTCAGGTCATCCAAGGCAGCATCAATTCAAAACAAGGATCTCAACCCAGCATGGTGCAACAAAGGGCTGTGCTGATCAGTCACCCTTCTAAGGATCATGGTCAGATAGGAGATCAGCATGTGGCCTGGGAGTGCTGCAGTCCTACCAGAAGGCACATAGGCCTTGCTGCAGGCTTTGCTCTGCCCTTGGCTTACTACATACCACTGAGCAGAGGCACACAGAATGCCATCAGTCTTCTTAACGTTTTGGCTCTCTGCAGCTGAGTGGAGATACCAGTACTTATGGTTGTTCATATCCATGGGCCAAAAGTACCTCAGCACATGAGTGGGAGACAAGGGGAGTCTGCTCTGGATCTTGCCAGCCTACAACTCAGGGGGAAGTCTGCCTTCGTCATTGGTTGGCCAATGGAGATGTGCTCCTAGTGGCAACCCATGTAGGATATATCTGGTCTATACTCTGCTAGGAGAGGTCTGCTCCCATTTTTGCCTCCTAAAGTTTACCGATCCATCTTATGCAGTAAATCATCAAATGCCTGCTGTCAGGGGGCACACAACAGCTTGGGTTAAGTGCTTGAGAGACCAAATCAGCATAGGTAAACTAGTACAATCAAATCCCATATAACAGCAGCTCAGCACCCAGCACAGCTCAGTGTAACTTCTTGAAAGAGTCTAAGACACACAGTCAGTGTTTGATTTGTGTCTCAAGCGTGACTGCTTTATAAGTTTCATGCTTGGCTTTCCTGCAATGATTTTTATTTACCAACTTGATGCTGTGGCAGAGTTTTAAACCCCCATCAATTGATGTCACAAAAAATATATAATACAAAACCGACACAGTGGGTCAAACAGCCTGTTCTCCAAGCAATTAGGATAAGGGAGCTATGGGGTTTTTATCCTTTCAAGCCAGAAGTAATGTAAGGACAGATATGCTGTTCATCTCCTCTCAGCAGCGCAGCCAGAGGATGAGCCATCCCATGCCCTGCAGCCATGAAGACTTCATCCAGCCTTTGCAATCCCTTCCCCTCCCAAGGACAGAACAACCCTCTAAGCAAAACACAAAACATGCTCTAGCCTGATCTGGCCCAACCTTGCAAGTGAAACCTTGGAGTGACAACAGGGACTGCAAGAACACAAATGGTTACAGTAAGTTTCAGCTCACAGCTCCACAGATAACAGCCAACTGCAGGTGCAGCTTTCTCTCTATTCCAGTACAGCAAAGAAGGTCTTCTTCCTACATTAATACCTTTGTTAATATATGCATCCAGCTCAGTGCAAGAGCAGTCATGGGCCAGCATGTGTTCTGCTACATGGCACAGAAAGAAGAGCCCAGATTGTTCACTTCATCACAAGGGCCAGTTCTGTTGGAGCAAAATGGGGCTGAAGAGTGAGGTAGGGAGCAAAGGGAAGGGTATTACTGATGCTTGTTTTTACTTGTCTCCAAAGACAGTTTTGTAACGTCCAATAGTGAGCACATGAGAGGAGTGCTCACCAAAGAATGAGTTAATGAAAGCAAACGTATGACAGAACCAGCAAAATAAATATGCTCTCAAGATCAGTTCTACAAAGCAATCAGAGGGCTCTAAGTACATCTCCTCCCCTAAAAAGAAGATCCAGTGTTTCCTGCAATCTGGTAAGATCCCACAGTACTGATCTCTTCACTCTTTCAATGCCTTAAAAGGAAAAAGAAAAAAGAAAAAAGAAAAAAAGAAAAAAAAAAGAAAAAAAAAGCCCACAGAGAACAGTCAATATCCAGGGGACAGCACTCTTACCAAATAAAACATTTACTCCAAGGGTGAACTGGAAGTAAAAGCAGGTATTTTCCAGGAGGCCCAAGAATATTAGGCAAATATTCCACACTGATACATTGCCTTAAGCCCTGTCACCAAGATCCAGAGTGTGAGAGAGACAACAAAAGCAGGAAAGACCTGATTCCTTTCTTGACTAATGTCAAAGTTGTGCACGGGTGACAGCACCATGAAGCTCAGCAGACTCCTGCCGGTGACCCTAGCAGGGCTGGTAACTAACCCAGCACAGAGTGTCAGCAGTGCTTTACATGATCAAAACTGTCCTCAAGGGCTGACATGGCTCCACGTCATATATGAAGGCCATTAGCTTTGTTCTTATCACTTGCTTCATCCATTTCGATGTGGCTGAAAGCAGGGTTGTCAGTTCCTTCGGCTACCATTGTAGATGTTTTCCAGTTCAACACAACCACTTTCTCTGCCTAAAAAAAAAGAAGAGATAGAAGCCATGTTGTGAAGTGGAAGAAACAGTCTTCCTCTCTTTGGCCTGCAGGCAAGCAGAGCCAGGCCTGACTTACAGAAAGCCTTACAGGAAAATATGCCTGCTGCTGACAGAATATCGTTACTCATTGAAGTAGCTGGTATTTTTCTAGGGGCATGGAAAGTTTCTGATTGCGTAAGGTGCAAGTTGTGCAAAATGTTCTCGTCACATAAAATGTTCTTGTCCTGCAAAGTGTTCAGAGCATTTCTGGTTGTGCAAAGTTTTAATTGCTGTTTTCACATCTAGAGATCTGTCACCACCAGCCCACCGATCTACTGACTCCCAACCTTCAGTCCTTGCCCCATCTTTGAGAGGAAAAGCAAATTAACATGCACCATTACATCGATGCTTCATCTTCACTAAATGTAATGAGATGTTAAGCTCTTCATGTGCAGGAAGTTGCTCAGCTGCCCCCCAATTATTCTGAGCAATTAACTTTCTGCACGAGCTGTGATGCCAACTACTTCCTACCCAGCAGTATAACCAGGCTGACACTCGTTTCTGACTCCAGGCAGAAATCAGTATGGCTGTGGATGTTAGCTTCCATCTGTTTGGTGAGATTTTCTTTTCAAAAGGCTTTAGAGATTAAATTCCCAGATGGTGAAAGTAGATCTTGGTGCATTAAGAACTGAATGACAACACCTGGATAGCCAGTATCCAGCTTTCACATAGGTGAAGAGCATGCATTTCTGTAAAAAACCCTCTCCTCCTCTGTTGTTCATAAGCGGGAGCTAAAATACAGGAGGTCATGCTAAGAGGAGTTATTGTCATCGGGGAGAAATATTTTGCACGTTGGACCATCTCAAAGACATGATGAATACGACTGCAATGATGGCCCCAACCCAGAGGTTGGCTCTGTTTATTTTAAAAAACAAATTTCTCCAACATTCTCCTTTCTAAGGGACATTATTTCCATTCTACCCAATAATTTCTCTTGTATCTTAGGGAGGATGATAGGAAATAGACACACTGTCTAGAAATGAAATGCCTTCTCTCAAAAAGTAGCTGATGTTGCAAAAAATATAAAATATTTCTAAAAATCCCAGAATTTAGAAATCATGTTTACAAAGAAAGCTTTGCTGAACCCAACACGTGCCTTGGTTTAGCTTCCAAGGGTATAGTGAGGGAGTATTTTGTCAGAAACCTGGGAACAACTGTCCCTTGTCTCAGCTGCTGCTCTGTTGTTATGAAGTCAGGCTGTGGCCAAACGCAGCTTCACTGCCTATGCCAGCTGCTTTTGCCTCAGCCGTCTTGTGCTCTGCTGCTGCCTTAAAGCATCAAATGCAATTCATCCTGGTGGGAAAAGATTGCCTTTGTTCCCAAGAGGAGAGATTGCTTTATATCAGAGGATGCATAACTATACTTACTGTCTCAGATTTAGACCAGGAGAAGTTGGAGAGGAAATCTTCTTTGGTCAGCAGGAATTTACTGTCTGTGTTCTGTTTCAATCCTCCTGCAAAATAGGCATGCTTCAATCAGCCAGGTTTCCACATGTACATGGTATGTCACAGCCCAGCTGCAGGCACCAAGCCAGGACAGTCATGCAGCAAAAGCCATCAAGCAGTCACAGGCTAGATGTTACATTCCTTAGGAATCATTCCTTTACAACCATGTGTCCCCCTGCATCTCTCGGAATATAAAATTATCCTTGGGATCTACCTGAAATTTCTCAGCCCTTTTTCATAGTTTTCTAAATTCTCCCCACGTTTCTGTTTGAAAAATGTGTAAAATGCTGAGACAACCATCTGAAGGGGATGGGGTGTTAATGGGATGTTTGAGCACTTTTAGGGTATGTAAAATTAACTACTTACTCTTGTGTAGGAATGCGTGTGGGAAAGAAAGGAGATGAAGGTGCTGGGAATTAGCTTTGTCTCCCAAGGCTCAGATGGGTGATGTTGAGATGGTTCTCTGAAGTTTCTATTTCTTGGACTGAAGATTTCTCATCTGGACTTATTGAGCTCCTCAGATTTTGCACTGTTTTATGGCCCTATGGAAAGGCTTTCACTGGAGTGGCTACAGATGACCAGATCCCAAGATATTAAAAAGTGAAGTTTGACTATAAGCATCACTGTCAGAGCTCAGCCTTGCCTTCTATAGAGAGCAGCATGTCACCAAGGGAAGACGGGATTTAGAAGAAGAGGAAGGAAGAAAGGGGAGCAAATCCTCCAGAAGTTTAAGAAAAGAAAACAGTAGACGTATCTTGTGCTCATAAGTTGCAGGACACAAAGAAAGTGGTGGACCAGTCAATCTGCTAGGTTGGGAGTTTGGTGGTCCTGATAAAAAACAAAGAGAACTGAGCTCTGAAGTAGTTGTAGGTCAGGATAATAGGTTTGAAATCTAACAGTGTCAAAGTCTGATGAGTGCTGTAGCAAGATTCTGGCCAGGTATACTGCTGAAAGCCATGAGAGCAGCTGCTTTGGTGCATTTCTGCCATGCACAGTGCAGCTGACAAGTGCAGTATGCATCTCATCTAGATGGAAGAGCAGAGAGATCACAGGCTGGAACTGATGTCCCTGCTCTCACTTGTTGCTTTTGCACCTTTCAGAAGTAGCACTGAGCAACTGAGAAAGAAAGCCATGCATGGGACCAGCAGCTTTTCGGTACATGCCGGGGAAATGTGGTGAAATGCATGCACTGCATAGGTGCAGACAAAAGCCTTTGAGTGCTCTGAACTCACTCAAAGTAAAACTGCTTTTGTCCTCTAGAAGAAGAACGGGTGCATCTCCTTGCCTTGAGTTCTTTCCATGTTCGGCAACAATCCTTCAACCTCAGCATCTGCTGAGATCTCACAAAACAGGAAAGGTAGATGGGATTTTTGCCCCTTAGGTTAGAAAACTGCTGAAACTTCATTCTCCTTAGAGATTTGAAGTGATCTTTGCTGTAATTAGAGGTCAAGCGCAGGATGTAGAAGGGCTGAGTGGGGAAATGAGAGTTAGGATAGGAACCTTCATACAACAGAACAGAATATCCCGCATTGGAAAGGATCTGTAAGAACCATCAAGTCTAACTTCCATCTCCACACAGGACCACCCAAAATTCAAACCTTGCATCTGAGAGCATTGTCCAAACGCTTCTTGAACTCTGACAGCTTGGGGTTGTGACCACCACCCTAGGAAAACCGTTCCAGGTCCCGACCACCCTCTGCTGAAGAACATTTTCCTAATCCTTAGCCTTTGTGATAGGGTCCCTGGCTCTTACTTTGGAAATGACAATTCTCTTTTTGATCATCATGGTTTGAAAAAATCTAAGATTTATGTTCAGCCTCAGCTGTGTAACCAGTACCTGTTAGGAGGCTGATAATCATTCCCACAACTATCGTGGTAAGTGTCCCAAGGGTGCTGAAGTAGAGATAGGACAAGGAATACCAGTGCTCTGCCAGGACAGGCCTGAAAAAGAGCAGGAAAAGAGTTAACCTCTGCTGTCCTCTTCCAGGGAACCTGAAAATGTTGTCTATATCCATACAGAATATAAATACAGAGCTACTTTCTGAACCAAGTGAGCTGGTATTCTTGAATTATTTTGATATGATAAAATGTGCATTGCAAATCTGTCATAAAAATATCAGAAAATATGCCTTCGTAGAGGAGGAGACTGGTAAGTGCATGGAAATAAGCAGGTAAAACAGGACAGTCTTGTTGCAGTTAGGAATCTACTGCAAGCTGAGCATTCCAGCTATCCAGATAAAGGGAAAACATATTTAGAAGGGACTGAGTTATTTAAAGAAAAAATATATTATACGACATCAGCCACATGCAGCTAAAAACAGCCAGAAATAACAGGGCAGTTCTCACACCTTGGGTTACAGTTTGCTTTGATCTCCTTCAGAATGTGCTCTGTTGCTTTCCTACAGCCATGCTGAAGGTCTTGCGTGAGACATGTAGTGGATACTGGGCATCCATGTGTGGATTGGAGTGTCTGTCACTGACTGTATGGTACTTTTAAATATAACAACAGTTGGGAATACCTAGAAATGTGTTCAGCTCCTGTTCCAGCTGTTTTCTGTATTATTATTTATAACTGCTAGGTTTAATGGTAGGTGCCCAAAGACACGTATGGCGATTGCAGAGGGGAGAAAACCCCTTATATTTTTTCCATTACACCAATGCTCTCTTTTGAGGCAACACAAATGCTAGGCAGATGTTCATGTTGCTTCAAACCAAACACATGCTGTAGTGACTGCACATGAGGAACTTCCATACCTTTCTGCAGCCTGTGTGCTGAAGATTGTTGTTAATGGGTTTTCTGTCGGTGTAGTCAAATTGCTTGAGATGGATATATTACAGCCTGCAGTTGAGAGGGGGAGAGGCATAGTCCTCTCTGGGAGGGGAGGATAAATCTGAGAACCAATTCCAACCCAAAGTGAAATAACAAAGCCAGTGATAAGACCCACAAATGCGCCCTGCAAAAGAAAAAAGGATACTCAGGCTTGCAAGGATAGCAAAAGGATTTTGAAAACAACAACAAAAATTAGATGAGTAGGAAACACTTAAGTTAACAAACTGCAGGGATGATAGGAAAAATAAAATGTACAGCTGGGGAGAACTGGGAGTTTACTTCATTTCCCTTTTGGAGAACTCATTGTTCGCTTATGGCTCCTGAACTTATCTCTTTTTATTTTGCCACTATGAATTTATAGTGAAAGAATAGCTTTGGGCTTCTTGGTTTATAGCAAAAAAGCTATTTTATCTGAGACCATCCTTGAATTAATACAATTTCTTTCTTTTTTTTTTTTTTGGAAAAAGTCTCTTCTACTTCAGGATGGGTTTGCTTGCTGACAGTGATTTTTTTTCAGCACATATTTTAGATTTTCAACTGTTAAACTGTAGAGGATAGTGATTAGCAAATCTTACTAAATAACAATCTTCCTCCATCCATCTTCCTCCATCCATTCTCCTCCATCAATACATTTTTGATGGAGTAATTTTTTCATTTCCAAGGGCTGATTTTGTAATAACCAAACCACTCTAATAGAGCACCCCAATACAGTCTGCCTTTTAAACACATCTGTTTATCACCTTGGACTTCTGGATGTGTTTTCAAGACTGCCTGCCCTTAAGGCCATCTGCTGCATTGGTTTATCCATCCTACCCAAAAGGCCATTCTCCCAACTGCCCTCATGGGGAAAGAAAAGGGTAAAGATCAACATGGAAAGTATCAAAGAAATATCCTTGCTGCCGAATGCAAATTTATTGAGAATGGAAGGAGATGGATGCACCCAAAATTATTGATGGATTTTGGTCCAACAGGGCTTTAAATTTCTACTTACAATTCCATTTGCAAAGGAGCAGAGAATTCCCAAGGCAAACAGTCCTAAAAGGGGGCCACCAACCATGCCAAAAATGCTGAGCGCTGCCTGTGGAAGGAGAAGAGTCTATCAAGCACTGCGTTAGAAAAGTGAAATACACAAACAGGGCAAGAAGATGAGAAGGAAATTAAGAGATTTTAATTAGTGTTTTCTCAGCTGGTGTTAATTCATATAGTGACATGGGTGCTTAGAGCAGAGGTTGAGGCTGTTTGAGGTCAGTACCTAACAAAGAATAAAAGCTAATCTCATAATAGTTGCCAGCAATTATTTCCTTACACAATTTGTTCTAGATTATTTGAAACACATGAAAATGCAGCCTGACACTCACCTGGAGCAAGGCACCCAGGAGAGATGCCAGTGCAGCCATAGCAATGCAGACTCCACCATAAAATAGGCCTGTGTGGGAAAGGAAGATTGTGAGTGCATCAGCTGAAATGTCCACTGATGGAAATGGTCCCGTCTCACCCAGGAAGCCCTGACATCACAACAAAACCACTGCCATCCGTTTGGATTTGATTTTGTTGTTCATTTGGGTTTTCTTTCCTAAGAGAGCCCAACTAGGCCACAGGGCCTGGTTACTGTTTACATTAAGAGGAGACCATGTGAAAGTGACAAAATCCTCTTCCTGTGTATGATTAGTTAAGTACCTGATCCTAGATTGCACATGTATAGGTTAAACACAGTAGCAATACTAAGTATACTGTTCATATTTCTCAGGTAATCTCCTTTGTTGTAGTCACTATTTTGAATAAGTAATCTTGCATCTCAGTCTAAAGCCTTTGGAGCTTTAAAGTAAATGATGTCAGATCCTGGGAGCTGGCAGAGTGACAGAGGACATCCTGGACTACCAGGATGTAGTGTCTCTTGCCAGAACCCACAACACTGGCTCATTTGTGCTCTCCACCTTCACTTCTATTAAGTTTCACTGTCTGAGTGACAAGCAATAGGTTAATCCCACCATGTGGGGATGTGATAGCTGAGGCAACTCAGGACAATAACACAGCATCAACAATTTCAGTATAAACACTGCTTGAAATAACATTCAATAAGCTGCTGTCAGGTGAAAACATTTCATATTTGTCACCTGCCACTAGTCCACTGTGCTCAGTGTTATGGGCTACACTGTGCTGGGTCTGCGGTTTTTCATGCCTATTAAGCACGCTGCCTTGGGCTGCACCTGCAGCTGGTATCAAGTCGTATAACCAGCAGAGATGGAAAGTGAACGTCAGAGATGTAAACCATCTGCTCAGCCCAGTTCTGACTCTTTTCTTCGAGGAGGGTAATTGAATATAGGAGCTCAACAGGCCGTGGGTCCACAGGTCAGGGAAGATGTGAAGTTGGTCACTTTCTGGAGTGCTGTAGTTCACATACTGCTCTGTTCACAAGGTTTATTACAAAATCGTTTCTTATGCTTCTAATTTTTGACAGAGAAATTAAAATATCACCTATTTTAATTTAAGACATTTGGCTCTGTACAATTACAGGCAGTACTGAATATAAAGGCAGTCTATCTTTACTTCTTAAAGATCAGATACTTTCTCTTAAGCTCACCAGAAATAGCTTGTCTCTCATCCCGCACAGAATTTGCACAGCTGATCTTGGCTCCCCCAAATATCAGTCTGAACACACTTACCCCTGACTTAAAATCTAAATCAAGCCCTCACTTCATAAAGCAAAAGTAGAAGAGAAATTTCCATACTCATCCCCATGGAAATCCATGACAGCTTCTTTTCAGAAAGGGATCTGAAATATGGTCTGATGAGATCTTCAACAGTTACAGCAGCCAAAGCATTGATGCTGGAGGACACTGTACTGCAAAACACAAGATATATACTTTTTTTTTTTAATCTTAGACACTGAAATCATAGATAACAGGCGAATTAATGGCAGAGAGAAGCTGTTACTGTCTAGAATGGTGTCAGAAAAGAAATGCAGCTGCTGTGTTGGTTGAAATGACATTGCTGTTGGTGATACAGTTAATAGTTTAGAAAAATCATTTCTAATAACTGCTCTTAGTGAAGACAAGGCAATTCTTAATGAAAAGGTGGGGTTGGAGAAGTCAGTGAAATGAAGTATACATTACATGTGGCTGTGCCGTAAGCATTACTATAGCCATGTTGTGCAACCACCTGCTTATAATATTTAAAAATTCCTCTAGCAGAGAGGCTGTAAAGCACAGAGAGGCAGGGTTTGTTAGTGCCATAGATCACTAGCTGTTTCTTCCCATTGTCAGTAGGGAACTCTTAAGACATCAGAGCACAGGAGCTGAAAACTAAAGATTTGTAATTGCAACATCAGTTCCTAGCACTTATCCTAAAGATTAAGGAAATGAAATGCAGTTAAATCACATTTCAGTATAAATGCAACTTTTGGTTTAACAAAATGAAAAAAAATGACACTAAATTCCACATTATTAACTTACCTTAATGTCCCACTGTAGGCACTAGCCACAAAAAGCCCTGGCACTCCTGGAAAATCCCTGAGAATATCCAGCACGAGGTAGGGCATCAACTAAAGAAAAATGGAGAGTGTAAAACTTATTATATTGCCATCATTTTCATTTTCTTTCTTTGTTGCTTTTTTTGTTGTTGTTGTTAGAACCTTCTTAGTGGCATGCTGCTCAGCTCTTCCAATTTGGAATGTTCCACAATGCAGTATTTCTTGGTTTTCTATAGAAAATAAAATGATGTTTAAAACATCCACATGAAATACTGGCAAGTCTGTTTAGACAGCCCAGCAGAGGTGAACACAGAGCTGCTGTCAGGCTTTCTTCCCAGGAGATGACTGTAGAGGCAGCTAGCACTGAGCAGCAGGTAGTTTGCACTGTACATCACTCTGTCAGGCTTGAGTACCACAGTAGATGCTCAGGTCTCTGCTGACACCATAAAAAGCTTTACAGATTCGACCCAATAGCCTTAGGGTACCTGAGAACTATTTCCATATTGGAAGCTGTGTGCTGTTTGTTTACCTTTGCAAGATCTGAGAGCTGGGAAAAGATACAGACTGTAAGATTTTCTGCCTGTGAACCATTTTTTTCACCAACAAGTTGGTCTTTTTAGTATCTTACTTTCAGGTTCCACCAAAATTATTTGACTCACAGGAGGCACCTAACAGCCTTCAGGTATCCACCTTGGCTTTTCATATCTCATCTTATTCTACTGTTTAAGACCAAGCAGTCCTGCTTCCAGTACTCCATTATCTCTGCTCTTCTGGACTCCTAGCTATTGTCCATGGGGATTTGTCCATAGCACACAATTATCTGAGGCACAAACAAACTGCAGCTCTGTGAGACCCAAGGGGATGTTGGCACTGATCGATCCTGAAAGCAAATCTCCTGCTTTCTCCAGAGTTTTCCCTCCTGCTACAGTCTGAGCTTAATCCCTGAGTTACAAACTCACTCTGTATGGATTTGAACATGTCCTTACACCCATCCCCTAGTTCTTGAACCCCCCTCTACACAGTTGCACGTGCTCAGTAGCTGCTTTTTCATCACCATCTCCAGTTGCACATGCTTAATGCCCGCTCCTTCATCACCATCCTCAAGGTGAAAGCTTCCCCTTTCTCCCCATTGAGATGTGGGGCTGTACCTGGTCAAGTGCTGACACCTGCTTTGCCGTCCATGGGTCACAGTCCTTGTAAATGGAGTACAGAGACAGCCCGCAGAGTGTTGCGCAGACCAAGATTGCCCAGAGGCCCACCAGGTTGATGTAGAGGGACCTGCACCAGCATGCACAGAAATGCCATGTTAGAGCTAGATGTCCCACCATACTGCAATTAATGCAGTGGACCGTCAGCCCCTCTCAAACAGAGCAAACAAGCACCATCCCAGCACTGAGGAGACACCCTGTTCAGTGGCTGCCAAGATGAAAGGGAATCATGGTGTAGCTCTAAGCAATTTTGACATGGGCTCACATTTCTAAAAACACAAATTACACTTTGTTCTTCATAGCATGGTCTGAGTGCATGCCCTCTGATAAGGCCTACTCCAGAGATGATGGGAGAACTATGGCAATCTACACATTTCATCACGTGCACAAGATTTACATTACAGCCAGCTATCAAGAAAACATTCTTATCCCCTCACCACACCCCTTGGCAGAGACAAACCCTAGACATATTTGCAAGGCAAGGTGTCACAGATCAAAGTGTGGTGTACCTTTAATCAGCAACAGCACTCCTTTGCCTCTGGAGCTGCACTACCACACTTACACAACGCTGGAATTATGCTCATAAATCAATAAATTCACCATCTCTTCCTGGCAAGGTTTCCATGGAAGGCAGCAATGAGGCGGGTGCTCCCTCCCACTGTGGCCTGCTTTGGAGCCACTTCCAGCTGTCACTTCCATGGATCAGGGGTTCACCACCAACCCCAGAGCTTCCCTTTCTGCTGCCTGGATCCTGGAGCAGTCAAGGAACCCTATCTTGTCCCCACGTTTTGAGGGGATGACTGACACAGAGAAGAAAATGGTGGACATCACATATTAATGCTTCTTTTGCCACACACAACAGGCAGCCTCTACCCATCATGAAAAATAAATCCTTCTCCACACGTTTCCTGCCCCAGGGAGGGCTTTTTCTTTCTATCTAACTATCCGATCTCAGCTCTTGATGACTCCTGAATCACAAAGTTCTTCACACTATGGCTCACCTATGGTGGTCGTTTCAAGTGAACACACCCAGAGGGAGCATGGCCTTGAAAAACAGCATTCTTTTCCAGCAGTTGTTTTCTGGCTGTGTACCATGTACATATGGGGATTTAACTGCTGACAGATCACATACATTGCACCTGTGCCAGCTAAGACCTCTTCTGCGTGGATCCCTGGAGGATCTCTGGTATCTGTGCAAACATTTCCATGCCTGCACTGTATCAGAAGGCCTTTTAGTGCCTTCAAGACCCAAGAAGCCAAAGAGCATCAGCCTTTGGACTGCTCCAGAGGATTATAAGGATGAATGAAGTAAACTTATCTTTATAGGTCTTGTTAGGCACTGAAATGCGTGTTTTTATATCGTTTTTTTTTAATAGGTTAACTAGATGAGATTGCCATTTTATATCACAGAAAAATGATTGGCAAGCACGGTGTAAACTGTTAAAAAAGACTTAGGTAAATAAAGGCTGGTTGGATAACACAGGACAGAAAACTCTGCATTTATGTTTCATATTTGAAATTAGCATTAATATAAATACAGCAACTCTTTAAATTTATTTCTAGGCTAATCTAGTGAAAATGAAGTAATCCCCATCTTATAGATGCTTACACAGTAGTTAAGCGTTTTGCATAAATTTAGCTGAAGTTGTTCCTACATTGGCATAATCTACCTTGAAATAAGGCACTCAGAAGCTGACGTAGCACAAAAAGTAACCAATGACTTAAATCAATCCAAATCTTTTCAAATAGATGCAATAGCAGTATTAGCGCAAAGCCTGTAGCTGAGATTAGAAAGTTGAGAGAAAGACACAGAGGCAAAAGAAATTGTTTGCATTCAGTAATTCCCAGTTTTAAACTGTGTCAGTGTTTGAATGCAGTGAAAACTTCTTTTTCTATCTTATTTACATCCCTAGCTCATGGTACACCCTGTGACTTAAGCATTGGGGTGTAATAATTGCAGCACTATTGGAGTACATGTTCCCATTAATTCTGGATGAGTAACATAAGGTGGAGTTTGGGTGAAGTAGGCACTGTGACTATGCAAGGCTTATTTTTAGTTGGTTGTTTCAGCCTGGCTCTAGGAAACATGCCAGCCAATGACCTTGAAAAGAAAGTAGAGGAGAATGTGCTAGGAGCCCATATTTTTCTGAAGGTGCAGATCTTCTTGAGGGCCTAGTATTGTTCATCTTCAAGCACTATGTTTGATTTCCCTAGTTACTGCTTGAGGATGACAGCACGTGTTCATACCTACTAGTGTGTTTCTTGAGTGGGGTGAACTCCTTTCCCATAGCCTGAGAAAATTCCTACTCTTGTGCCATTCTTTAAGGCCTTCCTATGACCCACAAGTTGGGAACTGTGAAGGAATTATTTTCTCAGTTCTGTTTTGTTATTAAATAAAGCCTTATATAAAATGCCATGGAGGAGAAAAGCCTTATTATTGTGACCCAATGACAATTGACACTTCTCTATACTAGTTAAATGGTGGCAAGAGATGTAACTGCCAATATGACTTGCCAAATGTGTTTAATTACATATGTGAATGAACTAGATAGTCATCACAGAATGATAATGTTTACAATTGTAACAAACTGTAGCCATTGCACAAAAAGTTTTCTCCATGCAAGGGAAATGCCAGGAGGCACAAGCAAGGTGTCATGGAATTCAACTGCCCATCCCAGCAGGATACAGATCCATCAATTAAGGTTCTGCCGTCATTACTATGGTATGAATCATAGAATCATTTAGGTTGGAAAAGACTTTCGAGGTCATCAGGTCCAACCAAATACACCTGAATGTTTATTCATAACTCTTGAATTCCATCCAAAAACCTCCAGAACCAGCTACCTCTAATCCAAATCAAAGACACTTGCAAGAGCCCAGAAAATCTACCCAGCAGCTGCCACGGTACTACATTTTCCTTGGTCACATCATGCTTCTGGGACACCATGGAGGTGTCTCCCATCACAGGGGGTACAGATGGGGCAATAGAATAGCCCTAAGTGGAGCAGGTGCTTGGGGATGAACTCAGGCACAATGTATGCAGCTGTTCTCACACTGGCAATCATGCCAGCTGGCACTGCAGGTGTGGGATGGGTGTGGGAAGCCTCTTGCTTCTGCAGCACCAAGAAGCTGGGACCCAGCTACGCACCAGAGACTGCAGGGAAGCCAGATAGTGTGTTGGAATGTGGCACTGTATGCTGGAGATGTGGCTAATGATGGGCATCAGCTCATTCCTGTTTGCAGCATAAATGGCTGAAAGGTGCACTTCCATTATTGCCAAAACTGAAATACTTCAGATCCAAACTTTAATATGATTTTTGTGAGTGTCTTGCTGACTTTATGAAGTGAAAATCCTCGTAAACTCCTCCTCTACTGCATATCACTGTGTTATGAAATTTAGTGACTGTAGTTAATGATATGCGTTTATATATCTTTCCTATAAATAGACTTTATTTGCTTGGTAATAGTTCTTAAATATTGAGTTGTGAACTATGGGAATGACACTAAAGATAACAATAAGATAACAGAGTTAGTAAATATACTCTGTTCTAGAGTAAAGGCTGATCAGAAATATTTAAACTCAAGGAAAACAGAACTTGCTGCCAGTCTCCATTATGAATTCCTATAGAAAAAGTCTTGATGATCATGAAACCAAAATATATGATTCTTCAGCAATTTTATCACTGAATAAAACATTTTTGTCTTTTCTCACGTTTACACTCACAGGTACTGAAAATATTTTTAGTCTTTACTTAGATAAAATACCCCCACTCTGGTTTAGGTTTAGCAATTCAGAATATTGTCTTGATAAAGCTACAGCACAATTAAGTGCTGTATTGCTTGGTCTTTAGGTTGCATATAAACTTAATGTAGTTATTTGTATGCAAGAATACTGGCAGAGTGAAACAGTCCATCAGAAAGTTGAATGTCACAGTCATCTATATGTAATTAAAATATCAGCATTTACTATGCCAATTTGTCTCCTATTTGGTCCACAAAGCAGACAGCAGAAGTTGTTACCTTTTACAAATAGGTTTTATACAGACAACAACAACAACAAAATTAATCTGCATTATAAAGTACAGTCACTGCTAAATTCAGACATCAAGAGTTACTGAAGGCAGACTTACATTTTTGCATGGAACCTGGTTTTGCATGCAATGTATCTCTGTACTTGGGACTGGTTGACACCATAAATGCCAGTCCATGTGAAGGTCCCACCTATAATAATCGTCCAGAAGGTGTGCCTTTGCAATGGATTGGGATTAAAGCTACAACAAGAGGGAAAAACAAACAAAGAAAACTCTCAGAATATGAAACTCTTTTCATTATCAGATGACCTTAATGGCTAGGAAAAGAATTTCCTCTTACTTATTCTCATATAAATTCAATGAATTTATCCAGATTTTGAATATTCAGATATTCCAACTTTACATGAAATCACAGAAAGCAGATTTGAAATCACTGAAACCACTGACTCACTGAAACACTGATCTGCTCAAAGGTGAATTCAAACTAACTTATTTGCCTATAAATTACAGTCATAAGTAAAGCACTGTGATGCCTGTTGCTGTTGTGATGAAATGAAGTTCCAGTAGAAAGTCTAATATGCCTGCTTATCTGGAGGGACCTCAGTCTAACACCAATACAAAGGTGTGTTTGCATACCCAGCCCTTGTGGACAGAGCCTCTATAAAAAAGGTTGCTGATTTAGCTCTAAGTGAAGAGCAGATTTTAAATGGAATATATTTTTAAATGATATTTTAAATAGAGCAATAGATTACACTTATCTTGCCGAACAAAATTATATTAATTCAGCTATTATATGCCTTTATTCCTTTTCTTTTTCCATCTGAATTCTATGATGAGAGAAGAAGCAATGCTGTGTAACATCTGCATATAAACCAAATAGATTGAAAAATCACTGCTCATGAGAAGAAAATATGTTTCTTCCAATGGATTATTATTTACTGAAGAATTTAATAGAATTACCTGATAAATATTGTGAATCAATAGACAAAAGGGCAACAGGCAATACCTGTCACAGTAAACTTCTATTATTAATAGCAGCAGCTGAAGTTTCTCAGCAGAATCACCTATTCATCAAAAAAACATTTTTATTTTTTTTTTTAACTTAAGGAATCTTTTGATTCAGCATTATCAGAAATGAATATTACTAACCTTGCAAAACTATAATCTTGGTGTATGATTAGTTACAATAATGAAGGGCAAAATGCCATTAAGATTACTTCTAATTTTCATTTGAGGGAAAGAAGAACATTTCCCTTTTTCAGATTAGGTAACAGCTGTAATTTTTTCAGCTACTTTGGTTCAGTAGCTGAAATACCAAATCATTCCTTTGCAAACAGTAATTATAAATACGATTGTCCTCTACTCTTCACCATTCACTTTCAATGGAATCCAAGATGCATCCTTACCACATGACTTTGAGAATGTGAAGGATTTTTCTCTTGGCAGAATGTTGCACAGAGTTAATCCTCCAGAACAGGTAAGCTTGTGTAAATATCTGTAAAATTTTGGTCCCCAACTCCCCACCTTCAGTAGCAATTTAATTTCACACTTATCAGGAAAAAGGCACATCATCTTCAACGAAAAACTCACTCCCAGAAGTTTAATCTTCCTCCATAGTAGGAATCATTTACAATGCGTCCAATTCCCTCCTGGACTATCACAGCTCGTATAATCACAGACGAGAATCCAGCGACCATGATTCCAACCTGGAAAACATCTGTCCACACCACTGCTTTCAGACCACCCTGTGTGAGGAACAGCATGTATCAGGTACAGCGGGGCAGCCGTGCTCTTGGTGTATGTTCACATCCAGCTAGGACAAACCTTACTATATGGATTATGCATAACTGACTAATTCTATCTTATTCCTGAATAGAAATAATTCTGCATTGGGATGTTTAGGAATTGTATCCTGCAACCTGTTCAGGGCCTTCTGTGAGGAGCACTACAATGTACTGTGACCATAGACATGTCCAATCTCATTCATCATTCATCACATCCCCCCAACTCAGAAATTTCATAGAATCATACAATCAAAGAATCACGAAGGTTGAAAAAGACCACTAAGATCATGTATTACAACCATCATCCCATCCCCACCATGCCCACTAACCATGTCCTCAGTGCTACATCCACACTTAATACCTCCAGGGACGGTGACTCCACAGCCTCCCTGGACAGCCTGTTCTAGTGCCTCATCACTCTTTCTGAAAGAAATATTTCCTAATATCCAACCTGAACCTCCACTGGTACAACTTAAAGCCACTACCTTTTGTCCTATCACTAGTTAGCTGTATCAAAAGGTAAACAGGCAGACCATGCTCATCTTACATGTTTACAGTATCACTAACTCCAGAAGGCATGCAATTTGTGCAAATTAAAATAAATATTATTTAATCAAAAATATACAAATAATTCTATGTCCTGCTGAATCCATTTACACATATCCGGGCACTTGGTCAATTAGCACTGACCTAAAGAACAATCTCTTCATGTGACACTTGCTATTTTCAGTGTCCCCGTCACTAAGAGACTGGACTATTATAGTTGTGGTGAGCAGGTGCTTGACAAATTAGTCTGCTAGGCTAGCAGAAATTTCATAGGGCAATTTTCAGGAAGGAAGATCTATCTTTTTGCTGTTCTTTTAGGAACACAAGTCACATTGTGGCTGCCTTTGTGTCCAAGTCACAGAATCATAAAACCCATAGAGTTGGTAGGAACCTTTAAGGGTCATCTAATCCAACACCCCTGCAATGAACAGGGACATCCACAGATAGATCAGGGTACTCAGTGCCCCATGAGCCTGGCCTTCAATGTCTCCAAGGACAGGGCCACCACCTCTCTGGGCTACCTGTTCCATTGCTTCATCGCCCTCATTGTAAAAGACTTTTTCCTTATATCCAAAGTCCCTGGATGAATACAGCTCTGGGCTGCAGCTGTGTTGTGAAACAGGGCAACCCATTTATTAGCTGACTTTTCAATAAATTCCACACTTGATGTAAATGGTGAGAGGAAACGAGATTTCCCTCAGCTGAATGGCCCACATACCAACGTGCAGTAGAAAGTGCAGACGACGCCAGTTGCCACCACGGCACCCCATAAGTCAAAGCCCGTGACTGAAAAAGAGGGAAAGGGCAGCAAGTGTAAGCAAGGCATGGGGGATATAACTCTGGAGGACTGTTTTTCACCTCTGTCTGGCTGCTGGGGAAAAATGAAAATAAGTAAAATGCAGAAGTAGAAAGTAATAAAAAACTGCAATGAAAAGATGTGTGTATCTGAATTATGGAATTCACCTTGACCAGCTCTAAAAATGCATAGTTGTTACAGATATTGGAAACTGCTAAATAATTGGAAACTTCTAAATAATTACATAGATTTGGGAACCTGAGATGCTTTTGGTCTTTAATGACAACCAACAAAACCAATATTCTTGCAGGGCTCAGCTCAGAAAGGTTCTAAAATCAGAGTCCTTCTTCAAAAGAATTTAGATAGGCCCTGGAGCCCTATGCCAGGGATTTATGCAGGAAAGCAGCCATGGGCATGCTTCACAGACACAAGCTTGTTTAAGCAATGGTTTGGAAGACATACGTTGGTCTAAAAGCCTCTTTTATTCTGTGTTCTTTTCGGGAAATGTGACAGCATACCTATGCCAGTCTCTAAAGCTGCCAGTGCCCAAGCTTGGCAGGTTGACACGCTGCCCAGTGTGACACCATGGGGCTCCCCAACAGAAGCCCAGGCAAATGGGAAGCTCTGCAGCACAGTTCATGGAATGCACCACTCCCAGCCAGGCTGTAGCTTGTTAGAGCAAGTTACAGAGTGCTTCAAGAAGCGCATTTAACCAGATGGACTCAGTGTGTTTATGCTGCCCACTGCCTCCAAACTTGACTTATTTTTCCTTGGCTTTTCTGAAATTAGCCTTGATGTGAGGATATCGTGAGAGAGCTAGAATAAGTGAGAGCAGAATTTCTTTGCTTAGCCTTTTCTGTAATTCCTTACAGCCAGAGATAAGGGAGCAGGATTAGATCTGGGAGGTCTATCAAAGTTCCCATCAGGACCAACTGAAGTCCTGAAAGACCTCACAGTCAATATTTGAAATACATACATTGGTGTGCATTACAGAAAGAAAAGCACACCAGTACTATGTGCATAAAAAAAATAGAGAAGAACAGTTCAGGATGGTCATCTTACCTTGATTTAGTGCTAAAGCTGGAGCATAAATGACAATGCCAGTGTATAAAGTCTAGATGGGGAGAAAAAGATATAAGAACAAAAGAAACCAAAATTCCTGGAACAAGTGATAGTTTTCTGAGATGGTTTCTCTTCAAGCACTTTTTCAGTCTAAATTTCCTAAATGCATGACTGTTAAGGAATAATTCCAATTGCTGGAAGACAAATGTCTGAGACTAACCAGTACTACAGTCTCACAGCCTAGTCTGCTTAAAACAAACAACACAATGATTCTTAAACACCCCATCCTTCTTTAGTTTCTCCTCTCTCTTATAATTAACTTGTTTTATTGCTTTATAAGTGCAGTCAAATGAAAGAAGCAAGAGCAAAAGGAAATTGGTGAGGTTTACACATGGTTTGCCAAGGAATCTATTACAATTTACTTTCTCAGTCTTGGGATCAATATACCTCTCAGTATGCATCTATAATGCACATCACAACAAGAAACACAGCATTAGTTAGGCATTATGGATAGGATTATAAGGGTTTACAGTTCTATAAGATGAAACCATGCATGATCATCAGCAGATATGTATTTTCACCCAATACAGAAATAATCAGACAAATCAGTGAGATACTATATCCACTTCTAACAGTACAGTGGGATTCATACGCTGATATTCTCTATATTTGATTCACATATATTTTTAAGTACCTACTAGGGCAAGCTCAGCTGTGGCATGCACCAGGGCAAAGCCTGCAATGTGCAGATGAACTTCTGTGAAGGTCAGGTCTTGATTCAAGGGATCTAAATCTCAGCTAGGTCCTGAGCTGACTTACGTCAGCTTTCCATGTCTGGTGGTGGGACCAGCAGGGAAATAGTTGTTCTTACTTGTTCATGTGCGCGTGCTTGTTTCCTTCTGCACTCTGAGCCCTCTCTAGGTTCTCACACATGGCTTGTACACCCTGAAAGCTGCCAGCCCTGGCCTGTCCATAGCAAATCTCCCCTCAGCACCAGCCATACCACTTCATGGCCAACAACTGCCAACAATCGTCAAGCCCAAAGCATTTGGCACCTGTCCATCCAGTGACCACCTGCCATCTGCATGGGCTGTAGGATCCTCTTCACTCAGGAAGTCAGTGGGAGACAGCAACTTTCTTGTGTGCAGCAAACAAGTGCCAGAAGCTTTGAACTACCAGAAATTTTCTTTTGATACAATTTTGATCACATTTTGGTGTCAATTCAAACAGCAAAGATAAAACAATCTTTCCATCTCTTCAGTGTTTCTTCATGTTGTATTACCAGATATCCTTTTTATTTTTCTTTGAATCAAGTTCCAATTCCAAGTCACAGAAGATCTCGGAGAGTTCCTTTCCTCACTGTTTTCATGATTCAGGACATTTAAGTTGTTAGTGCTCAGCACAGAAATCACCCACAGGTTGTCAGTTAATTTCCTGTATGTATACTTACATTATATAAAATTATTTTTCTGATCTTTGCAAGATTACATTTGTTTTGTTCCAACTTATGCAACTGTGATGCCTTCATGTTTGCCCATGATTCATGCATGCTAGCACTCTGCTTTTCCTACGTGTATCCAAAACATCCAGCTTAGAAGCACTGTTCACTTAAGGAATTAGCACTGCAGTGGTACAGCTGTGGTTGTTCTGTAACTCCCAGTGGGTCTTAACAGTACCAAAAAGGACAAGAGGCAAGCATACACAGAAGCATAACTTGGAAAGCCTTCAAATCCTACATTCATTCTTGCTTTAAACTCCCCAAAACGTCCATTTCAAAACTGCGAACAGAACACATTTACTGCTGGTGTTTCACAGCATCTGGCACACAATCACTGTATCTTGGAAAGCTGCAGTCCCACCCTGACTCACCAAATGGGCTGGATATCCAGAATAATACAGGAACTGCTTTAGTTTGACTTTCCCTAAGGCAGTGAGTGATCCGTAACTTTTGTTTGCAGACTCCCATCAGTGATACAAACCCTTGTACTGCCATTGACAGGCTCCTGACAGCTTGTTTTCCCTGTCACCTTCCACAAACCTTTGGGAATTAGCCAGACTCACAGAATCAGTGGCCCACGGGATGAGATCTGCCACTGCAGATAACTGGGGCATGTTTACATTTTGAACTTTCTTTGGGCTTCTCTGAGGGCAGGCCAATGACTGCTCTGTGCACTGTTTCCCTGTGCCACAAAGGGTCCCACGACATGGCGCTGATGCCAAACGACTGCCCCAGGTGCTCAGCAATGCCCAGTGATGCCAAAGGGGAGGGTGGCCCAGCATTTGCTCTCCACCTGATTGCTTTGGTGCAGAGATTTCTTTTTCTTGCTTCCAGGGGCCCTTCCCCTGTGGTCACCCCATCAGCTGCTCATGGCAAACAGACAGCTGTGTCCAGCTAAGCAGCCCTGGTGGTTATGAGAACCCAGGAATCACTTTGAGGTTTACTTGCCGTTTGTATAATGAAGAGGAATGTTCCACAGAGACGCAGGTATTTATTAAATCGAAGCTCTAAATACTGCAGAAGAGAAGAAAAAAACAAAAGTTTACATCAAAACTTGGCTTTATTGATAGGACTAAAGTGAAGAGATGAGCAATAGAAAAGGGCACAGTGTTTTTTTAGCATTTTGTTAATAGCCAAAACTTGATGGATATCTCTTTCAACTTTATTTGATATTTTTTCACAAACCTCACCACTGTAATGACACATGAGCAGGTGAAGCTGACATTGGCCAACCAGTACATGGCTGAGTCAGTAAAAAGAAGCTGGGGAGACCTGAATAGCAGCCTTTCAATATCTAAAGAGGAGCTATATGAAAGAAGAGGACAAACCCTTTAGCAGGGCCTGTTATATAAGACAAGGGGAAATGGTTTCAAACTAAAGGAGGGGAGTTTAGAACGGTGATAAGGAAGTTGTGTTTACAGTCAGAGGGTGGCAGAGGTTGCCCAGAGAGGTGGCGGATGCCCCATTCCTGGAGAGACTCAAGGTCAGGCTGAGGAGAATCTGAGCACCCTGATCTAGATGTAGTGTCTGTGTTCATTGCAGGGAAGTTGGACTAGATGATCTTTCAACTCAAACGATTCTATGATTCTCTAAGCTGGTGCTACGCTGCTGCATCTGGGCATTCATGGGGCAGGGAGCTGTGCACCTGGCAAAGCTCTGCATCTATTATGAACTCAGCATTGTTCACAGAGGTGTTCCCCAGTACAACAGAACTAGTTTATGTCATGAAATCAGAGAGAAAAACATTACAGCAATGCCTGAGCCTTAGTTTGGAAACTACCCATCTTCTACCAGCAAGTAGAAATGCAGCCTTTCTCAAAAGAGGAACCTCACCTTTCTGCCTATGGTGCAACTTCTGTAAATCTGCTGTAGGGCAGATTTCTTCCCACCGTCTGTCCTGCCAACCCTCTGAGGCACATGGTTGCACAAAAGGGATCCCCTTCACCTGTCAATCCACCCATCTGACACAGGCAAACACTGAGAAATCCCACAGTGCTCACCCGTGCGGCCAGCACTGAAAATATGGTCAGTGAGCACGTTCACTCCAGGCAGCAGTGCTGAACCCCTGGACAGGCACAAGAAGTCTGATCTCTGAACTCTGGCCACAGATAGAACGTATATCTTTTATAGGTGTGTTACCCTGACTAAACCCTGAGATTATCAGCAAGTTTCTGGTCTTAATCAACAGCCTTTAACAAGAGGAGACATATTTTAAATATCACCATAACTGATAGTCCAAAGATTAGTAGTTTAAAATGCACTGTTTCTGTTGGGAATTCTTATCTAACTCCACCAACTGAAACCTTGCTGTTTTCAATGTCCAGTGCTGCAGTGCTCCTGCTCAGTGTAATAAAACGCAAAAGACCAAAGTAGCTATCCGAGGACTTTCACCTGCACTGATGCCCCTTTTCCAATATCCTATAACAAGAGCAACTTGCCTCCAAGTCTGTAGCTATGAACTATCTTCCAGGCAAGACCAACACGTTGCAAGGACCTTCTGGGACAGAAGAAGGCCCTGACCAGGCTTCATCACTCCAAACCAGTGATACATCCCACCACTCCAGATTTCTCTGCACTCCTAGGTTTAGCTTTAACACACATGCAGGGCTGACGAAGAGCCATATTTTCATAGAATCACAGAATTGTAGGTGGGGGTTAGAAGGGATCTCTGGTGATCATCTAGTCCAACCCCCTTGCTTACGAAAGTTCCCTATAGTAGGTTGCTGAAAGCAAGAAAACCTGTGCAGACACAGAGTACCTGCTGACCACTCTATACAAGCAACAGAAAAGACACTCATTGCTGGAGAGGCTGTCTTCCCAAAACCTCTAGGAACAGCACAAACATATACTCTGCCAGAAAGGAACTTCTGTGGTGTGTCTGAGCTTAGAAACCAGCCTGAAGTGAGAATGATTTGAGAGCTCTCCTTACCATGTTACATGCGCTTGCGCTTTAGATGTTGGATGGTCTTGGTTAATTACACATTGTTAATCACACAATATCATCAAAGCTGCAAAAGGATTAAACCACTTGCTCAACTGAGCACCTGAAGTGAGGAGAGATCTGGCATGGTGCACAAGTCCCAGCAGCAGGGGTGTCTCCGCTCTGCAGTGTGGGCAGAGCTGGGGACAGAGCAGGTCACAGCCTGCCTGTCCTCAGCAGTGTGGGAACACGAGCTGTGTGTAGAGCAGCACTGAGAGCAAGGAGTCTTGGGGAAACAGAGTGAGGGAAGACAAATAGTAAGCAGCCAAGAGAAGCCGCCCAGCTCCCTGAAAGGCTGCGGAAAGGCTCCTTCTGCTTAACCTTACCTCATAAGTGCTGGTGATGCCCAGCCTGTAGAAGACAGGCAGGAAGATCTCAGCACTGCACAGCACTACCAGGGCGTAGGTGATGGCGAAGATGCAGAAGATGGCACCATAGCGGTAGATCTCAGCGGGGGTGCCCAGCACAGTGACAGCTGACATGAAGCTGGCGGTGAGTGAGAGAGCCACGGGGACGGCACTCATGCTTCGCCCCCCCATGAGAAAGTCCTTGGAGGTCTTCTGTCCCCCTCCCGCAAAGGCATAGTAGATGCCGATGACAGCTGACACCAGCAGCATGGCGGCGAAGACCACATAGTCCCAAACGCTGAAGCCCCCCATGCCAACGGAGCAATTGCAGCCTGACCCAAACTCAGATGTGCAGCTGCAGGAGGAAGGCGACGGGACCCAGCCAACCAAGGCTGCAGCGCGGGGCGGTGCGAGGCGCAGCTCTCGCCCTTGTACGCGGCGGTGAGCGCGGTACCGGGCCGACGGGCCGGCCTTATAGAGCACCGGCGCCCGCTCCTCCCCGCGGCCCCGCCGAGCGCGAAGGGGCGGCGACCCGGGCAGTGCGCAGGGTGACGGCGGGCTGCTGCCGCGGAACGGGGTCGGGCGGCGTGGAGGAGCGCTCCCAGCGGGCGGGTGCCCGCCTCCCTGCCTCGACCCCGGGAAGCCCTGCGCTTGGTGGAAGGCAGCTCCCCCCGCTGCCGCCGTTGGTGGTGTTTTCTACTGCGCGGTTAGCATTCCCTCTCCTCAAGTGAAGACGATGGAAATTTTTTTTTATACATGTGCTTTTTTACCTATATTTCCGTGGGTTGTGCAATCTGCAAGATAAAGTGCTGAAGTGGACTTCCCAGCACGCTTGCCAAGGGAACACTTGCTGAGTGCTGCAGTTATACAGTATGATAGGGAAGACCCGTTACCCTCATTCTGATCAAGGAAGTTTTCTCACTAATCACAGTTTCAGGAGTCAAAGTGCACAGGAATATCGGAGATGGGGCTTCATTTCACTGACCCACGGAGTAACACATCAAAAGTACCAGTGAGATTTCAAGTCCGTGGATGTTCTCTGCTGGAGATGTGTTTCCATAGCTAGCAACACATCCTGGACTAAAACAACAAACATTACACCTTGCCACTTTGCTGTATGGCAGGTGGGGGTTAAGGTGTAAGGGTGCCAAAGCTGACCAAGGCGGCTCTGACAGCAGCATGGCTGCATGCAGTGGCGCTCAGGGCTTTGTGCAGAGGCTTTCAGGCTTGACCTGTGTTGTGTATTGGCCAAGTGCTATTCTGGCACAAGACAGCAATTCGAGGAAGTTTTTCACACAGAGGGTGGTGACACACAGGTTGTCCAAGGAGGCTGTGGATGCCCCATCCCTGGAGGCATTGAGGCCAGGCTGGATGTGGCTCTGGGCAGCCTGCTCTGGTGGTCGGTGACCATGCACATAGCAGGGGGGTTGAAACCAGATGATCATTGTAGTCCTTTTCAACCCAGGCTGTTCTATGATTCTATAACACAAAATGCAGTACTATTTCATGGCAGATAGAGCTCTTTCCTGCTTAGCCTTGTTCTTACCCACTGGTGAATTTACTGGAAGAGCTCACTGGTGCAAATTGCCTCAGTTCAGCGCAAGGTGCTCCGTCCTGCCTGGATCTGAGAGTTTTCAGCAGGGTTCTGTTCTGAAGACAAATGATTGATCAGACACCTGACAGCCAACCCTGCTCACCAAGTGCTGTTCTTTTTGGGGGTTCAGACTTGGCAGGCCATTCGGAGCTGGTCCTGACTCTATGCTGGAAGCAGGGATGTGGGTGGAAGTACTGTGAAATCACGTGCGAGTTGACCTAGCCTCCAGGTGCCTGTCTGAGAGTGTGGGTGTCCTTGGGTGTCCCCAAACATACAGAAGCTGGTCACTGAGGTGCACGGCATGTCCTAATCTCACCCAGCAGGTTAGGGCTTTGGTGTTTCTGGCCCAATTACTCTTTAATTACTTGTACAATGAGTAACAGCTTCCAGATGTACTGCTAGGGGAGAACAAGAAGCTTGCTCTGTACTCTACCAATTAGGCTATGGAGCTATTGATTACCTGAGGTGGTTGCTAGAATGAGGTGCTTGCCCTAATTTGCTATGAGCTTTTGACCACAGGGAAGGAAAAAAAGACCTTGCCAGCAAAACATCAGTGAAAACCAGCACCTTCCCACATAGTGAAATAATCTGGTGCTGTCCAGCAAAAGTATTGGGTGTCAAAAACACCTGAGCCACTTTCCTGCAAGAAGGACATAAGCAGCCCTGTGCCTACACCCACAGCTTGTGCAGCCCAGAGCGTGGTGTTACCTGCTTGCAGTCTTTCAGGTGTTATATTGCTCAAACCATTCAAGCAATAATGTGTGTTTAAAGTATAAACTGCACGGGATTAATACAGTTTTGATTCTGCTTCTCTATCATTTTTTGACATAATGTAAACACTGCAAGCAATAACATGTACTGGAAAACAAGTTGTGTTTGTTAACTGAAACACAAGCAGTGCTATAAGGAAATAAATACAGTGTTCTCAGTGGTGTCAGGTGGCATCGTTGATTCTTTTATAGGAGTGTTATGAAAATTGTCTTTCAAATGTCATCATGTACAATATGGCAAGATACAGATCCTCCCATTTGGATGTTTCTGTCTCAGGGATTAGCAGCAAAGCTGTATGATGCCCATGTCCTAAATCACAGTAAGTGGACATGTTTTAAATGTTTTTCCCCCTGATTTCTTCATGAACAAGTCCAAATCCACTCCAGTGGACCTGTGCTGTGTAACAGAGAACTGCATTCTCCTAATTCCTACAATAGGTAATCAGATGTCTTCCAATCTCAGCATGTTTCACTGTTTCCTTGTAATGCCTGGCCCCATATCCATGGGCTCTTATGTGCTCCCTCATTTCACTGTGATTCCACTCTTGTGAGATCTGCTGACATCAGTGAAATCTTGTGTTTGATATTGGGTAGCATGAGAGTCACATCCCTCTGGCACCCATAAGTTAAAAGAGCTGTGATTCTGCCTAAACAAACCCCAGGCTGCTCTACTGAGTTCAAGCAATTCCCTCTTTGACCATTGATGCTGCTCAGCAGTGCTGTGAGACCCTTTGCAACTCACCCTGACAGCCTGAGAGCACTCTGACTGTACCTACAGCAGTGGAGCTGAGTTTGCAGATGATGTTCACGCTAAGCAGCAGTACAGTGCTGTGCCAGGGCCGGGATCAGAAGTCTGTGCTCCATTCTCTTCTGCTTTTGCTGAGATCTGTTTGGAAAACTTCCCAGAGAATGACTAGCCACTGGTAAAATAAAAAACCATTTCAGTGTGAAATCTGAAAAAACGAATGTTGATAAGATAAAAAATGTAAAGGTTGGCCTTTTCTGGGAACAAAACATTCCCAGAAAAGAACTGGAAAAACTGTTTGTTTTTGCCTGGATGAGTTGCCAAGGAAACAAAAGATATGGAATTATGCCTCGTGTATACATGTATGCAAGTAGGTGTTTGCCCACACTCCAGTAACCATTGAACAATTTAACAGAGCAGTGGAAGCCTCAGAGATATTAAGTTGCTACCAGTTTTATCAAAGTAGACAGGCAAAAAGAAAGACCCTGTAAATGCTCTTGTTAAAAAAAAAGACTGCAGCAAGAGCTGAACCTCTGTTAGATAACAGTGAAACCATATGAGACCTCAGAAACACCCTAACTGCAGACAAAGCTTCTCATCTTGAGAACAAAAGCCAACCAACACTAATACAGTGAGGAATCCAAGTTCTATTTACTCCTCTGTTCAGTATTAATTAAATAAACGGCATCATTATCAGCAACAATATATCAAAATAAATCATTGAATGCAAATTTAACAGGTTGATTTTAATCCCAGTGCAATGGTTTGAGTCAAAATCTCTCCACAGCTACCTGAAAGGACGTTGCAGGAAGGGGGGATCAGACTCCTTTCTCTGGTGACAAATGATAGGAAACATGGAAATGGTCTCAAGTTGTGCCAGGGGAGGTTTAGAATGGATACTAAGAATAATTTACTCATGGAAAGTGTGATCATGAATTGGAATGGACTGCCCAGGGAAGTGGCGGAGCCCCCATCCCCAGAGGCATTTAAGGGATGTGTGGACATGGCACCAAGACATATGGTGTAGTGACAGGACTTGGTCAGGCAGACAGTTGCACTTGATGATCCTGGAGGTCTTTTCCAACCTCAGTGATCCTATGATTCACTTTTTATATTCCTGAAAGATTTTATTTCCAGCAAAACAGATGAAATTGCTCATGTTTCCTACACGGTATCATTTGTCACCTTGAAAAGCCTCTTGGGATTTTGGTGTCACGGAAGTTCATTGCTGAGGGTGTTTTATACATCTCAACACCAGTTAATGTTTGGCTCCACTCTAATCTCTCCTGCTTGCTGTGCTCGTCTACACTGCTGCTTTGAATGGCTGAGCTCAGTATAGCTACCTACCTGATTGCCATCATCATTGGCCTCTCTTTCCCAGGTTAAATGCTACCCTTAGCAAAATTTTCCATGATGTCATTAGTGATGTCCGTAGCTGTATTCTTTTTTTTTTTTTGTCTGATCTTCCATTAATAATGTTTGGACATTACAGAATGACCCTTCAAGTGTATTCAGAAGCACACTATCATCATTTATATTCATCGTGAAATTTGGATGAGTTCCTTAGGATCACAAATAGCCACATGGCACCTGTATTTTGAGCACTGGGATTTTCTTGTACACAGATGTCCTGCAATTTATTTCCAAGCGTATCACTAGAGTGTGTTTCCAAGAATATTTCTGGAAACTTACTTCCAGCTAGTTGGATTTGCAAAGCCAAAAGCACAGGATGGTGCATTTAAAAGTTCTGTGCACTGTTTCTGTGCACTGTTTCTGTGCAATAGCAAGTGTGATGCAATTTGCAAGCGTCTGATGCCTTAAGACACCACCATAACAAGTTAAATATTTCAAGAAGCACAGTTCCCTAATTCTATGTCTCTAGCATTTCCAATCCTCTTCCTAAATTTTCAGGGGCTTAGGTTAGCGAAAGGAAGATAAGCTTAAGACTCTAATCAGTGTTTCCCTGAGTGACAACTTGATTGCTTGAAGACTTGTCCTCTCAAGCTTAGCTTGTTTGGGACACAGAAGAGATGGAGTGACTTCCAGAAAAAGAGAGCAATGGAGGCAGGGAAAGAGCCAGGGAGTTGCATAAAAGTTACAGAAATAAATCATGTTCTTATTGATGTTTTGAATGAAACTTTCTTGGCCATTTGTTTTTTTTTCTATTTTGCATCCCATAGAAATGTGAACAAATGCAATATGCAAGCAAAATGATTTAAAGATGAATGCTTAATGGTCCTGAGAAGAAAACTTAAGATTGTGTAACTCCCTAGTAACTACACACCTTTTAAAATCAATAGGCAGTG